AATGTCAGTGTTTCATAAGTATTTGCTATAAGTGTAGTGACTTGTTGTAGGTAGATGCACCTATTTGTATGGATGCACCAAAAGCCATTGATCTGGAGTACACCAGAAATCTGGCGGGGGGGGGGGGGGTGGTGGTGGCATTTTTGAATGTTTAATATCTACCTGAAAAAAAGGCAAAACAGAAATCTGGTTTAATGTTTCACTCATTTAAATAACAGTTTGATGCTGTGATGGGAAGCTGGTAGGCTTGGTATTCTGGAAAGATGAGATCAAAAGGGGTTAAGAGGTACCTTGTATTTTTTATCATTACACATTATACAGTTCTTTATTGTTTGCCTCTTTTTCTCATCGTTCCATCCCGGGAGAGAGCAAGAGTCGTTCTAAAAGCCTTTAAAAGAGAAGATAAAAAGCAGCCAAATTTGTTTATTCTCTGTGGAGAAAGCAAAATTTGTTTCACTTCTCAATATAGTATTTTATCAATTCCTCTTCCATTGTAAAAGAGGTTCATTTTATTTAAAATCTCTTACGACAATCAAAAAACAAGAAATCAATGTTTAAAGAAGAACGCTGATGGTTGAAGTCTGTATTTTTGTGGCACAACCATTCTAGAATAGGAATCTGATTGCATATTGATTACTTCCTTCTAAAAATAGTGAGCTTTTCAGAATTGGCCAAAGTATACACAACAGAGTGCCAACTTTGTAGTCACAATGACGTCTGCAGTATAGTTGGTTTCTTAACATCTTATAGAGGCTTCAACAATCTTGAGAGTTTTTGATCTGAAACCAAAACTCAAAATTTTGAATTTGATTCTAGCTATGAAGCTTCCAAGAATGTAGCACTTAACACAGTATCCATCAACGTTTAAATTGTGCAAATTAGTCTTAATACCTACATAATATTCATTAGACTTTCAAAATACTTTTCAAACTATTTCAACGTAGAAGATAACTTAAGTGTTATTGAATTTGCAATGTAAGTAAAATAAGTTACCTTTCATGTACCAACACTCGTGTTCAGTTATTTTCCTAAATCTTTATTTCAAGAATTACTCATCTTCATCAAAATTAAAATGAAATTTCACACGATAATAATCCTTGCATTTGATATAGTACCTTTCAAGTCACTTTGCAAGGATTTTTTGTTGTATATTTTTGCAATTCACCACAAAATTTAAGTATTTTGAAATAGAAGCAAGTATGGAATTACTGCTCAGAAATGTGTCTTGCCATTTAGAAAACCGAATAAAATTTCTCTTGCAAAAAAAAAAGTGCCTTTGACTTCTTTTTCTTTCCCATTAAAATGTAATGTAAAAGTTAATTCTGGTGTTTCTCCATACATTCTGCTTGATGAAATGAGTATTGTGTTCAGCAGCTGTAACATAGTCCAAAAACATTTTCCTATTCAAAATCTCGAGCTATTTTTCAAGTTATTGTAATACAACTGGTATTTTAGCAACTATGCTCAGAGGGAACTTTCCATGTGGAGGTGCCATATAAATGCAATGTGTCTAGTTTGACTACTCTAGCATTGGTGATGGGTTTCTGCGTGCTTCAGGCACACCTGGCAAACCAAAGCAAAAATTAGATGCAATAATGTCATAATTGCAGGAGTCTACTCTTTCCTACTCCCTCCTCCACACCCAGAGGATAGTAGGGGCTCAGTTAACATGAGTAACTTCTTCACTAAAAAAAATAATAATTTTACAATTTGAAATTGTTAATCTCTGTAAATAGCAGTTAGCTGAGATAAAGGTTCCTGCAGCTGCAAATGTCATCTTGTTAGAAATATTTATAGTTTAGGTACTGAACTCTTCTGTCCATAGGGAATTAAGGGGAAGGGCATATTCTTTTATCTGTTACTTTTCGGTTATAAAATGAGACCTGTTAGTAGTAAACATTTTAATATATTGTGCTACCAGTGGTAGGCTGAAAGCTTCTAGAGTACTACATTTGGCTTATTGGGAGCTACTCTTTGAATATTCATGATGTCTTAACAGTAAAGGCCGGGCACCTGAGCAGGGGGTGAGTGGGTAGGGAAAAGTGATTGACAGTGTGGTCAGAGATCGGTCTTGAGCGAGGCGAGGCAGGGATTCCAGGGTGGAGTTCTGGAGAGTGGGTGCAGAAAGACTGAAAAACAGCCATACAGTACACTAAAACTCACATTATATCTATAAATTGGTACAGTTGCCGAAGTCATACATTCACCCAAGTCCCATTCAGCTTCTTATCAAAATTATTTAGATTTCTTTGCACTGCTCGTAGTAATTATCTCCCTAACTCGTAACACCATTCCCCTATCCTCCATTCTCCCACACTTGCCGCTGCATTGAATTGTGGAAGATGACATCCTGATCCGTCAGTGCATGCGCTCTTGGCTGCATTGAATCGTGGGAAACGTAGTCTTGATCCATTGGCATGTGCGCAGAAGAACTGAATTTCCTACGATTGACGGTATTGTCATTGTGCACATGGGGCGACAGGTCATTGAATTACAGGAAATGTAGTTTTGACCTGTCACTGCATGATCACTTACAAGCCACACTGAATTACGCTTGTGCTGTGTAGATTATTAAATTAGATTTTATGTGACTTTTACAGTTTGCCTCCAACTTGGACTTTGCGCAAGTGATGTTAAATGTGATGGTCCCGACTGATATGACTTGTGTGAGTTTTACTGTATTACCCAGAGTCCTACAGCCCGCATTTCTCCCCTCCCCATCCTTGCCAGACTCCACTGGTTCCCTGTTCGACAGCTTGATTGACATTAAGGTCCTCATTCCAACTTTCAAGTGTCACCCAAACATTTGCCACATTTCTACTTCTGTGATCTCCTGCAGTCCTCTTCTGCCCACTCCTGCTCTGCGCACTCTGACCTTCCAATCCCTCCGGCCCACCAATGTTTGGTGAGTTTTACACACTGCATTCTGGTGCTCGCCCTGAATCCTTCTACCTTATATCTTCCCCCCACCCCCTCTCTGTCTGCTTTTAAAATTCATCTTAAAATCCTTTCTTTTTGAATGCACCTTTGGTTTCTTGCTTCCCTTCCCCCAGACATAGACAACAATGATATTGCTGTGCTGCGATCTTAAGCTTTCAATCAAACTCACTTTTGATTGAAAGGATATATTTATTTAAATTTTTTACGCTTTTGCGAGTTTTGCGAGTTTCTTTACATTTGATCATGTTTAAAGATTAATGGAAGTGCAGAAATAAAGTCTTAGTACCTCCCTTTAGGTTGTCCTTAATTGTATATTTGAATAACTGACTTTTCCCGCTATCTGTAATGACGCCAATAACCCCGAGCTTGCTGTTGCTAGACAGCGGCATTTAATTTTTTTTAAAAAACAAAATGGCCTCTTTATCCATTGGAGCATCTGCCCCTGGCAGTGAGAAATGGCGATAGCGATAGATAGAAGCTCTGATGGATCAAGAGAGTTTTTAAAAAAAATCTTGCTGTCTGTAATGATGCCATTATGGGAACACCAGCATTATAACAGGCAGTGGGAAATCGAAAATAAAACTGCGCCTCCCACCCACCTGGTGAAATCCTTGATCAACCCTTGCAATAGCAGCTGCAAACCTCACGTTGTGGGTGGGTGGTGGGGGGGCAGGGACAGGGCTACTGTGGCTGCATTTGAGAAAGCTGGACTAGACTATATGAGCTGAAAGTCTCGTCGTGGGGCTTGAAACCACAACTTTCTGACTCAAAGGTGTGAGTGCTACCAACTGAGCCAAACTGACGTGCTACTTGAGCCATGGTGATACTGTAGATTTATTATTATAAAAATCAGAAGTTGGAACCCTGGTTGATTTTTCACTTCCCCACTATCATATATCGACTGTTGACGGAGCTGAGATGAACTAATTCAGAACAGAATGTGGTATCATCTTGGTTTGTAAGGTTCCTTTTCACATCGGGCATGATCTTTACCAACCAGAGAATCCCTTTTAAAAATGTAACCTTTGTCTAAGATGAATGAACAACATCCAGTAGTTCTCTCATTAAATGGCAACACATAGTATGCATTGATGTATATAATTTCTAAAGTGTACATTTAAATTTAGTTATCTTTTACACCTTGTACGTGTACAATGCTTTTGTCCTCTCCCGTACAAAGCTGCGTGAACTGATCTCCCCCATCCTCGCCCGGCTCCACTGGCTCCCCATCCCTCAGAGGATTGAGTTTAAAATCCTCGTCCTCTCTTAAAACCCTCTACGGTCTTGCTCTTCCCTACCTCTGCGAGTCAATTACACCATACCAACTTGTCCGCTCCCTCTGCTCGGCGGGCACTGGCCTGCTTCATGTCCCGCTCCGCCTGCCCCACCATTAGCTGTCGGTCCTTTAGCTTTTCTTCCCACATCCTCTGGAACTCTGTAGCTGTTGACCTAGCAGAGACCTGTAGCTCCGTGGTTAGAGCACTCACCTTGCAAGCGAGACACCTGGGTTCAATTCCAGGCAGAGCGAAACCTTGGGCAAGTTTCCTTACTCCACACGCGTAATAATAATCCCTCCAAAACCAAAAACAATAATAAATTGGTCATTTTCAATCTACGACTGTTTGTGGGACATTGCTGTGCGCAATTGGCTGCCGCGTTCGCCCACAAATATACAGTCAATTCACTTTATAGTGTGTTCTGTGAAGCGCTTTGGGACGTCCTCCCGACATGAAAAGCGCTATATCAAAATGCAAGGATTATTATTATTTCTGATCTAATTGTGTTATTGTTTCCTTTGTTGAAAGGGAGTCTCTTAACAGGCCAGTAAGCAAGTGCTGACCAGTTTAAAAAGGAGTCCTAGAAATCTAGAAAGTTGTGTAGGAATGACAGCATAAAGATTCAAAGTTTTTCTATTGACCAGATTTTCTATTGAGGAACAAGTAAATTAGTTGAATTGCTAATTTAATATTTTCTGCAAGTAGAATGAGTCCATAGTAGTTTGCTAGTTATTGGTGATGACAGCCATTTAAGTTGACATTTCAATTTGATTTCTTTCATAGGAGAATATAAGATCCTGCTATGAATGGTGACTCTGGTGTAGGGGTGGTTACTTCACCACCCCCATCTGCTCCACACAAGGAGAAATACTTTGACCGAATTGATGAGAACAATCCTGAATACCTCAGAGAGAGGAATATGCCTCCTGACTTGCGCCAGGATTTCAATATGATGGAGCAGAGGAAAAGAGTATCCATGATTCTTCAGAGTCCGGTAAAATCAAAAATGTATCAAGTGTATGAAATGTGACCTCGGCTGATGATGAAAAATTATGCGCATAGGAAAGTTCTATGATGAATAATTAGTTAATGTATTAATATCACCTCCAGGCTCAACTATTGCAATGCCTCTATAGTTCATCTCAACACAAGCTTGCACACCATCCAGAGTTTTGCAACCCATATCTTCTCCCAGGATGAGAATTTTTAAGCCTCTAGCCCTGTCTCTGCTTGGTTATACTGGCCCGCCATCTTTCAATGGATTAAATTCAAAATTCTCATCTTCACTTTCAAATGCCTCTATGGTATCAGCCCACCATATCTTTTGCCCCAGTCATTCGCAAACACCAGCCTGCTTCATGTCGCAGGCTAAACTTTAACCATTTTGCCCCGCTCCCTGGAATCCAGAATTCTTTCTCCTTGCCCCCTCCTGCCCCACCTTCAAAGCCCACCTTAAGACCCAGCTCATAAGCCACTCTTATAATAATAATCAATTTTATTTGGACACTTCTCATTCTTCCACCCTCCCCAAAGGGTTTGGATTCAGTCAGTTGTGTGTAGTGCTTTGAGATGTCCTTCTGACATGAAAAGTGTAATTTAAATGTAAATTGTTATAGTAGCTGTTGTGGTTATAAAAGCACTTGTGCACGTGCACATTCATGACCCTTTTTAAAAATGAATATTCATTCTTTAGGCTTTCTGTGAAGAACTGGAATCAATGATTCAAGACCAACTCAAGAAGGGAAAAACTCCTACCAGTCTACTTGCATTACAACAGATTGCTGATTTCATGACAACAAATGTACCTAGTATGTACCCAGCTGCACCACAAGGTGGAATGGCTGCATTAAACATGAGTGAGTATAATTTTATAATTTTGAGCTGATGTTTCATTGAACTGAAGAGATGTGGAATTGCTTGATTAAACTGATAATAACTTTATATATTCTAAGGAAAATTTTACTCTTATCACATTGTAAAAAAAATTCAAACCTTTCATGAATATTCAGCACTACTAAGGAAAGGGGTTGAGTCAGACCTCTTAAAACATTTTATTAAAATAAACTACTGTGACCCTCTGTGGCTAAACTAGATTATTGAATGGATAGTTGAGAACATAGCCCAAGAATGTCCCTGGTTTATGATGAGTGAGCCTATCTGATTTGGGGTTGTGCATGTGTGGACATAAGAGAGGAGAGGAACTCTTCATTTATTAAATGAGTTGCCTTTGCTTACCAAAAATTCTACATAAATAAGAAAATTTTGCTTAAGGTAGAGAGATTTAGAGCTGCTTGTGGACTTTAACCCCCCCCCAAACTAACATCTCCAAATAAGGTAAGATCACTTATCATAGATCAGGGACATTCTCGGGTGATGTTCTCAACTATCTGTTCAATAATCTAGCTTAAGGTGTCACAGTAGTTTATTTAACAAGATGTTTAAATAGGTCTGATTCAACTCCACTAAGCAAACTCCTTGCTTGTCAGCCTCCCCAACTCCTTCCTCCACAGGCTGCAAATCATCCAGAAGTCTGCAGCCTGGGTCCTCTCCAGCATCAGACTATGTGACCCTATCACCTCCATCCTTGCCTGGCTCCACTGACTTCCTATCACTCAGAGGACACAGTTTAAATTCCTGGTCCTCACCTTCAAAGCCCTTTGTGGCCTTGCTCCTCCCTCCCTGTGACCTCCTAACCTCCTACCAACCTGTCCACTCCCTCCACTCAGCGGGCTCTGGCCTGCTTCATGTCCCCTGCCTTGTGCGCCCCACCATTGGCGGCCTCTCTGCCCCGACTCTTTGGAACTCCATCCCACAGTCCCTCCGCCTCACCCCCTCCCTTGCCTCCTTCAAGACCGGTCTCAGGACCCTTCTCTTCGACCGTGCCTTTGGTCACCCTCCTACCCCTACCCTTCCCGCCCTCCACCCCTCCTGATCCCAACAACCAGCTCGCGTGCGGATCCTTGACTGTCCAGCGTATTGGAACGTCCTCCTGATGCGAAAGCCGCTATACAAATGTAATAATTTGTATCCCATTAAAAGCATAAAATAAGTTCTATACTTTAAGTAAGGAAGGACGAAGATTAGCAAGGAGAAAAGGAATTACTTTGTTGGTCTTCCTATCTTTTGATGTCAGAAGAATAAAAAATTAGTAAACCTAGATCAGTTTAGGTAACTGTTTTAGATAAATCCATTAGAAAATGGGATCATGAGGTGTTACTCTTTTCTGTCTGGCAGAATACAATATACTAGGAAAAATTGGAACTCCTTCCTGTGGAAATTATTCCACCCGTAAGAAAGTAGTATTCAAAAAGAGAAGGGAGTTTGTCTGGGCAACAATTACTAAATAATTGGACATTCCATGGCTGTTTGGGGATATTGCTACACCCAAATTTGCTGCTGAATTTGCCAGAAGAATGCACACAGTTATATCCTGTGAAGTGGTTTGGGAGACGTGATGAGGCACTAGATCAAATGCATATACAGTGGAAACCCCTTAAGCCGGACATGTCGGCACTGGCCATTTTGGCCGCCCTAAGTGGCGTCCGAGGCAAACTGGACAGCTTGATGTTGCTTGGAGTGTCAGTGGTGTATCTTCCAGACAAAGAAACAAGGGTCCATCACAGATTCTCTTTAATTCAGGAATGGAAAAATTTAATTATATGTTCACCTTATGGGTATCATTGCCTTTGCTTTTAGGTCTTGGAATGGTTACACCTGTGAATGACCTTAGAGGGTCTGAATCTGTGGCATACGAAAAAGGAGAGAAACTACTGCGTTGTAAGCTGGCAGCCTTCTACAGACTTGCAGACCTCTTTGGCTGGTCACAACTCATCTATAATCATATAACTGTAAGTTGGAGATCCAACGTTTATTGTTGACATTTCCATGAGTTGGTAAAACCTGGCTCATCGACAGAACTTGAAGGACACTGAGGGCAGGGACGTTTCCCACTTAGCTCCCGTTAACCCTGCAAGTTCAAACCCGAATGGATAGGGTGATTCTAGCTGGATAAGCAGTGGGAAAACTTGCCCACGTTGGGACATTGAACTCTCATAGACTAGATTGACACTCTGTTGCAGTGCTTGGGTTGTGCTGCGTTGTTGGAGGTGCTGTCCTTCGGATGAGACGTTAAAGCGAGATCCCAACTGCCCGTTCAGGTAGATGTTAAACATCCCATGGCACTGTTCAAAAAGTGAAAGAAATTTCTCCTGGTGTCCAGACCAGTAATCTATCAAATAAAATTGATTATTTGTTTCATGGCTCTTTGTGCTGTGTGGGCTTGGGATGCTGTGTTTCCCTACAAATACAGTAAAATCCTGTGAAGCGCTTTGAGATCTCCTTCCAATGTGAAAGGTGCCAAACCAAACGCAAGTATTGTTATTTTGGTTGTTATTGTTATAGTATATTTTAAAACCATCTTCTTCCAAAAAGTGCATAAAGTATTGAAGTAACAATTTGTACATAAAATTTAGTTTAAAGGCTGTTTCCGTATAGAGGTTATTGCATAAAATGCATTTATTTGGCATATATTATCTTAACTAAACTCATGTTTTGAAATTGAGCATAAATTTAAATAAAGGCAGTTTACCAATGTTGTTATTTTCACTGAAATATGACCTTATTCTGCAGGTCCGAGTCAGTTCAGAGCAGGAACATTTCCTTATTGTACCTTTTGGCCTTTTGTACAGTGAAGTGACTGCATCTAGTCTGGTAAGGGAAGTTTAAAAAAAAATACTGTTGCGCTGTTTTCATATCATAAGTTTGCTTTCAGGCATTAGTAAAGAAAAATGTCTGAATTACAAGGGTTCTGGGTTAATTTTTCTTCGTAGCCAGATCAGCTGCTTCATCTGCTTGAAGTGGATTGGGAATGAAAAAATGTGGTAGAAGCTGCAAATCAATAGGTTGAAAAAGGTGGACGGTGTTCTTGGTTGATTGACTATGTCCTTGGTTGATTGACGGGCTTTAAACCCTTGTCTCAGAACAACAATCCCTTAAATCACTCCACATTCGGTGTTTCAGTCACACAGCAAGTGGGTTGGATTTTTACATCCCCAGCATAAAATATGCCTGGACAAATCAGGTGGAGCGCAACATTGAAAGAGAGACCTGGTGTCAAAGCCTGTGTGATATTCTGAGGACAAATTGTGACCTCCATCTTCTGAAACCTTTTAAAATGGTTAAGGTATTGAATATAATATTCATTATCTTCATATTCAAGTATAAAATTTGTATCATACAATGGATCATTGCAACTTCTTGAAAACAATCTTATTTCAGAAGTACTTGCATTTATATTGATTTACTGTCAGTATTTGCAACATTCAGGTGATACTTGATACTTAACCATCTGCAACTCTTGTGAATTGTTTAATATTTTATAGGTTAAGGTTAATCTTCAGGGCGATATAGTTGACCGTGGCTGCACTAATTTGGGAGTAAACCAAGCAGGCTTCACCTTGCATTCTGCCATCTATGCAACTCGACCCGATGTTCGATGTGTTGTGCATATTCACACACCAGCTGGAGCTGCAGTAGGTTATTTTTTGTGCTAAATTGTCCAAACTTCTATCAAATGATTATCATGCTGTTTTCTTCAACCTTTATCTTGGATTTGAAATTTATTTTCTGTTACTTTTCTCTTTCGACATCACAATCCATTTTAGCCATCATGATTTAACAAATCTAGAAAGCTATACAAAAGGTCTTATTAGACTTTATATGTCAACTACGTCATGCGTATATCATGATTATTAAACAAATGAATACAAACGCAATCTTTGTCTGCAATTTTCTTTAGCTTTAATAACAGCGTTTGGTTTTCTAAGTTTGTAAAATGAAACCTAATTTACATATACATCAAACATGGTTACTTTCAATTTTGTTTTATCAGAAAGATGTGTTCTTAACTATTTCTTACATGTGCTTTTAGAATATTGGTGATCAACCATCTAAATATGTTTTATGCCAGGTGTCTGCAATGAAGTGTGGTCTGTTGCCAATCTCTCCTGAGGCACTAGTACTTGGGGAGATAGCTTACCATGATTACCATGGTATCATTGTGGATGAGGAAGAAAAAGTACTCATACAGAAAAACCTCGGCCCCAAAAGCAAGGTGAGATACATTTTAATCGCTTTGCTTTGTATGCAGAAATGTGTGTAGCAGGTTTTAAATCTAACAAAGATTTAATATTACCATTTTAATAATAATACTTTAACATCTTAATTTTTAAATTAAATAAAGGTCCAAATCTTGACTGTCCACTGCATTTGGCTGTCCACCCACCGTGAAAGGCATTACAGAAATGCAATTTATTGTTGTTTTAAAACTCAATTATTTTCTGTCCACATTTAGAAAATGAACTTAATTTTTCACATTCTCGTATTGATAACATCAAAAGTAATATTTTGCTGAATGTAGTATGTAGGGCCTTGGGACATCCTCCTGACATGAAAGGCGCTATACAAATGTAATTAAAATTGATAATTCTTAAAATACATGGTCCATTTTGGCATGAGTGATCTTGTATCAATCTTCTGAATATTTGTTTAAAATGGTAAGGAAAAGTGGACAATTTCTGTCAATTTTTAACTTTGGCAAGAAATTGGTTTATGTTGGTTATTTTTCAGCTATTTAAAGAAACGAATGACATTATTGAAAAAAAGTAAACCATATAAGCTATTTGTAGTCTAACTTACAATTATGGCTATAAATCTACGAGCAAATGTATGCATGATGTACATAGATAGAAATGTGTGTACAATGAGGAGAATCTTCAGTTAACCACAAAGCTTCTAAGTAAGCAATTTCCTTAGTTATCAAAACTTGAACTTCAGTTTTTGAGCTAACATATTCTACAGTGAAATGTTAAACCTTTAGATGTTCCTATGTCACACCCCCTCAATAATGCCTAGTTCATATTCCAGTTTTTGCATCATTCACCAGGAAAATGAAGAATCACAGAAAATTCTAAATTGGAGGTAGAGGAGCTGAACGTGAAATTGAATTGCACTATGTTTTTCACTTTGATCTACATCACTACAGATTGTGTTGTGAATCAATGTAGATAATATGAAAAGGTGGAAAGTAGTTTTTTAAAATTAGCTGAAAACTTTTGAGGAATATGTTTTTAACATATTTCAAAGTTCTTTGTTGGATGGGCTCTCTGCATATGCACTTGCGTTCTGAAGTCCTGAAGTTGTATATTTCCTGCACAAATGAAATTACTTTTTCAGTGCATTGAACGTAAATACCATAACATAGAATGTTCCAACACAAGTTTGGGATCTTGATCTCCTAGGCACTGAATTCCTGATCTCAGCCATGGTCTGGTAACTATGTTGTCTCATATGGCAAACAGTTGGAGAGAGAAATATTACTGGACTCAGAAGATGAGATATGCACTGCTCTAATGCACAACCCGCATTCTTACTTTTCTTTTTCCGTGAACTATCACATTTGCTAGTTCAGTTGTTGTCCAATCTTAGAGGACCACAGATAGATTTAGTACTTTAACTGTGCATTGAGGCAAATGGTACATCCCTTTCCTCCTTCAAGGCCGGTCTCAAAACCTTTCTCTTTGACCGTGCCTTCAGCTCCCCTCTCGACTCTCTTCCCCCTCCTCCCTCCCTCCCTTCCCTCCCCTCACCCTGACCATTTCCCCCCTCCTCGCTCCCTCCCTTCCCTCCCCTCACCCTGACCATTTCCCCCCTGCTCGAGTCATGATCCAACTGTGCAGCGCCTTGGGACGTCCTCCTGACGTGAAAGGCGCTTTATAAATGGAATCTTGTTGTTGTTGTTGTTGTTAATCACTGAGTTTGAACAAAACAAATCTGTATTACTTTCTTAAATTGCTCTATTTATACCAACAGGTGCTTATTCTAAGAAACCATGGTCTGGTAACTGTTGGAGAAACCATTGAGGAAGCATTCTATTACATTCACAACCTGATTGTAGCCTGTGAAATACAGGTAGGGGATTGTGGTCACCCAAACAACACATACACTGCAATTGGCTGCCGCGTTTCGCCGACAAATATACGGTCAATTCACTTTACAGTCTATTCTATGAATCGCTTTGAGAGGCCAAAGACGTAAAAAGCGCTATATCAAATGCATGGATTATTATTGTCACTAAACTTTACAGTAAAATCCTTTCAGGTCCGTACATTGGCCAGTGCAGGAGGGCCTGACAATTTGGTACTGTTGGACCCTGGAAAATACAAAGCAAAATCTCGCTGTCCTGAATCTTCAGGAGGTGATGACAGTGTCTCGCATCCAAAGTGGCAAATTGGGGAGCAAGAATTTGAAGCCCTGATGAGAATGTTGGATAACCTGGTAAGTTTAGCCAAGGAAGAACTATTTTACTTGTCTGGTTGGTCAGATGCTAAAAGATAATTAGTTCAAACATTTTGGATAAAGAAGCAAGTGCGCCTGCTTTTGAGGTTTTTTTGACAACTCACGAGGACTGAAAATCTTGTAAACCTCACACATTCCGGTAGGGAGTTCATCATTTCAGTACGAGGAGACTAGGTTGGGAAAACTACTGAAGAGAGGTATTACATGATTAAAAACTTTCTGATGTTTTCAAATTATGACATTCAACATTCTAGGTTTAACTATTCATTTTTTTTATATTTGGTTGATGTCTTTACCCCATAATGTCTTGCAGGGTTACAGAACTGGTTATCCTTATCGTTGTCCAGCTCTGCGAGAAAAAAACAGGAATCGCAGTGATGTTGAGATCCCTCCCTCTGCCACAGGTTTTTCTTTTCCAGAGGACAGTGACTCTGGCTCTCGCTCCCCTCTCAAGCAGAGTTCTCAGAAACAACAGCGAGAGAAGACAAGATGGCTGAATGCAGGCAGCACAGGCAGAGTTGATGAAGTTCCTGAAGAATCTAGGAACGGTGGCAGCCCCAAATCGAAGACTAAGGTGTGGACGAACATTACACACGATCACGTGAAACCCTTGCTGCAGTCTCTCTCGTCCGGTGTCTGCGTGCCAAGCTGTATTTCCAACTGCTTGGTCTGTGCCTACCTTACTGTTCATAGTTAGATGATGTACAGCTAACTGGGCAGATGGCACTAGACGCTTTGGGCAGAAATCTAATTTTTACCCAGACTTTGGTCGTATCTCTTATCAATTCTGTATCTTTCTTATTACTAACTGCATGGTTATGCCAAAATATTTAGTATCCCTGATTTACCTTTTAACCTAGAGTTACTTTATTTACTAAAGTGTGTACTAAAGTGTGTAGTATGCATAACCTATCTAGATCGTCCTAGTGCCTATAAAACTGCTTAAGGTTTTGGTAGTGTTGCTTTTTTAAAAAAAGCTCCAAATAAAAAAATCAAGCTCCTTTCCATAACTGGAGCTTTGGACATTTTACTTTGTGTTCTATTGCTGTTCTGGTGTGCTCAACAACCAGTGTATAGTATTTGTATGTGTAATTTAAAGAATTCCCTTTCAAATTTTGTTTTGGGTTGAACATAATAGCATGCCACTAAGGATTTGTTTTAGGTTTTTAATAGAAGTAATGGATAATTTGAGGCACATGAGGGTTATTCTGTTCCATTCACTAAATATAGCTAATGTTTTGATATGGGCTTGTGTTTATACAACTCGCCTTATAATATAACCTTATACATTTGAAAGTAATATATTAACTTGTACAATTGATCTTGTTGCTTCAGTGAAATACCAAAGCATTCAGATTTGTAGGCCACTCTGAATTAATACATTTTCTTAATACTATACTGATGAGTATCAAATAGAATTAGTTCTGTGCTGCATAAGGAGTAGCAGTGATTTAAAACTATATTTGTTGAATCATTGCTGTCAGCAATTTTCTTTAATTCAGGTGGACATTAAAGATCCATGGCACAATTTGAAAAGAGTTGGGAGTTCCCTATGGTATCCTGGCCAACAAACCTCCAAATAAAAAAAAAGTTCACTGAGTCACATTGTTTGTGGGACATTGCTGTATGAATATTGGCTGCTGTGTTCACTTACAAATACGTACTCACGACATATCGCAGTGAAATCCTGTGAAGAACTTTGAGACATCTTGGTAACCTGATAAGGCACTATATCAAATGCAAGGATGATTATTATAAATCATTTTGAGGAAAGGCATCCTTCTGTATTACATGCAAACGATTATTTTTAGTCCAGATTGATAACCGGTTCATAATGCGCCTTTATGTCTAAATATCACATTGCCTCCCAGCTCAGCCTGATTTTTTTTCAAGCAGTGTCTGCTTCTTCAAATCCTTAAGCAGTTTTCTTACAATTAAATTAGTTCTGATTTTCAAATCTAACCCAATTGTGGAATTGTCTATCCTGTTTATTCTCTTTTCTACCTATTTGCTCCAAAGCCTCTAGTTGCTAGAATTAAACTGCCTTCTGCATGGAATAATGCATGCACGTATTTGGCTATAGTGTATATCATTCCCTCCTATACCATCAGGGTGTGGCATGACTGAAGTAGAGCTGGGCTTGAAACTGGTAGTAATCTGTCAGGCCTTTACTTGGAAAATAATTTGATTTAACTTGATTCTAACGTTGCCATGCTGTTTTTCTCCTAAAGACAGCTGTTTGAAAGATTTTGAAGACAGCAAAGCCCAGAGAGACCACCTGTTTATCTCCAGTCTGCTTTATTTTATCTTGTAGTGATGTTTTAATCTTACAATGCACCATGTGGTTTAAAGGTTAAACACAGGATTTTGAGATTAGGGGAGAAAAATATTCAAAATGAGTGAAACTATATAAATCTACCACTGAAGAACAAATGCTTGCACTTTCATGTGACTTAAACTCAAGTTTCCTGCAAGTGTACAAAATGTCCAATAGTGGTGATTCAGAAATTTACACTTTTTAAAGGTTAGTTTAACATTACTTAGATATGTTTTTCTCTTGAATAATGTTACATAGAACGATACAACAAGGAAAGGCCATTTGGCCTAACTAGTCCATGCCGGATGTAACGAAGTATCTAACTAAATTTTATCTTAAACAAGTTGTATTGGTTTATATTTGCTTCAGAACTAAATATATATTCTGGAAAAGGTTTATCTTAATTTCATTAGCAAAAGAAAGCAGAATTGTTTTACAATTTAATTTTAGACTCGGAAATGTTGGGTCACATAAAACACTATTTACAGATGGTGTTGCCTCATTCGGTATCTTAACTGCTCGATATGTTTGAGCGACAATAATCAGTGTAGCATGTTACAGCTTGTGTTTAGGTCATCTTTCAAAATCAGTTTGTGTATATATTCATTGTAAACATCTATCGAATATGATTTCAAAGCACATTCTGAAATATTATCAGATATCCAATTTCAGTCATAAGTATTTATGAACATTGGTGCACTTTTTTTNAAAGTATGTTGGTGAGTTCACATGTATGAAAAATTCTGTTTGGTCTGTCTCGTTCATCTATAACCAGAAGTTTGGCGTGGTCATAACAGAGTGATGGCCTTGTCATAGCGCTGATTGGTTGAATCTATCATTTTGTACGTAAGAATTTTTAGAATGACTTAAGATAATCTTTCAAGTTATACTTTTGTTATGTCTAAGTTGGAACGTTTATTTATGATTGTTACAATGTGGTGGTCTCGATTCTATAGTATTAGTTGTGACGATTATTTTGACCGTGTTGAAATTATTTCTGGTGAAAAGGTGCTGTTAATTTTTGTCAGAAGAGTGGTTATGAGTGAGTATCCATTCTTCCATATTCATCCCAGTTCCCTTTTTTAGAAATGATAAAAACATTCGAAGCTTAATATTTACTTTCTTCATTACTTTTTATTGCATTGGTCTAAGGGGAATAAAGAAATCCATAGCATTCACTGTCTTAAGGAGGCTCATACTAATTCTCAGTGCACATTTTGTATGTGACTGGTGGTTCTGATCAACTGGTCAAAGCGTTTGTGCAACAAAACGCAGAAATTTATTTTTTATCTATATCGGTTAGAAATTCTGATTAGCGAGTCAGTCCCACCATTTACAAATGAAATGTGCTTTGAGGATAGGATCCAGTCTTCTTTAAATAAACTCATAAAGTGCTTAATATTTGCTCATGGTAATTTTGTTCTGGGGTGGTTTTGAAATGTCGAAGTGTTAAGCAATGCTAGAAATCATCAAATTACCCATGGTAATATACTGAAACCTGTTTGGGCTCGGAATTCAAATGTATAGAACATTTTAACAGTCAAGGAGATAAAGATAAATACGCATTGTGGTTTCCAGTAAACCCTTACGTCAGTACAGAACTTTGGTGATGCCCACTCATGCCTTACACCCAAGTTCCTTCACCAAGCTTCTGGACTACTGATATCACACCACCCCTCCCTTCAATATCGGTCATTTTTTGCTTTCAGTTTGGTTTTGTGTAAATGTTGAAGAGTAATGAATCAATGGTGTGTGCACACATTCTAAGAAACCCAGTAGTCGTACATAATAGGTTTTAAAAATGTTCTTGTTTACTTGCTTTCTTAACCTTTTAAACAAAATACTAAATTTGAGGTTTATGGTCATTAGATATCATGTTAAGTATGTACAAGATCTTAGTTAGGCCATAGTATTTTTCCAACATAGAAAGGGCATCAGAGCCACAGAAAGGACATAAAGAGATGCTTCTGGATGAGTATATATTTATGTAGAGAGACTTAAAGTTAGAATTTATTTTATGTAGCATCCATTATAGGTTTTCAAAATTATTTAAAGGATTAGCAGAAAGCATTTCACCTCGGTGGGAGAGAAAGAAAGCACAGGCACAGTGGCCTGAATACCCACCCTCCTGTTTCTGGAGCTTTTTTTCCCATTAGCTCTTCGACTTTCAGTTTAATTTCTACCTACAATATTTGTGTAGGTTTACTGTCAATCTCAACCTCAAACAAATTAATTGTAGTGCTGCATTATTGGGAGTTACTGTCCTGTGGATGAGATGTTAAACCAATGCTCCATCTGCCTGTCCAATGACACTATTCAAAAACGGAAGGGAATTTCTCCTAGTGTCTTGGCTGAGAATCCTCTAGATAAAAATTGATTATTCACTTAATGCTGTTTGTGGGACACCACTGTGTGCAAATTGGCTGTACAGTTGCTTGTGAATAGTCACTACACTTTACAGAAATCCTGTGAAGCGCTTTGAGACATTTGAATAATGCGATGAAGCACTATGTGAAATGCTGACATCATTAACTTTATAAGAACAAAACCAGAAATTGAAGTGATCAATTGCACAGTTATGGTGTATCCTCCGAAGTGCTTTGAGACATCTCTATGACGTGATAAGTGGCTATATCAAATGAAAGGATTATTAGAATTCTTCTTGCAGAGAACCAGTCCAAAGACGGTCTTTTTCTGTACTGTACAATTCTATGATTCTAATTTTTAATACACTTTTTTTAAAATAATAGTCCCTGTCAATGGAGAAGATCCTTCAGAATGAGTTCTCAAGGAGCTGTTCCAAAATAGCTTGTTAGTTTATGGCACAGTTAGTAGAGTAAATGCGTTGTGTCACTGAAAAATAATTCTTCCACCAAAATTAAGTGCTAAATAATTTTTGGGTTGTGAAAGCATAAAACTGGCACTAAACCTCAGGAACATTAAGTCAATTACATTTATCAAGTTTTGAGACAAGTATTTTCTTTAGAACTATGTATTTATTAAGTACTTAAAAGGAGGTCCTACAATCTAGTCAGTTGCAATAAATCAGTTTACAGTAAGAGCCTAACAGAAAATGTTAGAATTCCTGTCAGAATTGGATCCGTTGCTTTGTACATAAAGGGATAATGTGCCACCATTGGATCAATGCTCTTTCGGCAATCCATGTTTAAACACTGAATGTTTTTAGTAAATTGCATGATTTATTTCAGTAAACAATATCATTTAATGCCGCAGCTGAAAAGTTTTACTTGAATACTGACTACTTGGTATACTTGATGTTTATAGTGGACAAAAGATGCCGTTGGTCCAATTCCCAATCAATTTGTGCCACTAAATACTGATCCACGTGAGTTCAAAGAGATGAGAAACAAGGTAGGACAAGATTGGTTTGGATGAAAGACTTTTATTCAAAAAAACAAAAAACCGCGGCTTATATTTTAAAGTTAGTATTGTATTTATGTGACTTTGAACTAAACTAACTCTTGAATTTCTAAGGTAAAACATATTTTCAAATATGATTCACTGTAGTAGGCCTAACATTCCATTTAAGTCTAGATAACTATTGTGGTTCTTGCATTTGCCAGGATTTTCGTATCTTAAACTATATTAGAAGGGAGAGGAAGGAAATGGAAGGAATGGGGAAGTGTTTTGTATCTCAGATAACTCGGGAATTGCCTCTCACTTTTGTTTTTAAAAAAAATGCATTGTAAATGCCACTGTTTTGAGAAAGAAATCTAATATAGTGGTATCAATAAACTACACATGTATACCAGATAACAATCACGTACATAGGAGAATCTATAAAGAACAATGGGAAAAGTATTAACTATCTAGCAGCTTTTGCATCTCAACTTGGGGTCCAATCTGAAGTCAAGAGCAGTAAGTGAAAATAACTTCCAAGTATTTTAACTTTTATTAGATTTTGATGAAAACCATGAACACTGTCCAACAATTTTTGGAGAGTTTGGCATGTGTCCAGCTACTGAATAATTAAGCACATTCGTTAATTCAAATATTCTGTTCAATCTACTCTTGTTCAAGGGAGGTCCTGTTGCATGGAGGTTTTGGTTTTCAAAAAAAAATGTTGCAGTATCAAAATGTACTTTTATAACTGAGCAAAATGTTTTTTTTCCAGTTGCTAATTGTTTTCAGCTGTATTTGTAGCTTAGATTTTTAATTAATGTTACCCGTCAGCCATTTTATGGCCTTTATTTTGTTAAGGCTATATATATTATATATTTTTTATATATATATATAATACAACATCTCTGGGAATGAATTTTAGGCTAAGAAACTTCCACTTAAATGGGAACTTAAACCAACTGGATGCTTAATAATTTGATGATTTTCTACCTCATGTATGCATAATGTTTCAGTTATTTTTCTTTATTTTGTAAGAGTGCGTCGTTTATAAAAGTGATGCCAAAAAACAATCAATGTAAGCTTCAAATCCAAACAAAATAACATTTAATCCTTTTAATATTCAGTCCAACTATGAATATTTAGACTTTACATTATCAAGATATTTAGTGAATCCACTGGAGGAAAGTGCTGGGCTAGCAGGTATGAAAGAAACTGCAGGAAACCAGGAAAAAGTTATAAAAGAAACAAAAGATCAAACTCAAAATACTGAAACCCTTAAATGTTCCAGTAAGGGAGAAAGCATCCTTGGATTGCAGGGAGTAAAGGTGGGACCTTAACCATAGTCATCTTAAATCATGGTAGGTGATCAAAGCTTTGCATACAATCTGAAACATATGACAAAGAAGAGAAACAGAAGAATAAGCTGTCTTGAAGACATGATCAGATGCTATGTCAAATGCAAGGATCGTTATTCTCTCAATGAAATGAAAACCAGTTGAAATGAGAATTTTTGAAGTTCTGTGTGTTTAGTAAGCAAAACATTTTTTTAATATAAACCGTATCACAGTTGCATTGTGTAGAGAATTCTACATAAATTGAACCATATTCTTGAATGGATAAAGTGGTTAATTCAGTACATGTTAAAAGAAAAATAATATTCCCATCCAAAGTTTTCCTTCTTCTCTAGATTCGGGAACAAAATTTGCAAGATATAAAGACTGCAGGCCCTCAGTCTCAATTACTCTGCGGTGTTGTTCTGGATAGGTCTTTAGTCCAGGTGAGTAAAACCAAACTATCTACAAACCACTTTATTGTGTTGCATTATATTGTCTGCATCTATCTAGTCTTTTTCTTTGCCTAACATGTTACAAACATTATTCTTTGAACGACAGAAAATAGCTCTCTGGGAGGTAAGTGCGAGTGGTCACCATATTTTGCCTAGCATACATGCAAAATATTCAAAATGTATAATGCAGCTGTGGCGAAACAAAAATAACATTGATAGACAAATGGCATGCCAGTCAGAGCTCCTGCAAACCATTGCTGAATGCAGTAACTTGTGCATGTATTGATATCTAAAGTATTACTCCATTATATGCGTGATAAGCATGTTGTGTAAGCTAGTCACGCTTTCAAAACCTCATGTGTTTTTATTATACACTTGGATGTATTTCTTGTTCGAAAGGGCTTCAACAAACCCGTTTCATAATGTTGGTTCTAGTTATTTGTTTGGTCTCTAGTTCCATATTGATCATTATAGCATTAAAACGTATACATAAAGCTTCAACTATCTTTCTAGAAAATTATGAACAATTTGGGTTTCTGTAACCGACTAATGCAATTTCTGTTTAAAACATATTTGTAGCTTTCAGCATTAAGTGTATTTTGTAATATCCTGAAAAGATTTTGGTGAATATTATCAATATTTCCTTCGCTTGAGTCATTAAATAAGGCCCTATTTGTGTGTTCAGGTGGATGTGAGAGATTTGAAAAGTAGAGTTTCTCCCAGTGTCCCGGCCAAGATTCTCCCAAATAAAATTGGTCATGCACTTCATGGCTGTTTGTGGGACATGAACTGTGCATGCACAAGTTGGCTCCTTGTTCAACCACAAACACACAATCATGACACTTTACAGTATATTTTGTGAAGCGCTTTGGTACGTCCTTCCAATGTGAAAGGCGATATACCAAATGTAAGGACTATTAATTAAAAGAATTGAGGAATTTTACTTGGTTCTTGATGTAGCTTGTTATGATTGTAAATATTACTTTTAAGACTTAATAGACATGATACTTCACGTCCTGGTACATTTAGCATATATTGATGGTGCCTGCTTATAATGGGAAATCACATTGACTGTACTTGTGAAAGTGAACCAAGCTTACCTCCAAATGGAGCAACGCCATCTGTGTGTTAACATTCAAAGGAGGAATTTGATTTTTGAGATAGAAACTTAATTGGTTTAATGGACCATATTCTGTGTAAACTGGTTTTTTTTTGTTCTGGCTACTTCTTCCCAAAGATAACTGGTTGAGGAAAAGAGAGTTTAAGGAAAAAGAAAGTATTACTTTTTAAATCACCAACCAAAAACTTCAAAACCATATTTTGGTCTCTTTAAATATATTATCCTTTATACTGAAGTATTTTTTGTGGTCTTCCTGAAATGGAAAAAGTAAATGACATTTTTATTAAGTGTTATCAAGATGCAAAACAAACAATTTTGGATTAAGATGGTCACCAAAAGGTAATATGTTGTTTCTAGCAAATGTTCACTACATGGTAAGCTACATTTTTATAAAAATTTCAATGAAGCTACTTCAACAACATTATATGGGATCATGAAAGTTTGACTAGTTGAAACCTATGCATATATCCATCTCTTATGCATATCATTCAGCATTGGGGTATATCCTGCATGCTATCCTTTCCTAACCATTCTATTACTGGAATACATGGATTGCATGTAAATGGATTGGTTCCATGATGGATTTTGGTTTATCTGGACTTTCAGGGAGGATATGGTTTGCTCTGTTTACCCAATTTACTGTTGCAGGATGCACCCCTCTCAGACTGTGTGGAGATTATTGATGGTCTCGATCTCTCAGAGCAGGCTCTAATTCCCGCTAACACTGTTAGAAAGGTACTTACTGACCTGTTGTTGTTGAACTCTGAACCTGCTGTCTCTTCCTAACCAAATAACTTTGCTTTACCCTAGTACATTTGTTCATCACCTTGATCTAATTTTCAGTCCATTTGGAACTCCTTGTTTTACTGTAACTTGTGGAAAATATAGTGGGGCAATTAAGATCAAACTACAATTCAGATATCAAATTGTTTACTTTTATGCAGCAAGTGGGACAATCTGATATTTATGCAGACCACATAGTTGCAGAAACATGGGTTGCATTAAATATTTCCAGAAATACATATTGTTCCAAATTATTGTTCAAACTGCAGAAATTTGACATTAACGTTTCTATATTATGAACTTTCAAACCAATATTTAGCAGAGATGTGTGTAAAATCAGACCAAATATTTTTAAAAAATATTTGTATCTGAATATACGAAATCATAATTTGTGTATTTGCAATTGAGTTTTGTTCTTTTCATGTGTAAAGATTTCGGGTGACTTGAGTTTGCACTCTGTGCCAAATGTTTACCCATTGGTGGTGTTGATGCTTGCTCAGTGGTGATCTTCACAAGATATCTTCTGAAATGCAATTGGTCGCAGTATTTTTCTGCCAGAAATAAACTGATTTTGAAAATGATTGTATTGCCTCAAAGATGAGTCCTGCAGGAATATAGGCCTGAATTTGTGTAAAGGAAAATATACAAATAATAGGGACTTACCAAAGATGACTTTAATTTAACAATTCTTATTTACAGTTTATAACCTTGCTGCTATGTCTTTCAATAATTTAATGCCAGATGGTATAATATGTAATGCAATATATAATACTCTGTAATATTCATTTTTGTGCCCTTCAGCTCAGAGCACCAAAACTATTTTACACATGGCTCTTTAAAAGAGATGGAAAATCTAGGGAAGTGCACGACAACATATCCTTATCTCTTCAATTGGAAAACAATTGAAAAATTGTCCTACTTGTGAGATATTGTAATTGGGTGTCTTTCTCCACCACAGAAAATCTATCTAGTCCTAAGTGAAGAGACTTGTCGTGAAATTGCAACTAATTAAAAAGCCTTTTAAATCATTATATATAGAAACTCACCTAAAACCTGCTAGGAGATTTTAGATGATTCTTAGTCACAGGGAGATGCACTACTTCCTGCTTTACATAGGTTGTGTAAAAATTAATATTCTGTTTGATATGTTACAAATTTGAATAACTTTAGACTTATTGCAACTAACTTATAGCTTAATCTTTATGTGGGAGGTAACACATTCCATAATCTTGAGAAAGAATGGTGATAGACGAAGGATCATGTGATGAATTCAACACATCACAGAGCATGTTGAGGTCTGATGCTGCATTTAAGAGGGGAATAGAAAGAGTGGAGGCTCGTGTAGAGTATAAAATCAGCATGAACTAGTAGGACAGGGTGGCCTGTTTTCAAGCTGTACTGTCAGTGTGTGTACCTTCATTCTGTATCATTTTAGTTTGAAATGCGTTGCTTTCTAACAAGCATAGCTATAAGTTTCAAATCTTGAAATTGTCTTAAACATCCAACCATATATTTTCAGGATGTCAAATTAGATTATTGTAGTCTAATGAGACTGATTAAAACTAATGACATTTTTACAAAAGTGTACATTTGTAATACAAATTTTGGCAAAGATAGTTATATTCAGGACTTTTCGAGTATCCTTGGTTTACAGGTTGAACATTAAAAGAAATGCAGTGTAAAAGACAATCCTTGCATTTGATATAGTTAAAATGTCTCCCAAGCACTTTAATTACTGTAAAGTGTAGTGTTGTGTGTTTGAGGTAAACACAGCAGTCAATTTTTGCACAGCCATGAAGTGAATAACCAATAATATCTGAAAGATTGTTGGCCAAGAGACTGAGAGAAACTGTCTTTTTTGAACAGTGCCATGGGAACCTCAATTTCTACCTGAACAGGCAGATAGGACCTCAATTTAACATCTCATCTGAAGAACAGAACCTGGTCGGGATGAGTACATGGGTGGTAGAGTTTTGTATCATTTGGATCTTGTTTAGAAGAGGAAAAATAGATCTGGGTGTGATCCGCACACATGTGGAAGTTGACCCCATGTTTGTTGATGATATCCCAAGGGGAGCATGTAGATGAAAAAAGAAGTATGCTGAGGTCTGAGTCGTGCAGTGCACCACAGGTGACCGTGCGGGAGTGGAAGAGAACATTAGAGGAGATGAAATGTTGGCGCTCCCAACTTGGAGCTTTAACCCATAATTTTCTGACTCAGCCTGGTTCAGTTGATCACTCTTGCCTCTGATAACTAAATATTCATTGTAGTTTCTCTTCAATTCTGTTTTGATCCTACTATTTTGTAATTTTGTGTAACAGCCAAATAAATTGAAGGTAACATCAGAGATCGAATTATACAAGGTCACTGCACTTAACAGTAAAATCCTAGGAAGTGCATGGAAATGTTTCAATGATACAATAAGGTGCTACATCAAATCCGAAGTTAATTATTGACCTGTTTTCTCTTTCATACTTGTATATTTCCAGCAATTTTCTCAATCATTGGCATAAATGTACCATTATTTTGCTTATTAAAATAAGATTGCCTGTGACATTGGTTAGGAATAGATTTTCTGCATGAGTTATGCTGGAAAGGACAGAGCATTTAATCTAGTCATTTACTAGAAATGTTTTGTTGTAACAACAAGGAGTTTTAAAATGCATAATACAACAGAATTACACTTGTAAGGTACCTTTCACGTCAGGAGGATGACCCATAATACACAGGTTTAGCCAATTGACAATAGCCAATTTGGAGTCCTGTAGCTCAGTGGTTAGAGCACTCGCTTTGCAAGTGAGAGACCTGAGTTCAATTCCAGGCAGAGGGCGAAACCTTGGGCAAGTTTCCTTACTCCACACAGAGCCTAATAATAATCCCTCCAAAAAACCAAAAACAATAATTAAATTGGTCATTTTCAATCTACGACTGTTTGTGGGACATTGCTGTGCGCAATTGGCTGCCGCGTTCGCCCACAAATATACAGTCAATTCACTTTACAGTGTGTTCTGTGAAGCGCTTTGGGACGTCCTCCTGACGTGAAAAGCGCTATATCAAATGCAAGGATTATTATTATTATTATTAATTGATTGCATTTCATTGACTAATATTGCTAATTTAGCAAATGTTCCATTTAATCTGGCAACAGAATTTTTTTTATTAAGTGAGTACCTTTTAATGATATTCATAAGTATGTGTTTCTTTTACATAATTTTATTAGGAGAAATAATCTTACTATCTGGAGAACTTGTATGAAAATTATTTGCTTATTTTATCGCTTCAAATGTTAAACTGGATTTGGTGCAATCACTTGTGTTCCATAGTGCATCTCTGACATAATGGTTCTTATTTTTTTNAAATATTTGGATTTATTTGAGTGTGTGAGAACTGTTTTATCTTCACAGCTGTATGCAGGGTTAATATAGCGTTAATATGGTTAAATTACTTGTATTTTGTGCTCATTCAAGGTTTATTTTTAATGAACTTGGGTCTTCAAAACCTTTTATTCATCATGTTCTTGTTTTATTCCATTCCAACAGTCAAAATAAATAGTATATGCAAGTAATATTAGGGATGAACGCATGGTGACCAAACGAGGTTAGGTGATCACTTTAACAGATTTGTCTGTAAATATGATCCTATAAATTTTAAAATGCAATGAACCTTTCTAACAACTTGTCCCTGGACTGCCTTTTTTTTAAAGCTTGCTTATCCTTTGTTTACCTTTGGGTTAGGCTCATTGTCAGCCAGGATAAAATTAGGATATAAGTGATTCTCCCAGATGTTTCATATTTACTTATATCATGAGAATCTTGCACAGATTAGGTATTCATTCTTTTATTGGCACAGTTTTGGTAAGGAAGTTCTCAAACGTTTTGGAGACTACTATTTCCAATATTTTTTTTGGTGGTATGTTTTGGTATTTTTTTTCCAATGTGTATTATCTTTTGTATGGGTTTGATCCACCAAGATATTCACATGGTGCAGTAAATTAAAATGCTCTGTCAAGTGGCTTTAGGTTTTGTAAACCCTGCTACCAGACTTTGTCCCTTGAGGACAAAATGACTTTTTTTTTATCTCCACACAATAGTCAATATTTAGAATTTGGTTTGCAGTTCTATTTGAAAACAAACCAATATTGGTATAGTTGCAGCTAATTGATTCATCCATACATGCAGTAAGTCCACTTTACAGTATATCCTTTGAAGGGCTTTGGGAAATCTCAACGAAATGATAGGGCTCTAAATTAAATCCAATGATTATTATAATGTACCACAGGAGAATCTTGGTTTGTGTTGTGAAATGCCTTTTGTTGAAGTGGCTGCATTTCTCGTGTGACCAGGGAAAAGAGAGTGCAACTGGAATCTCTTTAATTTGTGGATTAAAACCTTTGTATTTCCAGGTACTGATGAGGCTTCAGTATCATATGGTGCTAGAGCATTTGTCTCAAAGTCCATTGGAGCAAGAACACGTTTGTCATCTTGCACTTTTTCAAAAAGTTTTAACCAGTGCCTTGCTTGAGATAATGCAGAAACATAACTTCAGGGTTTATTTAGCTCATTAATACAAGTAAGGCATTCAGTAGTTCTGGCAGCAGTTCTTCCTGCCCAAGCTAAGATTCTTCCCCTCCAATTAATCACAAAATACACAACCAAAACACTTCACAGAAAATTCTGTGAATTACTTTGAGACATTCTTCAAGTGCTCCAAGATGCTATCCCATGTGAAGGGGCCTATATAAAGGCAAGTTGTTATTCTCCTGATTTGAAAGGCACTATATCAAATGCAAGGATTAAAATTTGTGTGAGAACATCTTCAATCTATGTAAAACAATGAAAGGGCGCATATATAGGTTGTCTGGGTCAGGGAAGCCATTCAGCTGAGCTGCTCACATTTCATGTCAGAATTCAGCAAAATTGTTTAGATCTGGATGTGAGACGTTCTATCTGGAGAACTTAAAACCTTCATGTTACCACTTGCATGTTATGGAGGCCACATCGATAGAACAAGAACATAAAAAATTCTATCAAGAATATAGTAAAATTCAAATAAATCTTATCTCTATAATCATATAATTGCCTAAGTTGTACATGTACCTGAGTCCCATTCAGTTTCCAGCCAAAAATCACTTAGATTTCTTTGCACTAGTCATATTTTATAAATCAAATCATTCCTAGCTTATAGCTCTGCTACCACACTTCCTGGCTACAATGAATTGTGGGAAATGAAGTTCTGACATGTTAACGCATGCGCACTTATCGACTCCATTGAAGCATGCAGATACAATTTTCTGTTTGAAACGAGGGCGGGAAATGAAGTCCTGATCTGTCGCCACATTGGCATTTACCAGCTGCATTGAATTGCAGGAAATGAAGTTCTGACCTGTCGATGCATGCGCGCTTGCCAGCTGCATTGAAGTACACGTGCGCAGTGTAGATTGATTACATTGGATTTTATACAATTTAAGCAAGTTTGTCTGCCACTCATCTCATACTTCACATAATTCATATTAAATGTGGTGGAGCTGACTGATGTGACTTCTGTGAGTGTTACTATATTGGGGTTTGATCTAGTTCTGGATCGGTGACATTTAATACACGATTTTTTAAAAAAACTTTTAAAAATTGTCATTCTAAATATTTACGTTGCCTAGGAGACTGGTTATCAGTGTTTGTTGACAATCTCAACATTTTGGGGCTGGGAAAATGAACTAAGGAATGAAGCTGCTTAGCTGTTAGTGCTCAACGACAAATAGTCCTCTATTCACTTTACCAATAATTGATACATTCTTAACGTTATAAGTGTTATTTTAAATTATAAGGTTTTTTTTTAAAGGTTACCTCACCTTTGGATGTTTAGATTCCAAAAATTGAAGACAACCCAATAAGACAAGAAAACGTTTAGAAATGGGGAAAGTCATTAGTCCATTAATCCCGTCTTCCTTTGATCAACCCCACATACCTGGCTTTTCACTGTTTCCCTCAATTCCTTCTCTTTTTTTCAAAAAAATTACCTAGTTGCCTCAGAATCCATTTATGTATTTTATGTCCCTGGCCTTGCCCTGTAACTTAACCCTTTGTTCTTTCTAATTCGCCTTATTGTCTGTCTAATTCCCTTTGATGTGAAAAGTATGTGAATTGTTTGTTATAGTGAAGAATTGTTTTCTGGATCAACCTTTTCAATTCCTTCATAATGTTGCAAACTAATTTGGGGTTAGCTTAAATTTTGATTCTGACTAACTGCAGAGACAAATATGAACAAAGATGACAGTTTTTGATGGCTCTAGTTTACTATTTTTGGTCACAGTTGCAAAATTACATCAATGCGTTTTACATTATGGAATCGTATGGAAATTTTTCCTCCCCAACTCCTTTCTTTTTCTCTTCAGCCCCCCCCTCCATTTGCATCCTATAAAAAGTGCTTGAAGGTTTCAACACATCGATGTGAATTATGAACAGGATTTGAAGAAATTGGTTTGGGAGTTCTATTTTGGAAGTAAAATCTTTTGTCAACATAAAACTCAAAATGGTTAATCTAATAGGTTTCTTTCTAAAATATGAAATTATGTTTGTACTTCCTCCTGAAATAGTGTTCCCAAATATAAAACAAATCCAGGTATGTTCATTTGTTTTGCTGTACATCATTGTGATTGCATTAATAGTAGTTTCTTTTACTGTTTAGGGAGAATTAGTGACTGCATCAAAGGCAATCATTGAGAAAGAGTACCAACCGCGAGTTATTGTGAGCACTGCACCCAATCCTTTTAATAAACTGACAGACCGTGAACTTGAAGAGTACCGCAAAGAAGTCGAACGCAAACAGAAGGGACCTGAAGGTATATTCCTAATTAATCGGTAGTTTTGTTCTTAGAAAAAGCTTTTAAGGTGCAGGTAAAAAACGATTTAATTTCAGTTTGTTTCGAGTTTAATGATGCAAACTTTGAACTCTTTTTGCAGGCTATAAAAGAAAAAGCTTGTGAAGTCTACATAAATGAATTTGTCAAATATTTCTAATCTGTTGGAAGGTATACTGTACATGTGTGTCCATTAAAATAGTCGTAAAGTGCAATCCGTTTATTTTTAAACTAATACTGGAACAGGTAATGGCCATTCCATTTTATGCAAAGAAAACTTCACTACTGTTTGATCTTTCAACTCCCAAGTGTCCAAATGCAGGAAGTTTAATTTGGGAGTGAATTGTTTTTGAGGACACAGATCACTAATAAACTCCCGAAGGCTGAAAAATGCTTCAGATTTATGTTGAGCTCTTGAAGTTTAGAAGGTTCATCCCAGGACAATTTTATTTGTGCTTTCTAAGTTTGTTCTATCAGTTCCTACAGTGGACATAATCTGAAATATAATCTTGCTTTTAAAACTGGGAATAAGTAGCAAAAAATGAATGGATTTTATTTTTTAAATATCAATATTCCAACCAGTTTGTTATATTCACAATTTTGCTAACACGTTGCTGGATACAGTTTGTTTAGCTCTGTAATTCAACCATTATTTTTTACCTTGCAGATGCTAATTTCAGGATATAGAACTCCCATTTTATGGTAGTCTGCTCCAGAGAAACAGCATGACTCTAATCTATTATCTTTGTAGCTAAATCATATTGGACAGAGCTGCTTCATATCAGAGTATTTTGAAAACAAGACGGTATTTTGCCAGACTTAAAATGACAACTATTTTGATTTACAATAGCAAAGCAAATACTTCAGACCCAATACTTCAGAGCACTATATATATATATATATATATATATATTAAACATATAGGCCATAACTAGTGAAGCTTTTTAGGTAATTGCAGTCTTGAATGCAGTGTCTTCAGATCTGCTTCTTCAGACCAGGCTTGACAATGTGTTTAACACTTTGGTATTCAAGCCAGCTCACATAACAGCTTTGGATGAACTGTCTTCAAATCCTCTATGTTCCTGTGTTCTTGTTGCATGAAAAGTAAATCGCATCTGAGTTCTTTGAACAGACCTGTATGATTTAAACTCGCCGCGCTTGTTCTGCAATGGTGTGAATTGCATTTCTCCTGAAACTAGGCACTGCTACATCACTATCAGTGATTTTCCAACTACTGCACAGTAATTTCTGTAAAATTAAAGATGCCAGCCATGAGAATCTATTTTTAATTTTGTTCCATTTTTAGAAGCATTCAATTTTTACAGCACAGAAAGAAACCCTTCCGCCCACTATATCGTTGCTGGTACTACCTTCCCTTCTTGAGATTTGTCTATCTTACTCTAGTCTTTCACTAAGTTGAAACATTCAGTTTGTCAATACTATGGCTGAGATTCATAATGTTACTTTTCTCAAGTATATTTACCAGCCTTAAACTAATTTGATGAATGTAATTGCTGTTCATAATACTTTGTGTGCAAATAAAGTAAATATATTTGTTAAATGCTTAAGTAGGAACAATTTTTGATCAAGTGAATTTTCATATCAAGGGAATTGTTTAATGTCACTAATTCATGTAATGTCTTGCATAAGAAATGTGTGACGTAAAATAGAGATACAATTCGGTGCCTTCAGTTTGTTTGGTTTCTGAAGTATGTTTTGGTATTTGGTATCCTGTTTTTTCTGTGCAGCCCTTGTGACTTCAGAATTATTGGTTAATTTCATAGCTAGGTCTAAATGGATAAGTGTAGTATTCTTTCTTTTGAGGGAAGGATCTCTTAATTGTTCATTGAGTGACTTTTTAAAATTATTTTGCTGTTGTCCTTTCCATTACTGATGCTGACGGTACACTGTGGAGTCCTGTAGCTCAGTGGTTAGAGCACTCGCCTTGCAAGCGAGACACCTGGGTTCAATTCCAGGCAGGGTGAAACCTTGGGCAAATTTCCTTACTTTACACGCCTATTAATAATCCATCCAAAAAACAAAACAATAATAAATTGGTCATTTTCAATCCACGATTGTTTGTGGGACACTGCTGTGCGCGATTGACTATCGCGTTTCGCCCACAAATATACAGTCAATTCACTTTACAGTATATTCTGTGAAGCACTTTGAGGCGTTGAGAAGACGTAAAAAAGCGCTATATCAAATGCAAGGATTATTATTATTATTGTCTCTTTATTTATCTGCTTGAGATTTTCTTGTAAATGGTTTTCATTTGTAGCTGGCAATTCTACCATTGAGTTGGGTGTTGTCTTTCATCTTATTTTTGCCATCTATTGTCTTCATCAAGTCCTAATCTGTATTGAAACAATGCAGTCTTCATACATGCTGATCCCATTGAACTTAATTTGAAGCTTTCTAGAATGTCGCCTTCATAGGAACAGATTGTAAACCTGGCTGAGTGCCGATCATAAGTGGTTGCTTTAGCAGTGGTTTATTCTGTAACACATTGCAGCTCCTGATGTTTAACTGTCTAAACTTGTATATTGTTTCTAATGAGACAAGATGGAGAGGAGAAGAATTTCAGTTTCTTTTAAGTGTCATAAGAAGATTTTAAAAATCTTGCATAAATCTTACAGTAGCATTTACTCCGTAATTATATCCTCATAATGGAACTAACATTTTGTCTTAGTAACAATCTAGTAGGGGCCTTTACCACACTTTACTATACTATCTGAACTTTTTATCTGATATTGTATTCTTGTAACTGCATTTGATCTGTATGAGTTGTTCATTTCCATCTTGGAAGTGAATTTCAGTGAATTTCACTTCCATTTATTTGCTTGAACCTATTGTCTTCTCTAGTTGAGGAAACTGCAGTCCACATTGGTGAGGTCTCAGAAAAAATTGGGTTCGCTCAAGCACACCAAGAATGCTCTGATGGCAAACCAGATGAAGTGGCAATTATACCTCAAAGCCATCATGCCCAGGAGCAAGTGACTGCTGAAAGTGTCCAAAGCCAGAATGAGTCATCCATATATGAATCTATACATAGCCAAGATAATGTGACTGAAACACAATCTCACGCAAGTGAAGGATATCCTACAGAGGCCGAGTCTCGTTCAAATCATGAGCAGGTTTCTGGTCAGGAATCTCCCTACAGTGTAGGCCAGGTCTCCGGGCACCTCAACTTAAATCAGGTGGACACTCAAGAGTCTCTCCACAACCAACTACACAGTGCCGTTGTCAAGGCACTTAGCCCTACTGGAGATCGTATTCCTTCATCAGACCCCTCAGGTATTGGCTAGCAGGTTAAACACCTGTCTTTGAATGAAGAAGCACGCCTCTCTCTAATCAAAAAATATTGGGATCTTCCATTTGGTTTGCAAATCCTCTTGTCCCTTCAATGCGTTGATCCTTGCCAACAGCTGTTACTTAATTTTTGGTTGCTGTAATGTATGTTGGTTCATTTGCGGTTGAATTGTTTCTTTCTTGGTTTGGCTTCCCTCCCGCTGTACAACTATATCCTTGCTGCAATCCCATGAGAAATAAAGCTTTTTCTGGATCCTTGCAATGATTCTTTTATCATTTTTCTCTGCATGTTGTAGAATTAGAGGTGATGGTGACATTATTCTTTGAGTCCATGTTGTCATAAACTATGTTTTCAGGTAATGGTATTTCCAAGATTAAAGCTGGTATTATATAGTTAAGTGATTACATGCTTCCTGCCAATTTGCATAGTTTTAAACCATTTTGTGGTCTGTGTTTATTGCTTTTGGGAAGAAACTTAAGCCAAAATCTATTTGAGATAGCTGAAGAATTGATCAAATATTTTCATGGCAACTTTTTGTTTTGCATATGTCCAGATTGTATTGAGAATTGTGGATGGAACATGTGTATAGCAGTGTCAAAAATAACAAATTCTAATTGCATTGTTTTATAGGCATAGTTAAAAATGCTGTGGCTGTCATCAAGTGGTTAAACGTCTTGTGCTGAATTTAAAGACTGTTTTGTTTCCCCCTCTCTTTTTCTAATCTTAAGAGCTTTTAGATCACCTACCAGAGGAAGTAAAAGCAAATGAAGAGCCTCGTCCTGCAGATCACACCCCCACCCGCACTCCCCCCAGCACTCCCACAAAGTTAGATGGTAAGATGTTCTCAGGTGATATATATTGAAATGAAAACGTGATGGTTTGTAACTGCCCAAATTATTAACTTGGTAAGAATGAAATTTGTGAGCTTGTTTTTTTGTAATTGACCAATAATCTGACTGTGTACATAAATGCTGTATTTGACTGCATGAAACTGAACTAACTGGATACTATTTGGTCGGTCATGTTTTATATAGAAATTACACTAGCATATAGGCAAAAGATTTGCTTTAATTTAGGACCCTATCAAGATCTCCGTGGTTGATGAACTTGATAACTACTTCTGGTTAATTTGTCATGCTGATTTGAAGTTATTTAAAAAATTGCTCAAAGGTAAGATTTCTAAAGATAAACGGCACAGGACTACAGCTCCCTCATACATTGTTGTAATAAGATTACACTTTTGTGTTACAATGATTTTTCGCAAAGATTATACTGAAAAAAAATGTATAGGAAACTAAACAGAATTATTATTAGAAAGCGAGTGAATTCCTCTGGGTGAACATTATTGGATCTGCATTTCACAATTTTAACATTAAATTGTACCTGTGTATAAAGCCTTGTTTTAAATTGGTGTTGGACATTATATCTCAAAAGCTAGAATATAAAATCTAACATGACAGATTAGAATGAATTACTTAATTACTTGCAATATTTTTGATAAGCCATACATTTATATGTATATACAATATAAACAGTTCTTTGCAATTCTTTGTGAAAGGATGTAATATGGTATATCTTGTTAGAATCACTGTCCTGTTATGTGTTTCCACTCACTGGTCTCATCCGATTTCTCTGTTCTGTAACAATTGTGTACTCTGTACTTTTTTTGTTTTAACACAATGGCTGTTATGAATGCATAGATTTTTCTTCTTGTGCTTTTTTTCTTCCTGTGGCTGCATTACAAACAGGAGCTGGATGTGCTAAAGAGTACCTGTTACCATAGTAAGTATTGTACATCCATGTACAGAGCTGCTTCAGTTAACCCCAGGTTTCTGCGCATGGCTTTCAGCTTTATACATTTGTTTTTGTTTCATTTATTCCCTGAAATAGCTTCAGTTAAGATGCAGCCATCTTCCTGAAATTTTAGAAATTGTTTCTGCTTTAACTCATTGAATGCTATTTTATTACAAGATGCAGCACTCTGTTTGGTTAGTGTGTGTATCTTCTGGCTTTTACATATGTTTCTGGCTTTAATTCTTTCATATAAATGTCTAACATTTTGTCATTATTTGAATGTTTCCTTTCAAGAAAATGAGTTAGTTAGTTTTCAATATTGAATTTTTTTTTTTTNAAATCCTGTGCTTGAATTTGGTGAGTTTGTATGGTTTATAATCTAAAATAGATATTAAAATGTTAATACCTTTTTATTGTGTTGTTCCGATGAAAACATTTGAAGCTATCGTTTGTATCATTTTGAATTTCTGCTTCAAATATATACTGCAAAAATTCAATGTGAACAAACAAAATATGTTTTGAATATTCTATTGCTGTATGCAAAATTGATTAAATCTGATCACTGCCTGGTCTAAACAATATTTTAATGTGCTTTATTAAGGTGATACAGCAGGTTGAAGCTATAATGTCCTTATCACAATCATCCTATTGTTTGCAAATATCTTGACAAAAAAATTTCTCAGGCCATTCTTGGATATATTGGTCAACTAAAGCGAGATGTGTGGCATAGAAGATAAACTTCAAATTTGATCATGCATTAATTTACCTTTACTTCAGTTGACAAACAATGCATTCAAATTTTAAATTCAAAAACCTTTTACCCCTGTGAGTTACGTTTGCTTGACCCACTGCCGCTCTCCAGCCTTTTGTTTTCAGAACTGAATCCTAAGTTTTTTTTTCTGAAGTCTGGGAAATATTTTTCTAGCATAAAGGAACATCAAATTTTGTCAGAGCATCCATCATTCTCAAGAGACCTGGTTGTATCTTGTTTGAGCTGTTTGTGGGGTGGGGGGCAAACAGAGGTTCATAATACACCTCTTCCTTTAAGTTCTTCGTGTTTTCAGCAGGCAGAGTACTATGCAATGCCAGACTATCTACATTGACATCCTCGGGAAATATTTGTTTATAGATCAGGAAAAGAAACTTAGTTGTTATGTGCCTGGGTATAAGTGACTCTTAACCAGGAAGCCAACAGGATAGTACAAAGAACTGTAATACGTTAGGATCCATTGCCAATGTATTATCAGCTTTGTTCTGTTATCCTCAAGTGAGAATGACGTACAGGATTTTCCGCTGTAGATAACTGTTTACTTCAAGGGGGCTTTTCCAGCAGTCATGCCTTCTGAGACCTTTTTCAACCCCACTGTGTATTTAACAACTAAATACATCAACAATTTACATTTCTCTTGTGTCTTCCACATTGGGAGGACATCTCAAACTTTTCATGCAGCTGTGTGCAGCAATGTAAAGGGAGTCAGATTCCATTGCAATACAACTGCTGACCTGGTTCTCCCTCTTTCCAGAGTGTTGGGATGCTAAGTTCCTTCTTATCAGTGTTTTATAGAAATTTGCTCTTGTTAGTGTTCTTCCATCAGCTATATTTTTGCATTAGCATATGGGAAAAAATAAATCAGCCTTTACCTGATATTCTCAAAAGAACTTGAGCTTTAAATGGAGTAATCTTACCATGTGTTTGATCATATTATGGTGAACCTTTCACTGACTTGTATCCAAAACTTGCTTTTTAGAACGAGATGCATTTTATAAACCTTAGGTTATGAGAACCTTGAGTTCTTCCTCAGGCTGGTCCCACTGTTTTTACAGTCTTCCTACTGAACTTTTCACAGAAGTTACAGCCCTTGAGAGGAGGAATTGTGTTTGTCAAGTGAATCCTCAAGTGAATTGAGGATTGTGTTTGTATCCACAAATCTTATAGGGTGCCAAGAGTGCCAACTTTATTCAATAATTGTGATGCAAAGTGAGGTTTTATTTCACTTCACAAATGCTCAAACAGCAGTGTGGATTCAATCTTAGCCTTAAACCCAATGTATCCAATGTGGTGTTGAAGTTGAAAATAAACAAGCTCTTTGATTTTATCCTAATGGTTAGATTTGTTAGATTTTATTTTTGCAGCAATATCCCTATCCGAGGCTAAGAAACAAACTCATCTAGTGTATTTTGGTTATGGAAAGATTCATTTCTCAAAAACAGTATCTTTTCTAAAGTATAGTGGGAGGGGAGAAAGAAATTATTTGAAAACATATTGCAATAATACCTAAACCTGTTAAACTTTGCCTTATTCCACAGCCCAAGTGTCTAATTCACACTTGGTAATGTGAACCCATGTCTTTGTGTGCCACAGTATCTCAAAAGATGTGCAGTAGAGTTTGTGATTTCCCACAGGAGTTTGGAGGAGACTACAATTTGGAATCAATTGACTCTTTGGAATCAATTGACTCTTAAAATAATTAGGATGTAGGAAAAAAATCTACAAGTGTAGAAAATGAAAACTTTTGTTGTGAAGACTGTAAAATGTTAGTAAATCTCAGGTAATGATAAATGGTTATTTCCCTGGCTTTGGTGCACACGGCCCCAGAATGATAACAAAATTGTTCACAATTAATTGAGCTTTCAAAGAACTGAACAAAAAATCTGATCTTATGATTTTACTTAAATTGTGCCCTTCCTCAGACTCAGAATCAATGATGTGTTTTTCAGACAGAAGTCATAACTCAAAGCCAAATGTTCCAATCACTCTTCCACACAAAATCTTAGGCGTTGTGAAGGTCATTGGACCTGCTGAGCCTATGCAAGTGGTTGCTTCTCCATTGTAGGGAATCTTATTTGACCCTCGAGTATTACATCCAGGCTTGACTTAAAACTTACTGCAAACTCACTGCTTGTCGGCCTCCCCACTCCTCCCCCCATAGGCTGCAGATCATCCAGAACTCTGCAGCCCGTGTCCTCTCCTGCATCAGGCTCCGTAACCCTTTCACCCCCATCCACACCCGACTCCACTGGCTTCCCATCACACAGAGGATACAGTTCAAGGTCCTGGTCCTCACCTTCAAAACCCACCATGGCCTCGCTCCCCACGTAACTCTGCGACCTCCTAACCCCCTACCATCCTGTTCACTCCCTCTGCTCAGCAGGCTCCAGCCTGCTCCACATCCCCCGCCTCGCTCACCCCACTATTGCTGGGTGACCTTCAGCCACTCTGCCCCCACCCTCTGGAACTCCATCCCGCAGTCCCTCCTCCTTTTCTCCTTCAAGACCCATCTTAAGACCCTCTTTGACTGTGCCTTTGATAACCCTCTTTCCCCCCCGCCCTCCACCCTCCCCAACCCCTAGCTTGGGTCTGAAGCACTGACTGTCTAGCGCCTTGGGACGTGCTCCCAAAGTGAAGGGCACTGTACAAATGTAATTTTGTTATTGTTGTAGCTTTATATTTTACTCCCCTGTTATTTCCTTTCCACGTGATAATGATCCCACAGCCATGTCTTTACAGTGACATTTACTTTGTTGATCTCTTTATAAATTCTATAGAAACTCAACCAGAGCAGACATACAAGGATTGCAGCCCTGCAACTATTCAACAAACCCTGCCAGAACTTACCCCTGATGAGCCCTCAGAACCGCTGATCTGCCAGACTTCTGATAAAGAGGAGTCGGATAGCTCAAGCAAAAAGCTTGAGCTTGCCACTGTCGAGATCCAAGAAATACCATCCCCACCTTCTGAGCAGTTGCAAACTCCACCACCTGAGGATGTGGCTGATGCAGGCAGTGATGAATCTCCCAGCAAGTCTCCTTCAAAGAAGAAGAAAAAATTCCGTACTCCTTCCTTCTTGAAGAAGAACAAGAAGAAAAGTGATTCCTAAATCCTTAGCTCTGGAGAATGCTGTTATTTCATAAACCAGATTTATAATTAACTTGTAGAATGTACAAGATTGTATTGTTAGTGGTTGTCTTAATAAAGCATCTATGTCATTTAATGGAATGCAAAGAAGTCTAGTAGAGCTTGATTGGTATTGAACAGTAATGGGACATTTTTGACAAAAGGTGCTAATCCTTTCAGTACAGTAGATGCAATCCACTGTTTAATCCCAGTATTCTTTGCCAATTTGGGTTGTGATAGGAAACATTGAAGCCAGAGAAACACTTTATAGGATTATGGTTACCTAATTGCTTTTGTTAATGTAATACACAGATATTGTCATAATGACCTATATTTTACCACGTGTGTAAGACATCCTGCGCATGACTCTTTAAATTCCAGCCATCTGTGGTGCTGTGTGAAAGTGTGAGGATGTTTTAAATGGAAGCATTTTCTCAATGGAGCATGTGGCTTGTATATCAGCACCAATCATGAATTGCTTACAATAAAAGTAGTGGTAACAGCTATAGATAAGATAGTGAATAGAAGTTTCTTTTGATTGTGACAAGTATCCCTTTTGTTGGTCCACATAGTGTTTTAGAAAGAGAGAATAGTGTTTGTGGTCGGTTGCTTTCTGTGAATTACCGCATAATGAGTTCCCAGACTCAGTTGGACAGTGCAAAAAGGTGCCGTGCAAAGGCAAACTGCTTTCCCTGCCATAATGAGTTACCTTCCGTGTGCTGCTCTCGTACACGTCGCAGCTAGTTCAAGAGCAAAATAGGAACTGGTAACTGAAGGAATATAGACTTTATCCATTTAATCTCTTGGCTATCTTGGGGGTGGGAGGGGAAATCAAATAAGTGTACACAACAGACTTATTCTCAGTTTACACAATTGGAGATGATAGCAAGAATACTTTGTATTTTAATGTTGGCATCATATGTAATGGCTTCTAAATGTTTTGCTCAACTCCATAAATCTTAGGAAATGGATGATGTATGTCGTATTTTTGTTTTTCATATACCTGTATAGTTTTGAAGTACTGAGCCAACAAAAGGGGTATTGTATCTTTTTGAAATTAAATTCATGTTGGGTAGATATATGCCTTTTCCAGTTTACTTGTTACAAAGGCATTTTCACGGTAGGGAAACTATAGTTTTTTTGTAAATCCATCACATCACCAATTAACAGAAATGATCTAGTTAACCTGGCTGTTTCTGAGACAGTAGCTTGGACCATCTCATGTATTTACTGTGTGTCCGCATCACTCTACCAGCATGCAAGGTTACATGAAAGGAAACCCTAATGATTTGCTATTGCACATTTATAGCTTTTTAACTTTCACCATAATGTTGGATGTGCAATATCAATTACCTTTTTTGTTACCTTGGTAACTGATTATGATCAATGAATTAGGAAAAAATAGTTAAGATAACTATATAAACCTTTTTAATCTGAAAATTAATGGAATTCTCTGTACCTGAGATTGATGTTACAGTGCTTCAATTGTACAATTTTAAAATATCAATTTGAGGAAAATCTATCAAAAAGGGTACATTACATGTAATTAGCCTGCATTTGAAATGCTCTCGCCCCCCAGGAGGAAACTATTTGATATGAAATGTTTAGCATGCTGGCGATTTGATGACATGGCACACATGTCAAACTGCCTAAGGTTCTGTCTGATTTTCAGAATAAGTCTGTTTGTGGGTTAGTGCGGGCTATATTGGAATCAGCAGCAAACAAGAGTATAACTTGCAAATAACAGATGTTTAATAAAGACTGCATGACATTGCTGGCTTACGGCTTGTATTTTACCCTTGTATGACTTCTGTACACTGAGCAGTTTTATTAAGTTCCTTTATGCTAATCTGTTATAATTGATTGCCAAGTTTATATAATAACCAGATGCCATTGGCTAGTTATTCCACTTTTCACAATGTTTGGGTTATTAATTCCTTTCGCTTATGTAACGATTGTAAACACCTGATTTTTATTCTAGCCTTCAAGTATCTTTGTATCACTACATGAAACAAAAATGTATTACTTTTTTTGAAGATATCTAATTTTTCTGTTTCATTGTAACATTACGTTTCATTCACAAATAAAATTTTCTTTAGAACTTAATGTGCCACAAAGTTTACTTTGGTCAAAATAATATTAATCAAAGGAAATCTCTTCTAAGATGATGATGGTTAAACTTTCTCACTGCCGTCCTTCAACTGTAGCTAAAACTGCAGTTTCCATTGAGGACATTGGCAATTTCATTGGGCTTTGGCTTTCAGGGTTAACAGGAATAGAGCGGGGGGGGGGGGGGGGGGGAACTTATCTCCTTGATACTTTGATGGGCAAACAGTGAGATGGGTATTCTAGAATTTCTATAGTGTTATCCAATAGAAATTGCTGACAACAGCCACAGGTGTGTTGAGAGTGACACCATTTTAGCCACAAGTAAAGCAAAGATATACAATAAAACATGTTGCAAAGATACAGTGGATGATCACCATCTCACATTTCAATCCCTGGTCTGTATTAAATCAAGATTACAGTGAGCACAAAAAATTGGTCTCCAATGGGATAGGGAGGGTGGAGAAAAGGTTATTTCTCATTGCCACCAATAGAAATCTGAACCGGTATAGAAGTCAATTTCAGCCAATTTGTATTAATCCCTATATTTGCTCATCCAATGAATAATAATAATAATCCTTACATTTGATTTACTGCCTTATACGTCAATGAGACATCTCAAAGCACTTCACAGGATATACTGTAAAGTGGATTGACTATTTTGTGATGCTATCTTAATCCAAATTTACGTGACTGCATCAGTTTGGCTGAGTTAGCAGTCTTGCCTCAGTCAGATTCATAGTCTTATGTTGGGACTTTTAACTAGGCTGACATTCCAACGTAGTGAGGGGTGTGTGCTGTCCATCAGATTAAAATGTTCATCCAAGGCTGTGTCTTTTTTAATTCAATCACTAATTTTAAAAAAGTACAATTTTATAGGGAGTTCAAGGAGCAGAGAGACCTGAGGGTTCACATACACAGGTCTATGAAGGTAGCAGGTACAGGTTGATAGAGCTGTTAAAAAAGCAAATGGGATCCTTGGCTTTATAAATAGAGACATAGAGTACAAAAGCAAGGAAGTTCTGCTAAACCTTTATAAGTCATTGTGGAGTTGGGAGTATTGTGTCCAGCTCTGGGCACCACACTTTGGGAATGCAGTGGAGATTTACCAGAATGGTACCGGGGATGAGGGATTTTAGTTACGTGAAGAGACTAGCAAAGCTGAGATTGTTCTTAGAGCAAAAGGTTAAGGGAGATTTAATAGAGGTGTTCAAAATTATGAGGGATTTTGATGGAATAGATGGGGAGAAACTGTTTCCACTGGCAGGTGGGTTGGTTACCAGGGGACATAGATCTAAGATAATTGGCAAAATAACTGGAGGGGAGATGAGAATTTGTTTTACAGAGAGATGTTACACTCTTGAATGCACTGTCTGAAAGGCTGGTGGAAATAGATTCAATAACAACTTTCAAAAGGGAATCGGATAGGTACTCAAAGGAAAAATTTGCAAGGTTATGGGGAAAGAGCGGAGGAGTGGGACTGATTGGGTGGCACAGGCACGATGGTCTCCTTTGCTGTAATATTCTTTGATTCAATGAATTCTCCTGGTGTTCTGGTCAACAATCCCTCAAATTAGTCATTCACTTAATGGCTGTTTGTGGGACATAGCTGTGTACAAATTGGTTGCTGCACTTGTCTAAAAATAGTCACTGCACTTTACATTAAATTCTGTGAAGCCTTTGCAATGTTGTCCTGATGTGAAAGGCGCTATATCAAATGTAAGGATTGTTATTCAGTGCCTTTTCTCTATACCCTCTGATATTGTGCCAAAAAGTTTATTTTTAAATGCCACTACTGACTCAACTGCAACAGCCACCTCTGGCAATTCATTCCATACTCGCAATCCTCCAGCACTTTTCCCTCTACCCCTTTCATGCTCCACATTGTAATCTTAAATGCATACACTTGTCCTTAAATCACTCGCAGAAATAGTTATTTATTATAAGTCTTCATTATCTTGAATATCTTCAGTAACTCTTGATAGTTAGCTTACATGTAGGAATATTTCAGCCAGAGCCCAAGCCTCCCAGGAATCCCCCATCAGCTAACCCTGACATCTTACACAAGGAATGACTACAGTTAGTTATTTAAATAGCAATGAGTGTGGGGAGAATATAGATACAATGAATACATTAACCATGTCAATACAGTGCTGCTAAACTAACATTTTATTCATCATGGATGAGCTTTCAGCCATTCTGCATTCTGCCCCCCCACCCCCCCCTTGAAACTCCATCCTGGAGTCCCTCTCACTCACTTACTCTCCTCATTCATCGCCTGCCTCAAGCCATACCTCTTTGTGCTTTCAGTCATTTTTCCCGTCCCTACTTTCTCTGGCTGCCATCCCCAGCTTGGGTGCTCAACCAGTAGGGTTAAACCTTTGCAAATGCCCCCCACCCCACCTGTGAAAAGTCCTGTAATGTAAATTGTACTGTACAACTAAAGGCATTTTTGTAATAAAATAGTAACATAGAAAAAATGGTAAATCTTTATTTGAAAATGTATATAAAACAATGCATCTGTGGTGCCAAAATACAGTATATAGAATAGCTGCACAAAAGATGATATCCACATTCAATTACAGTACCTGCAAAATGTTCAGTTTGAAAGAAGGAGACAAAGGTGACTGATTGTTCAATTGCTCTAACCTTTATAACCTTTAACCTAGTCTGTTATTTGGTATCTAAGTAAATCACCCATTTCATAACAAACAGCCATAAAGAGCAATATGCTTCTGGTGTATTCCATATTGACAGCATCAGGAGTAAAGTTTTCTTCACACATTTGGGTTTGGCTGCAGACTCAAAATATAAAGTAAGAAATTCCTTGTGCTGGTATGTCTGATGACTGCTGATGTGTGCTTATAGTGGGATTCTCCCAAGAATTTACAGAGACAACATATCCTATATTGATTAAAATGTACAGTACACCATTAGAAAGACAGATTTACCAAGTCCACTAAGGACAGCTGAAAGAATGTGGAGCAGATTATAATATAAAATACTTTCTTGGGTGGTCAGAATAAGGTTTCAGGTAACAAAAAATAATGAAAATTACAATTCTAGTGACTAAATACTCAAAGGCACGGCTGGTGCATGGAGAGACGGCAGCAGGAAGGTGGTGGTCAAGGCTAAACAAAAATGAAGCAACACCTTAACCTCAACAGACGAGAGAATTAGTTAATAAATCAGAGACACAGAGAGAGAGATGCAACCTATACCAACCTCACACATTTTATTGGTTTGAGTGACATAGGAAGAGCCTGAAAATAGTTTGCATCCCTGCACTCCCAGTCAGGCCAGAGATACATGGCAGAGCTGAGACTCTTACAAAACAGACCAGGGGTGAGAGAAGGAAAAACATAGTGAAGCTGTAAAATAATCCTTTGCATACATTTTAAACCATTAATTTCTCTTCCCACCATCCGAATACCACACCAACAAACAAACATATTGCTATTTAAAATGTGTGTTTTTCCTGATATTCATTTACTTCATATAGTTGACAAGCAGAATGCAGTGGCTACAGTTGGGGAGTTGACTCAGCTTTCTCTGCTCAGTTACTCCAGTCCAGGAGTGAATGCATTGTGTTGCTTGTTTTTGGAGTAACAATAACAATAACAACAAAATAAAGTATATAAGTAAATTACCCATTTCATAACAAACAGCATAAGGAGCAATATGTTTCTGGTTTATTCCATATTGACAATAAGGTTGATAACAGTGGTTTCCCACTGTTGGTTCACTTAGTTTGGTCCTGGACTTTTCGCTTCTAACTTGGTTACTCCATTTTCTTTGCAATTGGAACTGTAAGGAGGCCGATTGGAATGAGAAAGAAGGCGCTGGTTGCAGTGAAGCAGACTTCCGCTCCTGCGAGCCAATAAACTGAAACACAACGTGTGCAATTCAACCTCATGCTTGCAGTACACAAACATAGCTTATCACTACTACACCACATAGAAATCAGCAGCACTCAGCGAAGGGGAAAAAAGTCTGTTAATAATTGCCAGGTTTACAGGTCGCACCTTCTAAATGAGTTAGTGATCAGGACATACACTGCAATGAAACGTGCTGATTTACTAAAACTAACAATTTCTCTGCTACTCTTATCTTTTGGATGAAACGTTAAGATTAAGTCCCTCTGCCTGTCCAGGTAGATGTTAAAGAAAAGGGAGTCTCTTTCAGTGTCCTGGCCAACAATCCCCCAAATAAAATTGGTCACTCACTCCATGGCTGTTTGTGGGACATTGCTGTGCACAAATAGCTGACGTGTACTCCCACAAAATAACTCATGACTACACATATGAAATCTGACTGGAGTAAGCTTGCTAAAAGCCAGAAGTCAGAGGGTAATCAATCACAACTCACAGAATCTTCCAGTGGTAAACAGAGAGTTTGTGTCTTATGTCTCATTCTCGTTTCCCCTGGGTGATAGAAATTCTGTTTGAAAGTGAGCTGAATGTACGCATTTTGAAGACGCTACTCAAAAACTGCACTACTGAGCACGTACACACATCATTTAGTTCAGTTGAATCACAAATCACCATTGGTGACATAGTATGCTTCTATATACATAGCATATTGTGCATTCTTTTTATATTAGTAATCTGATAGACAATGTAGGAGTTGTCACAGTAATACATAGGCTATGTAACCGCAGTATATCCAATCATATTTTATGAAATGTCTTCTTTTCTGGGTCCAGAAATAATTTGTATTTTTATAAGACATCAAAGATACATCAGCTTTTGAAGACAAAAAGCCAGTTTTCAATCATTAGAACAACAAAAAGGAAGTCTGTGTGAAAGTCTCAGGGAGGTTGATGAATATCTGAGTAAACTGCTGCATAAAACCAGTGTTAACGGAGAGCAGGAATGCACCACTACTGAGTAAGGATTGCATTAAAAGGACATGAGGGGCGCTATATAAATGCAAATTGTTGTTGTTTATTGACAATGTGGAATTGCTATGAGATGATGAGTCACTGGAGCAGAAAAGCCATGCTCAACTCACAGAGAGAAGTTTTCATTTGAAACATGAACTTGCCTTGCACCAACTGTGGATTGTGCTGGACATATAAAGTTATAATGGTAGAAGTTATCACAGTCGAGAATACCTCCCATACCTTTATCCCTGGTTGGATTGCCTGTTTGCTGGATGATGTGAAAAGCCACAGATTCTAATAATAAATCTTGCATTTGATGTGCCACCTTATCACGTCTTCGAGATGTCTCAAAGCGCTTCACAGAATATATTGAAAGTGCTTCACAGAAACTGACTGTTCTGTAGTACAGAGCCACTGTGCTGCTCATTAATTTTATAGTTGAGTAATTGATTAGAGAACAGAAGCAAACATTGGCTTAAGGACAGACTATCTACATCACCCACTACTTGCACCAGTTTTTTTCCATTTTTTTNCATTTTTTCCATTTCCCACATGTGGCCTCTCAGATTGAAATGATTCATTAGTACCAAATTAAGAGCAATTTGTGTTTGGAGACCACACCCACTAAAAACTGGGTTAAGATTGTCCAAAGTGGTTTCCTTGTATCATGCCTTACAGTCAGCACACAGAGCAGGCTGTCATCCCAGCAGTTTTGTCTGGGTTCGAACGCAGATCCCAGAAATGAAAGGTCAGTGACTAACTCCAAACAATACAATATTCTTGAGAAATCAAATACAACAACAAATTACATTTGTATAGCGTCTTTCACGTTGGGATCTCAAAATAAAAAAAATCTAAAGCATCTCAATATTATCTCTTAAAAAATAGTTATTTTGAGTTTGTGAACTCTCATAAGGTAAGAACTCTAAATAACATCACAATTTATCTTTAATAATAAAGCCTGCTTTACTTTTTAATAATAATAATCCTTGCATTTGACATAGCGTCTCAAAGTTCTTCACAGGATGTACTGTAAAGTATAGTGACTGTATTTTCCGGGCGATATGCAGCAACAAATAGCCATGGAGTGAATGACCAATTTTAAAAACCTCTGCATACAACAACCTGCATTTATACAGCGCCGTCACATGGGGTACTGGCTCAGAGCACTGATTTCAGCACAGACTTTTCCTTAACTTCATGCTTACCAGTCGCTGCGACAATTGGTCCTAGAGCTCGTGCCAGAGCTCCCAAACTGCGAAGAATTCCCATTGTGGTTCCTTTCTGATCGGCTCCACCTGAATAAAGAGCAGCCTCATGAAGTATAGCAACAACAACAAAAACATGTCATCACGTAGCTCCTTTCCTTCTGGATGAATGTCTTGAAGCAATGTGGCTTACCAAGGAGAAAGATGGGGAGAACTGACCAAAGCCAAGGTCAAAACTTTTAAAAAGTTTTTAAAAGTGTTTTGAAGGCAGGGAGAGGAGTTACAAGACAATGGGAAACTGGGAGAGAATTCCTAACAGCAGGAGCATAGTACAGTGACTGTGTATTTTGTAGACCAATGGTTTACTCCTGCTTACTACATTAATCCGCAACATTTTCAAGAACATTCAGACAGTAATCCTGTGTTGTAGGTGAATGTGTAGCACACTCCCTCATGTGAGTTTCTATGGCTATGCCAATTGGCATTTCAGAGGCAGGTGCTTTAATGCACAAACCCCTGGTTTGGTAATTATGTTTCCACCCTCCCCAACAATGCAAGTTAAATGTCAAGCTGAATGTTCATTGAACATGTACATTTTATACCATGTCAAATTACGCTGAATAAAATGAAGAAACTTTTTTTGAAAAGATCATATTGTTGACTGCGGGGTAGTACGATCACGTTTTTGGAGGGAGGATTTATACGTTTTCTCCTATTTATCTTTTAAGGTCTCCTAAGCCTTTTTCCACAGCCTTGTCTGCAGAACGAGCAGACAATCTGCTTCGGGGTTTGTGTCAATGTTGCCTGTGAAAGCATCAGAGGCTCCACCATCCTCATTAAAGAGGAAGTGCCCACCCACATTCAATAACTACCATTGACAGCGTGGTGGTGGTGATGTCATGGCCAGGGAACCTGCAAATTCATTTGAATGAAGACCGTTAGTATGTTGTCTTTGTGTTTGCAAGGTATTGTTTGAGTCATTTACACCCCACAGGTAGCAGGAAATGTTAAAGGATGTTACTGTCTGAAGGAGGCCTATTTTACACGAAAACTCATTGTCCGTAAGAATGTGTATTGTGTGAGTGTGAGAGTACCAGCTCACTCCTCTGCTCAAACCATAAGTGACAGTATTTTATGTATGACGACTCCGACTTAAGTTAAGGCTTGGGGGTGTCATCAACATATATCTGTGTGTCCATTAAATGTTTTAAAGTTATTTCGAGAAGTGCATATTTTAAATTTGTTAATATAAACAGGATACTGGTTTTGTCCTCCTGACTCGAGAAGCCCCAACTCTAATCACTGAAGCATTGTATATAAACTACCAAGCTCTGTGACAACAGCACAGTCGAGCCAGGAAAGTCAGTCCACAAGGTCTCAAATGGCAGTCACTGCTGAAGCACCACCCTGAGTCAGTGCTGAACAGTAAATACACTGAAATCATATCTCGCTCCAATCAATGCAGAGGCTCATTTACTGAGAGAATCCAACACATTATCAATCGTTAATTTTAAAGTCAGAGCAGAGGAAGAGATCTCCCAGTTTGTACTTCTCTGCAGTGGATACGAGTAGCAGGGAAGCAGGTACATCCTCGGCTGTTTACAGTTCAAACATATCTGGCAATTCTACAACATTTAGAATACAAATCAAGTGAAAATTGTACATTTTCACCTGTCAAAAGTATCCAGACATTATCAGACTTACCGAACGCTGACACGAGTGTGGACAGGCACGGGACAACTACAGCAGCAGCTACAACAAATAAAGCAGCATGTCAATACTATATATACAAAAAAAAGCTGTCAGCACGTCCCTTGATAATAATAATCCTTGCATTTGATATAGCGCCTTATCATGTCTTTGAGACGTCTCAAAGCGCTTCACAGGATATACTGTGAAGTGAATTGACTGTATATTCTGGGATGTTAATGCTGGGATGAAAGGCCTCCTGTATTGACGATGTCTGCTTCTATGAAGGCTTAATAGGCAGCAGTGGCCTTGGGACATTTCCTCCAGAAAAACGATGGATATCATGTCAATCCACGAGCCCTCAGATCTGATGGGTTAACGTACCCTCAGTCCAGGGTTCAATCCCAGATCCTTGTGGCTCCCAGAAATGAGCCTACTTACATTTGGAACTTTTTTTAAGATCGTGGATGGCTGATTCCATGCCCCCCAAACAATAAATGGAAAAAAAAAGAGGAATATTTAATAATGAACAGCTCCACTTGTCCAAATTTTAATAAATTTAAGTTTGGGTCAACTGCCTCTGGGTCAAAAGGTATTAATAATAATAATAATAATCCTTGCATTTGATATAGCGCTTTTCACGTCGGGAGGACGTCCCAAAGCGCTTCACAGAACACACTGTAAAGTGAATTGACTGTATATTTGTGGGCGAACGCGGCAGCCAATTGCGCACAGCAATGTCCCACAAACAGTCGTAGATTGAAAATGACCAATTTATTATTGTTTTTAGTTTTGGAGGGATTATTATTAGGCTCTGTGTGGAGTAAGGAAACTTGCCCAAGGTTTCGCCCTCTGCCTGGAATTGAACTCAGGTCTCTCACTTGCAAAGCGAGTGCTCTAACCACTGAGCTACAGGACTCCACATTGCGTTAGTGTTCTATACCAGAGTCCAAGCTCATCATGGTGGGTGACGAGGTGGTGCAGAGTTGAAGGCAGACTACACTGCCATCCTTGAAAATCTGTCGTGAAATCACATTTCCATCTGCTTTTTCTAGTGGATGTTAAAGGTGTATCGCATTGTTTTGATGAAGAGCAGGGAGTTCCCCAGTGTCCTAACCTCCCTCATCCAATCATCTTATTCACTGACAGACAGGGCTGTTCCTGGCTCACGCTAATGCATTTCACTAACACTTCACATCAAAGCAGTTTGAGACGTTTCAACTTGATAATGACCTACATCAAATACAAGTATTACTAACTGACTAAATTGCCCCAATATAAATCCAGAACCATTTCAGTGACTAAATTACAGATACTGTAATTGTCTAGCTATTTTCATATAAAAAAATAAAACAAATCCATGTTTTATTTGCTATTCCTCTGCACCTTTATACTAGTATTTACCCAAGGCACAGTCAGATAAGTAACAATAAATGGAGCACAATAGTAGGCTATTCAGCACACAGTTCAATATTGTGTTTCACTGGTTTCATTGTTTATAGTCTAGTTTAGGAGATAGATTATTCATTAACACAAGAGCAAACAAGACACAAGTGCTCCTACACAACACCATGTAGAGACAGGGTTCTGCTGTTGAAGCTGATTATAATCTGAGATGTCACGGGGAATGAGGAAAATGAAAACCAAGGTGAGAGGGGTTTCCATTGAGGAAGGGAATGGATTTAAGTTAAAGGACAGTATTTCTATGTTTCTGTACAAAACGTATTACTTTAAAAACACACAGGTAGATGGAGTGGGGGGGGCATAGGAGGAAAATAGCTGAGAAAAAAGATTCAGAGGTAAATGTTTCTCTGAGGAACAAAACCTGGGTTACAGCCAGGTACAACATGCGCACCAATCACTGGGTCAAGCTTGCTCACTTTAATGCCTGTTATATTACTTTGCAGTCAAGGTAAAAGCCAAGGGCTGAAGTTTTACAATGAATAAATAGAGGCAATGAGAGGCAGAGTTGAGGCGGCAGGTGGGGAAAACGGATCCAAACCTTGCCACAAAAGATTTATTGTCCCAGGTCAGTGTAAAAGATAGAGCAGTTAGGCAATGAAACAATAATAAGAATAATCCTTGCATTTGATATAGTGCCTCATCACTTTGTTGAGGCGTATCAAAGAATGGTGAAATTGATACAACAACAACATGCATTTATATAACACCCTTCATGCGGAGTAGCATCCTGGGGCGCTTCACAGTGGCGGAGTCTGACAAAGAGCCAAGGGAAGAGTCAGTGGTGGGGAATTGACAGTAAACACAATCAAAAAGGTCTTTAGGGGATATTTGAAAATGGGGTGAGAGGGAACAAGGCAAAGGAATCAAGGGGGTGGAGTTCCAGAATTTCGGAGTGTAGTAGCTGAGAGCACAGCCACCAACGGTGGAAAGGAGGGCATGAGGGACAAACAGGAGGCCGCAGCCAGCCGAGCGGAGGCAGTGGGTGGTGGAGTGGGGGGTAAGCAGTTCAGAGAGGTAGGGAGGTGCGAGGGAATGAAGTGATTTGAAAATGAGTGAGAGGATCTTGAAGTCGATCCGTTGGGTGATTGGGAGCCAGTGGAGCCTGGCATGGACTGGTGTGATGTGGGTATGGAGTTTCGTGCCGGTGACTATCCGGAGTTTTGAATTAATTGAATTTTGTGTATGATGGAGCTGGGGAGACCAGCCAGAGGGGATTGGAATAGTCCAGTCGGGACGAAGGCGTGGACAAGGATTTGAGCTGCATCGGTTGTGAGGTACCAATGGAGGCGTGCAATGTGGCGGAGGTGGAAATAAGCAGGAGACTGGTCAGGGAACGGAATGTGTGGTAGAAAGGATAGCTGGGGATCGAACCTGACAACTTAGTTAGATAAGAATCAATTTGTGTACAGTTTTACCAGAAAACACAGGATGTCTGAAAAATAACTTACCAAAGGAATAGAGGAATAGTCCGATGTAGAGGACGATCACTCTTTTGGCCCAACCAATCAGAATAAAAGCTGGAATTAGCAGGAAAAATGCCTGAGAAGAAAAGGCCACAAAATAATCAGGTCTCCTCACTGCTGCTTCACAGATTCTACAGGTCTGGATGACTTTATCAATGAGGAGTAATGGCATTCATATAAATGAACTCAAATTGAGACTCAAGTTGAATGGTTGGTGGATAAAAGCATGATCCAGGGGATATGCCTTTGCCTTATCCGGGCTGAAGCTGAGAATAAGTGCCTTAAAGGATCTTAAAGAAAGGTCTGGGTTCAAGCTCCACGACAGACTTTGAGCTCATAGCCTAGGCTAACACGTCAATGCAGTGCTCGGTGAGCACATTGTTGAAGATGCCACCCTTTGGGTGAGACATTAAAACAAGGTCTCGTCTATTTGCTTCCCTAGAAAATACACAGTTATTACTCTTTCACTACGCAGAAAAACGTAGAAGCAGAGCTGCTTCTATCAAATCCATGGATTATTATTAATATTTATTGAGAAGGGAGTGAAAAGTCAGCCACGGATCCCACTGTTATTAGCTATCTAGTGACCTCTGCTGGAAAGGAAGTGTAGGTTGATTTTGGGTGAGAGCAGGAGCAAGGTTGGGTGCTATGGTCTCTTATGGTCCAATAGTTTGCCAACACTCATTGTTTGAGCTCAGTTATGAAGAGTGCCTACAATCACCACACTTTACAGCTAATCCTCTGAAGCGCTTCGAGCTTATTTTTAATGGGGACTTGGGTGAAGTACTGGAGAATTGGAGGTCATGGAACCATAACTCAGCAAAACATCAATGCCTTCAGGAGAAAAGAGGGGAGCAAAAACTGGCAAAAGAACAAAGCGTTCAAGTAATGAAAAGTTACCCAACAATCAAAAGCTACCGGAAACATTCTGCCAGGTATTTTAATTACAGAATCCTCAAAGAAGATACACGTGTTCCACTGTGACATTAGCACAGGCTCCACAGCCAGTTGCACACCAGACATTTGAAGGAGTGGGCACTTGGGGACCATCTATTATAACAGGCTATAGAAAGGAAGGGTTGAGATATGATGCCAAATGGACTGACCCAATGGTTGAACCAGAAAAACAAGCAGTTGTGTAAAAGGAGGGATAACTTTTTCCTTTCTCAAAGTATAACATCAATGAAACAGCTTTTGATGCTGTTATGGCAAGATGGTAGGACTGGTATTGTGGAAGAGGAAATAATAATAATAATCCTTGCATTTGATAGTCTCCCGTATCACTGCACAGAATATATTGTAAAGTGGGTATATTTTGTTGTCGAAATTAAATATAAACAAAAATATGATCAAATGGGTTGAAGGGCCTTCTTCATCCAAATCTCTCTTATGAACGGTTTTAGTTTATATTCAGGAGGCAGGTGAAGTTGAAGCTCTTAATTTCCACAGGATCTTCTCTTTCAGCCCATGCAATACATCAAGATTTATCCTATTGTTTAAACCAAAACCATTGTTTTGGTTTATTTGGCTCACAGATGCACTCAATAAGAAAAATCCTTGGCGTTGTTGGTCTATGCACAGCTTTTTGAATCCTTTACTTACCCTCTTCACAACCTTAATTTCATCTCCGGGTTTGATTCTTCGAGCATATCCTCCTTGAATCATTGCCATTGTGATCCCAACAAAGAAAAACATTTTGCCCTGCTGCATGCTGTGCAAATATAAATGGTGATAAGTCTCAAAAAAGTATGTTGCACAAGGTGTTGCCTAGACAACAACAACTTACATTTATATAGCGCCCTTCACACGGCGTAGCTTCTCGGCACACTTAACAGTGGTGGAGCCTGACTCCTAAGTGAAAGGGAGGGAGGAGGTGACAGTTGAAGAGGAAGGTCTTCAGTTGTGATATAAAAGAGAGGAGTGGGCAAGGCGGAGGGATTGAAGGAGAGAGCTCCAAAGCGTCAGGCCATAATGGCTGAAAGCATGGTAGCCGATGGTGGAGCAAAGGGGACGAGGGTCAAGCAGGAGGCCAGACCAGCCGAGTGGAGGCAGCGGGTAGTGGAGTAGAGAAAAAGCAGGTTGAAAAGGTAGGAAGGTGCCAGGGCATGAAGGGATTTGTAGACGAGTGAGAGAATCTTGAAATCGATCCGTTCAATGATAGGGAGCCTGTGGAGCCTGGTTAGGTGATGGGAGTGCGGAGTTTAGTGTGGGTCAGTATACAACACAAATGTGAATAACTGAAGACTTTAGGCAATAATAATAATAATAATAATGATCCTTTCATTTGATATAGCGCTTTTCACGTCAGGAGGACGTCCCAAAGCGCTTCACAGAACACCCTGTAAAGTGAATTGACTGTATATTTGTGGGCGAACGCAGCAGCTAATTGCGCACAGCAATGTCCCACAAACAGTCGTAGATTGAAAATGACCGATTTATTATTGTTTTGGGTTTTGGAGGGATTATTATTAGGCGTGTGGAGTAAGGAAACTTGCCCAAGGTTTCGCCCTGTCTGGAATTGAACTCAGGTCTCTCACTTGCAAAGCAAGTGCTCTAACCACTGAGCTACAGGACTCCACGCAAGTTAAAAAAAATTAATGTTTTCTATTATTAAGCAATATTCTCAATGGATTTCGGTTTTACCTGTGTGTGTGTTTTTTAAACTTACTCTTTACTAAAACAATTATTCTCTGGTGACTTAAAATATCTCAATAACAGAGACCAATAGGTAGCACTTACCTGTTAAAATGAAATCGCTGATGAGTGAGAAAGCCGAGTGTGTACTCCAGGCCAGAGAAGAGAAACAGGTAAAGGAAATACACCAGTCCCAGAACTTTAAGGTTCTTTACACCTGTATGAATCCAAAAACAAGCCACAAGTGCATAAGTGCATTCAATATTTCATTGACATTATGTAATTATTACAGACAATGAACCTTTTGCAATTTTTCTTTTTAAAAAGGCGCGAACTTAATGTTTCGGGAATAAAATAGAACTTTGTGCAAGGCACTGAATATTGCTGACCCATACACAAAAGCAGCCCTTGCTAAGCAATGGAAATATAATAATGATAATTCTTGAATTTGGTTTAGAGCCTTATCACATGCTGTGAAATAGACTGTGTATTTGTAGGCAAACCCGGCAGCACAATTGCACATAGCAATGTCCCACAAACAGGTATGAAACGAGTGACCAATTTTATTTGGGGGATTGTTGGCCAAGACACTGAGAGAAACGGTCTTCTCTTTTCAAATAGTGTCATGGGATCTTTAGCATACACCTAACGTCTCATCCGAACAACGGCACCACACCCCCAGTGCTACCCTGGAGTTTCAACTTAGACTATGTGAGTTTCAGTCCCAACGTGGGATGCAAATCTACGACTTTCTGACTCAGAGGTGATAGTGAGCCAAGCTGACACATATAAATAGTTAGAGACAATGTTATGCTCAGATCAGCGTTGTACAACCAGGTATTGCAAGAACTTTATATAACTTGAGGGAATATGAAAATTGCAACCTGCATCTTAGTTCTATCTTTATCTAGAGTAAGCCACAATACTTAATAATAACATGGGTTATTTTTAAACAAGTCTTTTAAAACGGTATACACAGGAAAGGGCAAAACTGCGAGAGGTGATCTTTATTGGTGACAGCTGTATTAAGGACAGATGCATTAACAATTTGCTTTTATAGAGTCTTTCATATAAGATAATGTCTGGGAGCGCTTGACAATGGTGGTGTTGGATGTCTAGCAAGCGTGAAGAGGGAGGTGACCCTCTCAGTCAAAGAAGTAGGTTTTAAGGTGGGATTTAAAAAGAGATAGAGGGGGGCAAGGCAGAGGTATAGAGGCAGAGATGTCTGAGGTGAGGAGCATAGTAACTTGGTGACCTAAAGGGGCGGGCAGAGGAGTGAGATAGGAGCAGATCAGTGGCAATTTTCATTTGCCTTTGCATTCATTTGATTGATCAAACAGAAGTGCTCTGCAGAGCAGCTATCTTACAAGCAACAGACTCCCACCCAGTTACTATCTGCCCTGATAGTGATGTGATACTGATAACTGTCCAATCAATCAATTAATTGATTAATTAATTCCTGTCAACTGAAAGTGCTAACTTCTCATATCCTACCATGAAGGAGGGTTCTTCAATTCCACCAGCAGAATGTAAGTTGTAATCGAATTAGACAATTCTCATAATATTCTACTGCAATGGGGTGTTGACTGTTGAGCACAATAGTGACAGATCTTAAGCAAAGTTAGTACAGTATTTGGCAAGCAGTCAGTTCTTTGGATGAGTTCAAGATCGTGCGTTACTCAAGTGTCATGGAGTCAAACTTCAAACCAGATAGTGTACTGTATTATTGCTTTAAATACATCCTCAAGAAACATGGCGGAATAAAAAAAAGGCTTAAAATAGATCTTGCAGGAGAGACGCTGGATATTTACACACCTTCTAAAGAGCGAGAGTCTTTCTGTCGTCGTTGGACAGCGGAGAATTGAAAGAGTGCTACTGGACTTAGGAGGTCTATGGCTTCCTGAAATCTGGACAAGACTGAGGAGACCTGTGCAAGACATTGAAAGAGACAACAAACAACTCACATTTATATAGTGCCCTCCACGTAGGGTAGCGTCTTGGAGCACTTAACAGTGGTGGAGGTTATCACTAAGCCCACTGGAAAGACACATTTCAGACACAAATACTGAAGCTTCTTATCACAACAGTAATTCTTTGCAAACCTTCATGTTTGCTTCTTGAATCTTTAAAGAGACAGTGCCTTTGATCCAAAATATTTATGTGCACAGAATTACATAGAATGTACAGTATCGAAACAGGCCATTCAACCCAACCTAGTCTATGCCGATATTTATATTCCACATGAGCTTCAACCTTACCTATCCCCATCCCTAGCCTTCCCCCATACCTCTCTATTTGGTTCTTTCTCATGTATGCATTGGGTTTCCTTTTAAATGCATGAATGCTTTTCTGCTTCAACCATTGCTTCTGGCAGTGATTTCCATATTCCCACCACCCTCTGTGTAAAGACATTCCTCTCTTTTTGATCTGCTACTGGTTATTTTATACTTATGCCCCCTTGTTAAAGTTTTGCAAGCAAACAAATGGAAACCGTTTACCTGATTGAATCTCTTCATAATTTTCAACACTTCTATCAAGTCTTCTCTCGATCATCTCATCTCGAAAGAAAAAGCCCTAATCTTTCCTGAGAGCGTGGTCTTGCATTCCTGTAAACATCCTAGTAAACCCACACTGTATTTTCTCCATTGCTACAATATTCTTGCAAATTTTTTTGCTGTGTCCTCCAAAGTTTGAGAAGTGGAACCCTGTTATAATGCAGGAGTTGTAGTCTATAAAATCCCAACCAAGGTTATAAAGGGACACAATGACCAGTCAGCAATTCAGAATTTCCACATTATAATACTACTCAAACTTTGGAGGACACGGCAAAGGATTTACAAGGATATTGTAGCAATGGAGAACATTCAGTGTGCATGTGTATTACAAAGTGTTGGTTCTATTAGCGCTTCAACACACCAACTAGTGTGTGGGGAGCCAAAACAACCAGCTTCCAAATCATCAGGTAGCCACCAATGTCACTTCCTGTATGCTGTACAGGACAACCCAATGACCTGATAATGGGCCATTTTGGCTTCCAATGTACGGGTTGGAGTTCTGAAGCACAGGTGGAACCAGCAAACACATGTTTGAATTTTTCAGGTAAGTAAATGTCAAGAGTCCACACCCCAATAAGTGAACCTGCGTCACAACAAAGTGCATTATAAAGTGGTTCTACTGAAGTTTGAATCAGACACCAGAAGCAAGTCTGTCCAAAGAACTTATTGTGAGAGCTCTCCGTTGGTTCCTCTGTTTTTCTTCGTCTTAATTCAGTTGCTGACTCTTATGGTTTATCAAGAGAACAGAACGGTCTGGGTGACTTTTACAGTCCAAGCTCCTAGAGAGTGAGTTGGTAGCATAAAGTCTCCTCTCTGAGGAAATGAATGTTAAAGTGATTCTTTCATTGTCAACTATGTAACCCATTTGCCTGAACAACTACCCATTGACACCAACTACAATTTATACTACAATAAGTATCCTTATACTGTTAAGATGTGCTCCAGTCCTGTAATTTGCTATATTCTCCAGTTTTCACCATTAGATTCATCTATGTTAATTATTTTATTAATTTTCTCCCTACACATTACCCTGTTGGCTGCTGCTACAAAAAAGCATCTCAGTGGAACATGTCACTTGTTTCTTACCCGTTTGTGTTTGGGGAGTGTCTCAGGGAGGAAGAAGAAGATGAAGAGCAAGTCGGACACTGCAAACATCAATGCCAACTGTGCCGGCTGCAGGAAGAATGCCTCATCTTTCCCAGCGTTTGAAGCAAAGTAGGCCCCCATCATGGGCCCAATGGTGAAGCCGAGAGAGAAAGCAACGCCAATCATTGCCTGTGGGATGGCAAAACGTATGAAACATTTTGTGGTTGCCTATAAAAGCCATGTCTTGTTATACATAGAAATAAAATTGAGCATTCACTTCATGGCTGTTTGTGGGACACTGTAATGTGCAATTCGGCAGCTGTATTCGCCAATACAAAACTGCACTTTACAGTATATCCTATGAAGCGCTTTTGGATGTCTTTCGAAAGGCACTGTATAAAATGTAGAACAACAACTTCAAAGATGCTTTGTACACATCTGTGAAGCCTGGGGATTTTCTTTTAGCCAACTTCCCCCACACCGGGCTCCCTCTCAGACTTTGCAAAGTAGTTGAGACATTGTCCCAATGTGAAAGGCACTATAGAAGTGTAAATTGTCATTGTAGATCAAGAGCTCAGTTTTGGAAACTGCAGGACAGAACAACAACTTGCATTTATGTGCCCCTCACACAGGGTAGCATCTCAGAGCACTTGGCAGTTGCGGAGCATGATGCCGAGCCGGGGGAGGTGACCATAAGCACAGTCGAAACAAGTCAGCTCCCATCATGAAGGGACACAGTTTACATACTCTTAATGCATTATAAACTGTTCAATGTCTCCTAGTAAGTTCCCTCCCTCTGTAACCTCTTCCAGTTGATTCCTTCAAGTAGAAAATTCACCACAAGGTTAGAAACCACACAAGCAGCAGCTGGGAACAAGTTGATAATGTATTTCCATTGCGTTGATTAAAGTTGGAGACATTGGCCATAACCTACATGTTTCCATTTGGCACTGTTTTCAGTCATAAGTATTGCACTATGTAATTGCTAGACTGATGGACATCAATACTCTCAGGTTCAGGTTTAAGTTGGATTTTTACCATTCCTTTACTACGAGCCTGTGGTGATGGCAGGTCTGCAATGATGGCTGTGGACAGGCTGACGTTCCCTTTGCTCATTCCCCCGACAACTCGAGAGAGAAGGAAAAGGCCAAAGTTCCTGGAAATAGCCCACAGTGCATAAGAAGCAATCAATCCAGCCTAGGAGAGGATTCAACAAAGAAACAAGCACTTTACAAACAGATTCTGAAGTTCAATTTATTTTGTCACTATGGACAATTCCACAGAAAGTATTAAATTAACTCTTGTCATTAAAAATGGACATTGAACTTGCAAAGAGAACAAGTATGAAGCCCAAAGAGAAAGTCATATGACTCTTAGATTATTATGAATAAATTATATATACTGAATAACTAATAGAAACAAGGCAGAATTTTATACGTTAGTTTAATGCTGTAGCTAATGGCACCATAATATATAATTTTTACCTGTAGTTTTTAAATGCATTAATTTTAAGCAAGATCTTATAAGAGCTAATTTAACTTTTATAAATCCAATTGCAACTAGAAATATTCTTACGCACAACTAAATTGTATTATGCAGTATTGTGTCTACAATAACAACTTGTATTGATATAGTGTCCGTCACAGCAATTATATGAGATTTCGTCAAACCCACAATTTAACTGTAGGACTAGATTCATTTTACCTAAATGAGACTATATGAGTACAAATAGTAGTTGTTATTCCTTAGAGACAGAAGAGATTGAAGCAGTTATTAAGGCACATGGGACTAAGTTCATATTTCTTAACAACCACTGAAATAATTTTCCCTCAATATCCTGCAAAATCCGTTGACAATGTAAACACAAGGTGACAATGTTAAGACAAGGTGACAGTTAAGGAGTGGCCCAGTGGCCCTCCTAAATGGGTAGCCAAATTGCTTGTTGCCATGCATAATACATACAGATTGAAATGGAAGTAAACCACAGACTTATTTTTGTGTTATACAGCACTCTTCGAGGCCCATCTATATTAGATTGCTGTCTGAGTGCATTTGTTATTACACATTAATGTGAGTAGCTCGTTACAGTGTTTGCAGTTCACCATGAACTAGGATTCATTAGCAGCAACAACTAAATGTATCCCTCTCATCTTTGCCAGATTCTTCTTTGACACCTTGAACTGTACTCTGAAGTAATTCAACCATTACAATGAATGGTAATTGCATGGTAATTTGTACAGAGATCAGCCATCCAGCACAATACCCTCCTCAGCACACGTAACCTCTGAATATGAATTCTGTATCAAGAATAACTCTCCTTGGTCTATAAAGTGAAATGAACTCTTGTTCCACAATTAGCCCAGGTCACTATGTGGTGCCTCGCTGCTTCACACATAATGAGTCATTTCGCTACCGTCTATTTAGCAGTCACTTGCTTATCAGCCAAGTACAAGTTATTTATTGTTAAGGTTCTCATGGTGTCTTATCCCGATTGCACCACCTTTTGTTGGGTACTGATTTCAAAATAATCCTGCCTCTTGCATGCCTGATATTTTCTGCACTGGGAACCTAACCAATAAGAATTCCAGAATGCACTCCTGAGCGGTGCAAGTAAAAATCAATAGCATAGCTAAGCACTCTTCTGAGAATTCTTCTGAGAAATCTGTATTCAGTCTAATTTGCTTGGTTTGATGCCCAACTGAAACACATTTAGATCATTGGGTTCCTAAAATATTTAGCTTCCTTCAACAACAACTTGCATTTATGCAGCGCTCGCCAAGCAGGGTAACGTTTTGGAGTGCTCAGCAGTGGTGTAGCTTGATGCTGAGCTGGGGAGAGGAGGGAGATGACCGTAGGCACAGTCAGAGGAAGATCTTCAGGTGTGATATAAGGTTCCACTAAGGTAGATAAGGGAGAAGTGGTGGAGCAGGATGACATGATCAACTTGATCAAAGACAAGGGAGAGGTCCAGGAGGCAGAGGGAGCCCTGGTCAGAGAGAGAGAGACTTCATTCCTAACCAAAACTAAATCTAATATTATGAAGGATTGATTCCTGGGTCCAATTTGCGCTATTTCTTAGTAGGATTCCTTAATAAGGAATCCTGAGGATAACCAGAATTAAGTCATACCACCGAATGCTACTGCAACTCAAGCTACTTCCCAAAAATACTGAAAATTACATTTGAATGTTAACTTTTAATTTGGATTCCCCCCCCACCCCCCACCCCACACACACACACAGCAATAAGTTTGAACTTCGGACAAACCTACTGTAGTCAGCATCATTAACAGTCTCCGGCCAAAATAATCCGAAGCAGCACCAGTCACCGGGGACAAGAGGAACTGCAACAAGGAGAAAATGGTTCCGATCAGCCCTGGAGAGGGTATAAAAGAAAATGGAAAACAATCATGTACCATTGAATCAACAATAACAAATTACAGTTATATACTGCCTTTCACATCAGTGGGACGTCCCAAGGCACTTGACAGTTAAGGGTTTGCACCCGAGCTGGGGGATGGAGTCAAGAGAATTTCAGGGTAGGCGAAGTGGGAATGGGAGTGTGGTCAAAGAGTAAAATCTTGAGACAGACCTTGAAGGAGGCGAAGGGGAGGGATTCAGGAATGGAGTCCAGACAGAGGGGGCAGAAAAGCTGAAGACCTGCCCGCCAATGGTGAGGTGGGCAGAGCGGGGGGTCATGGAGGAGGCCAGTGCCCGCCGAATCAGTCAATCTCCTTCAACTTCCCACATCAACATACCCTCAAACCTGGAACAAGTTGCTATATCAATTTAGCAGCTTCTGCTTTCTAGCGCTGGGTCTACTTATAGAAGCCTGAAATATTTCATCATCGTAGGCTTAAAATCATGGTCTTAAAATTTAAGATTGTGCAGAAACTTTAGAAAATTCTTAAATTAGGCCTTGATGCATAAACTGGTCTTCCCCACAGAAATAGGGTTTCAAAATTAAGACTAAATGTCGCAATATAGCAAAATTCTGCACAATCTTAAAATTTTAACATAAAAGTTAAAAATCTACTGAACGGTCCTACAAATGCATGATACATATAACTTCATCTGCGGAATGAAAAATCGATGCTGTGGACTGTTCAGCTATCTATTAATGCCTTGCTTCACATGACTCAGGAAATCTCCACATTTCCAAGTCTCACTGAACCGAAGAGAATTGGTCAATATCTACAACCACTTGTGATTTCTTCTAAGCGCGTCTCTTCAATTAATTCAACCCCAGGGAAACTCCACTTCCTCCCTCCTCCAAACTGCAGATCAGTATTAATTTTTGATATGGTATTCATGTTAACCATGAAAGGAAAGGCGCTGACAGAATCAATCTGTATGGTCTTTCTTGAGGGGCCAGGGTGAAACTTAAGTTCTTCCAACTGCCTCCCAACTGTCCTTTAAAACCACTATCCGTACTCTGACTTGCTCATCTTTCTCCAATCCTGAAACATTCCCGCCTCCACCACTACCTTTTCCCTTGAGCTGCTGAGACTTTCATCCATGCATTCATCACTTTCTGTTTTGACTAGGCTAACTGTTTGCTGGACTCCCCATCTTTTCCCTACACAAGATGTATACTATCCAAAACATTATTATTTAATTTAATGCGGCAATGCAATCTTATTTAACAATTTTCTTATAAACAACGTGATACTTACCGCCAAAAAGGACACTGTTATACTTTCTTTCAGACGGAACCCCAATCACGTCAGCAAACCAGTCCACGGAGTGCTGCATAGACTGGTAAAGGCCTCCCTATTAATAAGAAAGGACATCAAGTTGAGCAAGGCTTGGGTGAGGAAGAATCACGATTAGTAACAGCAAACCGTCACTTCATTTGCAGACCATTATTAATCTGTCATTCTTCCAAAATACTACTAGCAGCGACTTGGTTGCTAGCTCCAACTTGCACAACTTGTCACTGTAATCCATTTGGTGACAATGAGGCCTGAATGTAAAATAATAAACAATAATAATAATCCTTGCATTTATTATAGCGCCTTATCACGTAATTGAGATGTCTCAAAGCGCATCGCAGAATATATTGTAAAGTGTATTTTGTGGGTGAAACGCAGCAGCCAATTGCGCACAGCAGTGCCCCACAAACAGTCACGGACTGAGTGACCAAATTATTATTATTTTTTGGGAAGGATTATTACCCTGGAAAGTGATCCACCAATCGACTAACAACTGGGTTCCTACTTACTACTAGGAAACAGAGGCGTGCGGAGTAAGAAATTTGCCTAACGTTTCGCCCCGTCTGGGAATCGAAATGTGCGTAGAAAGGACAAAAAAAAATCATTAAGGGAGGGAAAGAATCTCATGTTTCTGAGTGCAATTTGGTAAATGAACAATTCCTCTGGCATTGCTCCCAGAACTGTTTTTTTTCTGCGGTGATCGAGATTGCACCCTCTCGTCTCTTGTGCTGAATTAGCCTAATGGATGTGAGAGTGTGAGTTGCCTCAAAGGTAATCAGTGTCAAGGAATCCATGCTTCCAAATACCCAAATCTGGGTCTCAAACTTCCAAAAGGCTGGGAGACCCATTATCCACTATTCATGAATTCATGATCAATGATCAATCAACCGGATCAGCTTCTCTGATCAGGGCCCAATTTCTGATCTTAACCCAATGGCTGAGAAATTAGATCTGTATTAATCTGGTAAAAAATGTAGGGAGTCTATGATTGCTGCTGAGACTTCACGATCAGGATGCTGCAGGAGGATGGAGAAATGTTACACTTAGATTCAAGTGCAAACCTCTGCTACTCATCTTCTGCCATTTAGGAACATAAAAAATTGGGAGAAGTCCATTTAGCCCAACAACCCATTTCAAAAACTTCCAGACAGCGGACACATACAACCAAACCTTTTATCACAGGATTTCTTCCAGACATCCAATAGATTTGCACGTTCGGCTTATTTTGCAACAAGCAGCAGGAAAGCTTGCCAAACATCTATTTCAATGGCAAGCTATCCGGTTTTAGCTGGTTGGATTCCAGCAGTACCCAAATGGACACTCCGGGGTCTCCAAGCCTTGGTTTTTGCCAACCTGCGCCTAACACTTTCCGGAATTAGGTAAGCAGGATACGTCCCTCCAGGGAGAGAGTGCGCATTCCATTCCAACAGTTTATTGTATCGCTGTTTTGTAACGGGTGTAAGAGGACTTTGTGGACAACCTGTACAATGTGGAGCAAGCTGCACAGCTTATTAATTATACAGTCTTGCAAGATCGCTTTTGTCATCTCAAGAGCCCATTTCCACCCCCGTTCATTGCAAGTGTGACTCAACTCTGTTTCCAGTCAGATATTTCACAACTCAGATGCATTGATGAGTTCACCGTAGATGTCAAAACAGACCTAGTTTGGGCCTAATAGAAACAAATTCAAGTTTAATTGCCTTGCAAATGCAGATTCCTTACAGATGTGGACATGAGTGGATGCAGTTTAATTAATGTTGCCTGAAAGATTGGGTTATTGGGGGGCATATGTTATACTTCATACATACATCAGATTAATAGTTCGCTCAACAGAGTTGCAAATTTTCAATAGTTGTAATTCTACAATAGTTGCACAATTGCAATGAAATGGGGCAGCTAAACAGCAAATTTTTTTTCTCTTGTCCTCCCATTGCTTTACATTCAAATGCAAGTCTGGGAGAGGGAGGAGATGACCGTAGGCACGTTCGAAGAGGAAGATACAGATACGATCTGAAGACAGAGAAGGAGGAGGCAAGGCAGAGGGATTGAGGCACAGAGTTCCATAGTTTCGGGGCGTAGTGGGTGAAAGCACGGCCACGGATGGTCTCACACTCACTAGGAACCAGAGAGCTATTGGAGCCCGCAAAAATGGACTTTAGCAACGTCACTACCTTCAGTAGAGGAAGGAAGGAAATTAAACAACAGAAACATCAAAAAGAGGAAGAATCATACATTTGAACATTAAGATATACAGTACATTTCCTGTGTCTACTTACACGGTCAGTCTTGCCATAGTAATCCAGCATGGAGGGAAAGAGTGGCAGAATAAGAGTAAATCCAAGCAGGTCAATGAGAAGTGCCAAAAAGACAATAGTAATGACACGCGAGGAATCCTGGTTGGCCTTTGATCTGCTCTCGAGTTGGCTGCTCTCTTCAGTGTGGCTCTGCTCCTCGTTTCTCTCCATGTTTATGCAGAGAATTTACAAGGAAATAAGATTCAAGACTTTTTTTTTCCCAGCTTCACATTCTTTGAGGCTGAGGAGAGAGAAAAGACACGTATGCAATCTGCTGACTCATGTTTACTTCCTTTATCAGAATCCAGTAAGATTTTGACAGCAGTCATCACTCATTCTTCTGTGCAAAGATTTACAAGTTACAATAATCTTGGAATTGAATGAAGTGATTTCTGTGTACCACAGAAACCATACCTTTGGGACGTCCTCCCGACGTGAAAGGCGCTACACAAATGTAATCTTGTTTTTGTTGTTTAACCTATATAGTACAATAATTATCCTTGCATTTCATACAGCAGCTTATAACATCTCAAAGCGCTTCACAGGATTATTATTTTTTGGTCAGCTGAGTGTCTGACACATGTATCCAAACCAAACTGAGTTTCCATGATCCCACCTACGCATGGAAATCCCAGAGATAGATTGTTGGAATGAAATGAACACTTTCCCCCTGGAGGGACACATCCTGTTTACTTAATTCCAGGAAAGTATTAGGCGTAGGTTGGCAAGAGCCAAGGCTGGGGACCCCAGAGTGTGTGATGGGGTACTGCTGGAGTCTAACCAGCTAAATCTACGTAGCTTGTTGTTGATATTGGTGTCTGGCACGCTTTCCTTGCGCTTTCCCTTATACTGCGCATGCGTAATTCAATGCAGTGATGGGTCAAGACTCCGTTCCCATGATTCAACTTGTCATGACCCACTGCCACATGTGCACTTACCGACATGTGCACCAGGATGTAGAAGCAAAGTGTAGAACCCCCATTACACCCCCACTCGAGATGAACTAACTCAGCGCTGACCTGGGTCAAATCCTGAACCAGATTGAATAAACTCACTTATCACTGCTGTTTAGAATTTATTCCCACCTCAAACAAATCAGTGAGCTATCCCCGAACTGGAGAGCCTGGCAGCAATGTATCAGGTTCTCTAAAACAGATGAGAAGACATGTTCATGCATGTCCTCCTGAATGTTCAGTGGAGCAAAAGCCACAGGGTCCTTCTGTGCTGAAACATCAGGTTATCTGGTAGACAGTGCAATGCAATTTACAATGATATAGGATGTGAGGATGTCCCAAATGCTTGATAAAGCTGGAGGACACTGAGCTGAGGGTGGGGGGTGAGGGGAGTGGAAATACAATCAAACAGGAACATTTTGAGATGTACCTTAAACAAGGGGAGTGAGTCACCGGGACTCCGGATAGAGTACCAGAGAACAGGGGCATTTTAAAAGGGGTCTGGAGTTAAGAAGCGAATCTCTTAGCTCATGTTCATGTGAGTTTCGCCCACAAAATATACAGTCAATTCATTTTACAACATATTCTGCGAGGCACTTTGCAACGTTTCAATGATGTGATAAGGCGCTATATGAAATGCAAGGATTATTATTATCATCACCCCAGGAACCCAAAGCCCAGCCTTCAGGCTGACTTCAAGTCGGTGTCTGCACTTAGTCAAGAAGTCTACAGGCCACAATCCAGCAGTGCTGAGTCACAGGAGAGCTGCTTTCTGAGTTCTTGTCTGTGTTGCTGCTGTTTTCATCTCAGTTGCCCCTCAAGCTGGTTGCAAATAAACGGTAGCATGGCTGAAAGAGTTTGTGCAAGTGTGGTTAGTTGTCTGTACAATTTGATACTTTTTGCGGAGTGGAAAATATTAACATTGAGTTTGGGAGATCAGCCTGTTTTTCTTCTCTGCCTTTATTACTGCAGCACTAGTTTATCAGGTTAAACCGCATCTATTAGCATATCATTGATACTGTGCTTTTTTTTCCTTAAACAGAAAGTGTTATTATTACAGTTGTAGCGTTGCTTTAAATAATATTTTGCATGTAAAAATACCGCACTCCCCATGCTTTCAGCAGATTGACCCTTACTTTTTCCAATTAAAACTCGCTTCAGACAACACAGGTTTGTTTAGCTGCGTTTGAAACCAATCAGTTTGCTTGTCAATCAGCAGCGACACGGAATCAGTGGCGAGCAATGAATGGCTTTGGAAGAGGATTGGTACCTTTTTACGATCAGGACAGAGGAGGGCGAAGTCCCTGTTTTCGCACTGAAGGAGTGAACTGTTTGACTCGATTCCTGCTGCTTTGTTTGCTCCCGATTCCTGGCTGAATCGCTTCTCCGGTCTCCCTTTTCTCCTCTGAAACCAGAGAATCAGGAAGCAGTGTCACATTTCATCAAAAACAGCAGCGCATGCGTTTGAATGCAGGAGCAGCAGCAGCAGCCCTGGGAGCCCTGGGACTGAACCCAATAGGTCTTTTAACTGGATTTCCAGTAAATACATAAATCGCTTTGTGAAGGTGGGGGGTGGGGGGGCAAGTGATAAATTTGGTGCATATTTAACCGCAATTGACAGCAGCCGGAAGGAAAGATGCCTCCGATAGCATCTGACTGCAGTTTATACATTGCGCAGGCTGAGTTGTCACATTGCTCTAAACATGTATAATAAAGTAACTGGTTAAAGCAACACGGTGGAATCTCAATTTCGTCTGATGTTGTTGCGCGATTCTTTTTTCTCTGAAAAAAACCCTGAATTAATAGTAATAATCTTTGCATTTGATATAGCGCTTCATCCTGTCCTTGAGACGGCTCAAAGCGCTTCACAGAATATACTGTAAAGTGGATTGACTGTGTATTTTGTGGGTGAATCACAACAACAACATTACATTTATAGAGCGCCTTTCACGTTGGGAGGACGTCCCAAGGCGCTGACAATTGACAATCACAGCAGCCAATTGCACACAAGAGTGCCCCACAAACTTTGTATTGCACTGAAGGGGAATGAATGAGTTTAGCTCAGCGGCTTTGATTCAAAATGATGTAAAGAAATTTAAACCGGGCAGCAAAATTATCAGTTGTAATCCAAACTTTTGGAGTGTGCCTATGCAGGTTTCTTAAAAAAAAACGGGCCATAAAGTGCTTTTTAAAAATCAGGTTTAAAATTGCCAATATTCCTAAACATTGTTTGGTTTCATACTGGAGCATCCTTAAAATGTGCTTTTAAATAACACGCGCTTTGTGGATCATGGGAATGCCCGAACACACCAGAAAACCCTTTACAATGACCCTATAGGAATTCTGCAATATTGATTTTTTTGGGTGCCAGCCGGGTGCAGGAACCCATCTCCGTGCATCCCACTTACACATGGAAATCCCAGAGATAGATTTTGGAATGGAATGTGACTCTCTCCCTGGAGGGACAGATCCTGTGTACCCAGTTCTGGAAAGTATTGGTGCAGGATGGCGAGAGCCAAGGCTTTGGGACCCCAGATTATGTGTTGGGGTAACTGCTGTCGTGTAACCAGCTAAAACCGCATAGCTTGCCATTGATACTGCTGTCTGGCAAGCTTTCCCGCTGCTTGTCCAACTGTTGACCCCTGTGTATTTTTATTGTACATATTTTATGACCACACGGGGGCACTTTGACTGCTGCGGGCACTCAGCAGAGGTTGGATGCTCAGATGCAGTGCCACAGGCCTCCGGTCTCAGCTCGTGTCCTCTCTCCCTGCACCGGGCTCCGCGACCCCATCACCCCCACCCTCGCTCGGCTCCACTGGCTCCCCATCCCTCAGAGGATCGAGGTCAAAATCCACATCCTCGCCTTCAAGGCCCTCCATGTCCTTGCCCCCCCCTACATCTCTGACCTGCTGCCTCCATATCAACCCGGCCACCCCCTCTGTTCAGCAGGCTATTGCCTGCTCCACCAGCGGCGGTCAAGCCTTCAGCCCCTCTGCCCCAACCCTTTGGAACTCCATTCCCACATTCCCTTCGCCTCACTCCCTCCCTTGCCTCCTTCAAGGCACGTCTCAAGACCCTCCTCTTCAACCGCCCCTTCGGCCACCCTCCTACTCTCCCTGCCATCCACCCTCCGTTATCCTAAACCTCTGACAATCCCAGACTGTCCAGTGCCTTGGGACGTCCTCCCGACACGAAAGGAATTGTACAAATGTAATTTTGTAATTTGTAACAGATTTGTTTTTCAATATTCTTTTCTCCTGCTGTTAATTCCATGATCACAGTCAATCTCAGAGATTTCTCCCTACCCCTTTTTGATCCAATGATGCATTCACCATCGCCAGTGCTGCACTTGAGTTGTCTCTTCGGGGGTTATATAAGCCAGGGTGACTCGTGTATTTTCTTTTATCAAGTGATATGACACAATTTGGTTCATCTTCATTCACTGCTTGTACTCTTATGATACTGCCTGAAAGTCTCATGACTTCAGTCAGTGTGTTATCCACACTGATGATATTGAAGGCTTGTGAAGGCTTTACGAAGGCTTAAATAAAGCCTCAGGCCGTAACTTATTTAACCCTTTCTCTGCTGTTTGTTTAGCACTTCAGTTGTTGAGTAGCTGTTGCAATGCTTTACACATTGGTATTTGTGTGTCTAAATATACGTTTCTTCTTCAGGACAAAATCTTCAGTTGTTCAAGTCCAATATTTTGTAATGATGCTGCCTTCAATTGTGAGTTTTGTTAAATCTCTGTTATGGCCATTATATGCAACAAGTTATGTGAATGGAGGGCACTGAGGGGAACGAAGGATCTGTCTTGTGCAACTGCACTCCCTACTCGTCCATTGAAAGACAGTACTGGCAGTGACTGTAGAGATGTCCACACCCTCAGATGATTGCCCTCTGTTGGCTGAGGGAAAGAATGTGGAAATAGGTGGTGAAAATAAGATCTACATCAGGGAGATAGCCAGGAATTTCAGTACTAAAGTTACCAGAGGCTCAGAGCAGCAGCAAGTGAGTCTTTGATTCTGGCCAGAGGATTAAGTTCACTCATCATTCACTCATCACTCATCATAACCAAATAGTGTGAGGCAAACAGGATGCTGGGCTCCATCGTCAAGTCAGTTGAGTATAAATCCCCAGAGGTCATGCTCAAGCTGTATAGTTACACCTGGAATACTATGTACAGTACTATGTACAGTGCCCCCTTGTGCCTGAGGGGCGCTAGGTAAATGCAAGTTGTTTTGTTGTAAACAGCCCTTGTGAAGAGACTGTATAGCATTTTACAGATTGTAAGGAGCTATTTGGCCTATGCTGCCTGTGCCAGCTCTCTGAAAAAGATATTCATTTAGTCCCACTTTACTCACCTTTTTCTGCAACTTTTCATATTTTTCTCTTTCAAAATATTTACAAAATTTAAAATAATAATCTTAGTGGAAAAACAAAATGCATTCTAGTCTGGGTTCATATGAGGTTTTCTTTTTAAAGCTATTCCTGTAAAATGATGCAATTTACAACAACAACATGCACTTATACAGCACCCTCCATGCAGGATAGCATGGCGGAGCGTGACTCTGAGCCGGGGGAGGGGGGGGGGGGAGAGAGGTGGTGAGGTTGACCGTAAGCACAGACGAAAGGAAAAAAGTTAGATGGGACTTGAAAAAGGGGAGAAAGGCAAAAGGCGGAGGGATTGAGGGAGAGTGTTCCAGAGTTTTGGGGCATAGTGGCTGAATGCGCGACCTCCGATGGTGGGGCGGAGGGCGCGAGGGGTGAGCAGGAGGCCGGTGCCAGTTGAGTGGAGGTGCCGGGTGGTGGATTGGGGAGTGAGGAGGATGGAGAGGTAGGGAGGTGCCAGGAAGTGAATGGATTTGAACAGGAGTCTGAGGATCTTGAAGTTGATTTGCTTGGTGATGTGGAGCCAGTGAAGCCTGGCCAGAACTGGTGAGATGTGGGTACGGAGTTTGGTCCATCCGGGTCAGTATGGGGCAGCAGAGTTCTGAATGAGCTGGATCTTTTGAAAAGTGGAGCTGGGGAGACCAGCGAGGAGTACGTTTGAGTAATCCAGGAGGGAGGTGACAAATGCATGCACAAGGGTTTCAGCTGCAGTTGCGGTAAGGCACGGTCGGAGGCGGGCAATGTGGCTGAGGTGGAGGAAGGCATTCCTGGTCAGGGACTGGATGTATGAAAAGGACAGCTGGGGGTCGAACCGGACGCCTAGATTGCGCACTGGTTGAGTGAGTTAGTTAGATTACTGTTAGATTACTTTTGATTACATTGTGTGGAAAATCTAAAGGAATAATCAATTATTATATCCAAATCCAAAGTGACATTTGAAAGAAAAATAATCATTGCATTTGATACGGCGCCTTATCCCATCATCAAACCATCCCAAAGTGTTTCACAGAATTTTACTGTGAAGGATAGTTACTATATTTTGTCGATGAACCCACTAATCTGCACACAGCCATGTCACCCATGAAGTGAATGACGAATTTTATCTGGGAGATTATTGGGCAGGACAAGAATCCTTGGCCGCAGCAGCATCTCAACAGGTAAAGTGCTTAATTTTAAAAAGACAAAGAAAATATAAACGGTGCAATTTTTTTTGATCAGCATGGTTTACATCTTCCCTGTCAGACAACAGCCATTTGTAATTCTAATAATAATAATCCTTGCATTTGATATAGCGCTTTTCACGTCTTCATTGTAAGTAGTATTTTGTTGCCCATTCTGAAGAAAAATTGCTAAAATGAAAGGGCAGTCACTGGGGACAGGGAATCATCCCCACTCAGCTCTTGTTAACCCTGCAAGCCAAAGCCCTAACAGGTAGGGTGGTCCTAGCTGGACAAGCAGTGGAAAAGATTGCCAGACAGCAATATCAATGGCAAGCTATGCGGTTTAAGCTGGTTAGACTACAGCAGTTACCCCAATGCACACTCTGAGGTCCCCAAGCCTTGGCTCTTGCCATCCTGCACCTAACACTTTCCGGAATTAGGTAAACAGGATGTGTCCCTCCAGGGAGAGAGTCGTATTCCATTCCAACAATTATCTCTGGGATTTCCATGTGTAGGTGGGAGGCCTGGAAATCTGAGTTTGGTTTGTTTGTTGGTTTATAATCTTAAGCGTGGTCATGGGTTTCCTTCTGTGTCAGACACCTGGCTGACCAAAACAAATCTATACAAATCTCATGTGCCTCCTGCTGGCCGGTTACTCAACAGCGTGAGCTGGAGACTCCTGACCGCTGCACTAGGGAAATATATAAAATATAAAATAAATATACAAAAATAATATACCCTCATATCTTCCCTCTCCCTCTGCTCTGAACGCCTACTCATCCTTGGCAACTTCAACCTTCACTTCACCCCTCTTGCTCTACTTCTGTTGACTTCTCCCTAATCTACTCCCTCAATCTCTTCCTCTACATCCACTCTGCCACCCACATCTGCGGTCACCCTCTTGACCTGGTGATCACTCGGGGCCTCATCGTCTTGGACCTCACCATCATCGACAAAGCAATCTCGGACCATCACTTCATCTCCCTTAACTCCTCAAACCCTCTCCCTTCCCCTCTCTCCCCCCTCCCTCTCCCCTCTCTCCCTCTCCCCCCTCCCCTCTCCCCCCCCCCTCCCCCCCCCTCTCCCCCCTCCCTCTCTCCCTCTCCCCTCCTCTCTCCCCCTCCCTCTCTCCCTCTCCCCCCTCCCTCTCCCCCCTCTCTCTCTCCCTTCCCCTCTCTCCCCCTCCCTCTCTCCCTCTCCCCCTCCCTCTCCCCCTCCCTCTCTCCCTTCCTCTCTCCCCCCTCCCTCTTTCCTTCTCCCCCTCCTCCCTTTTTCCCCCCCCCCTCTCTCCCCGCCTCACCCCTTCCTTCCCCATCTTCACATCACACCTGAAGACCTCCCTGTTTGACTGTCCCAATGGTCCCCTCCCCCCCCGGCTCGGTGTCAGGCTGTCTGGGACGCTGCCCTGGCCGCGCGGCCGTGCAGCCCTCCTCCTCATGGAGATCCCCATGTCTGCCAGGAATGCACACTCGCCCCCAGGAGGGATGCAGTCTTTCAGCGTATCTGCCCCTGCTCTCTGGAGCTTCATCCTGGAGCCCCTACGATTTGCCCCATCCCTCGCCTCAAGACGTTCCTCCTTGAGCTCACCTTTGGTCATCTTTCCCAAACCCACTCCCCCACCCCACCTTGACTCCAACCCCCAACTCGGTTGCAAACCCTGGAGTGTCTCGCGCTGTCGGACATCCTACCGATGGGAAAGGCGCTTCATAAATGTAAATTTGTCGTTGCTTTTCCTCATTCCAAAGAGTATCAGGTGCAGGTTGGCATGAGCCCAGAGAGTGTTTTGGTGTAACTGTTGGAGTTTAATCAGCTACTCATTTGATGTTTAATTGCATTACTTGTTAAAGCTTTGGCTTGACCAAATTAACAGGAACTGAGTGGAAAGACTCCCTGCTCCCAGTGACCAAACAAGTCAACAGGAGCCACTTCAGCTCCAAGGGGACCACCTACCTCCCCTTACACTGATCCTGTGTGTGAGAAGGGTTGGTGAGTCCGAGAGAAGGAGGGAGGCGGCAGGAGACAGTGTGCTCAATTACAGGTGCCAGATTCTGAAAATAAAATTATTTTTTTCCTCCTTTCAGTGTATAGCAATTTCATGTAAAAGTATTTTTTGGAAGTATTCTGAACAATGGGGAAAAAGAAAACCTCTGATACGGTACGGAAAACAAAAGGCACACGAGACATTAAAACCAACCCGTTTGAATTAAAGATAAACAAACAGAAATTTCAGATTCTTGGACGAAAAACAAAACATGACCGTGGTTTGCCTGGAGTATCCCGATCCAAATCTATCAAAAAGGTAAAAGATTGGTACTTTTCAGTATTTATTCTCAGTTTTTTAATTGCTGTCTGTTTTTTTGCTGAGATGTGTCGGTGTCAGGTGAGGGGGGAAGTGATCAGGTTGTGCTGTGATGTTCTCCTGGGATTTTGACAAGTTGCTTACTTCCTGTCCAACCTCATGCTTAAAGAATGACCACTTGGATAAGGTACCAGACAGAGGTTGTCCATTGCTTCAGGGAACTGCAAGCCAGCATGAGCCTTCAGCAGATGGGTGGACAGGAAGACTTTGTAAACATTGCTGCACAATGTGTCCTAATTCATTCGGTCATTTAATTTTTTTTAATCAGAACAATTCCACCCTGCTAAATTAAACAAATGCATCTTAGAAAGATGCTAATATACTGTTTGCACTTAATAGACAAGTGTTTTTGAATTAAAAATGAGAACTGTACATATCATACATTCCAGTCACAGTACAGGGTATCTACAAAGTCCTTGTTACCCCCGTTACAAAACAGTGACATGAGAATCCGGAGGAGCTGAAACAAGCTGTTAAGATGGATTTCGCCTCATCAGTCCATCCATTTTCCAGAAGATGTCGCACTGAAAATGGCGACGGATAATTAACTGCCATGAAAATGATGGGCTCACACACACCGATCCTCTGGACGTCTAAATACAGTTAAACACTTGTACGGAATACAATTAAGTACTTCTTCCAAATGTTTCAGTTGTTGGTCAGTGTTGCTGTGTGTAAAAAAAAAAACAACCACAACAACAAATTGGAATAACGGACCTTTGTGAACACCCATATACTCAGTTAACTGTGACAATGAATTTTTGATAGTCATCTGTCTGATGCAAACAAATAGCCAAAATATTTGCAACTTTTGTTTTTCAAGGGCAGTGGTTTCAGCGATGCTCCATATCTTGTAGAAAAAATGAATGCACTTTATTCATTTGTCTTCTAGCGAACTGAGACCTTGCTGAAGGAGTACAGGGAGAAGGACAAAGCCAATACCTTCATTGACAAACGATTTGGTGAATATGATACTAAGTTAACTCCAGAAGAAAAGATGATGAAGAGATTCTCTTTGGAGAGACAGGTAATGGCTTACTGTGTAATACAAAACAACATTATTTAGTGCTTTTGTTGGCCAATTTCTGAGTTTGTTTTTAATTTAGAAACTCTTTTTCCTCAGTAATTAATGAGAACCTCAGAAAATCAAGATTTTTTCAAGGATCTACATGATCTTAAATTTTAAGATCGTGGTCTTTTCTACCGTGAGGAAATTGGAGCCATTGATATTCTTGTTTAGTTGGATGGTGGCATTGAATATTGTCAATTCACGGGTATTTGACAAATTAGTTAGATGCAGCACAGCCTGCAGACAAAACCTATTTGCTTGTAAAATCCACAGTCACTGCACTTTACAATATATCTTATGGAGCCCTGTAGTGATTAGAGCACTGGCTTCACAAGCGAGAGACCTGGGTTCTATTCCCGGCAGAGCAACACTTTGGGCAAGTTTCCTTACTCCATATGCCTGATAATAATCCCTCAAGAAAAAAACAAAAATAATTTGGTCACTCAATCCATGTCTGTTTGTGGGACACTGCTGTGCGCAATTGGTGCAAAAATATACAGTCAAATTCACTTTATAGTATATTCTGTGAAGCGCTTTGAGATGTCTCGAAGACGTGAAAAGCGCTATATCAAATGCAAGGATTATTATTATAAAGAGCTTTCAGACGGACAACATGAAAGGCGGCATATCAAATGTAATGATGATTATTCTCATTTTTATTCATTACTCATTACATTTGGTACAACGTCTTTCATGTCAGGAGGACATCTCAAAGCACTTCACAGGATTTACTGTAAAGGACAGTGACTGCATTTTCTAGGTGAAATTCAGCAGCTAATTTGCACACAGTAGTGTTCCACAAACAGGGCATGAAGTGAATGATTTATTTTTTTATGTAAGTGCTGTACGGAGTTTTATATAGTGTAGTGGTTAGTGCTCTCACCTCACAAGCGAGAGGACCTGGGTTTGATTCCCTTAGGCAAGTTCCCTTACTCCACAAGCTTCTGTTTACCTACCAATAAGTAGGAACCCCGTTGTTAGTCGAATAGCAGATTGCTTACTGGGGATAATAATTCCACTTTTTTAAAAAAAATTGGCCACTCAATCCATGACTGTTAGTGGAACACCTGCTGTGCTCAGTTGGCTGCCACGTTTCACCCACAAAATATACAATTAATTCAATTTACAAAATATTCTGTGAAGCGCTTTGAGACGTCTCAATGATGTGATAACAACAACAAGAACTTGCACTTATATAGTGCCCTCCACGTCGGGAGGCGTCTCAGAGTGTTTAACAATGGTGGAGCCCAAGGCTGAGCCAGGGGGAGGGGGGGAGGTGACCATAGATGCGGTCGAAAAGGAAGGTCCTCAGGCGCAACCTGAAGATGGGGAAGGAGGGGGAGAGGCGAAGGGGTTGAGGGAGAGAGTTTCAAAGTTCCGGGGGGTTATGGCTGAAGGCACGGCCGCCGATGGTGGAGTGGAGGATTCGGGGGACGCGGAGGAGGCCGGACCCAGTAGAGCGGAGGCAGTGGGTACTGCTGTGGGGAGAGAGGAGGTTAGAGAGATAGGGGGCTGCCAAGGAATGGAGGGATTTAAACACGAGAGTGAGGATCTTGAAATCGATCCGCTCTGTGACAGGGAGTCAGTGGAGTTTGGCAAGGCCTGGGGTAATCGGGGCATGAAGTCTGGTGTGGGTGAGAATGCGAGCGGCGGAGTTTTAAATGCGCTGAATTTTGTGAATAGTGGAGAAGGAGAGACCAACAAGGAGGGCTTTAGAGTAGTTCAGCCGACAGGTGACAAAGGCATGGACAAGGGTTTCGGCAGCTTTTGGGGTGAGGTATTGTCAGATCCGGGCAATGTGGTGGAGGTGGAAGAAATACAGCAGCTACATTGCGCACAGTAGTGTTCCACAAACAGGGCATGAAGTGAATGACCTATTTTCTATGCAAGTGCTGTATGGAGTCTTATATAGTGTAGTGGTTAGTGCTCTCACCTTGCAATCGAGAGGACCTGGGTTTGATTCCCTTAGGCAAGTTTCCTTACTCCACAAGCTTCTGTTAAGGCACTATTATCAAACGGAAGGATTGTTATTATTCTATGTTTGCCTAATTGTTCTGTGGCCTGTTCCAGCGCCTCCATACAAAGAAGAACGTGTACAATCTGAATGAAGATGAAGAGCTCACTCACTATGGACAGTCCCTGGCAGACATTGAGAAGCTGAATGATATGCCAGACAGTGACAGTGATACAGAGGGTAAACTTTCTGGTGAGTGATTTGACTAGTTCACGTGGAGGTCATATTTTGCCTGTACACTTTTCCAGTTGCCTTTATCCTTCCTCTGGTGATGTGACATGACTGCAGAATTTTCATTTGTACGTTGCATTCTCTTTCCCCTCTCCCCTTAGGAAATATATTTATTTTTTAAAAAGTTTACCAGCAAAAAATTATATCTCTGGCTCCAGCAATAGAGTGATGTGGAGAGGGCCACCTGATTTTAAGTATCGTATCTCATGGCATAGATTATTGAAACTAATACCCGATTTTGTGACCGCAGCTGAGCATGTGCTCGGTAGAGGTGGTAGCTTTTAACTGTATCTTGAACAACATTTAAAACTCATTCATTTGATGATTCCTTAGCAGTCCGCTCCGTACTTGAGAGCTTTGAAGTGAGAATTGGGGAGCAGAGCTTGTATACCACAGCAGTGTTACCCATCTTGTGAAAATAGTAATAATTTGTCGCTATTTTGTAGTGTAAACCCAGCGTTGAATTCCTTAATTAAATTAATAAGAATTGTTATTTTTTACTCGAGTCAAAGATGCAAGATTTTCATTAAAACAGGGTGTTTCTTAGAATTGATAGACCCTTAGAATTCCAGTAAGGTTTCTTTCTCTCCCACCCCCTCCCCTGCAAAATTATTTCATATCTGCTTTCATCTTAAGATTTGAGTAAATACCGTTGATCACTATATTAATCTATGAGCCAGCTAAGTACCCCCCTCTCTCTTTTGCAGCTGAATTTACCGCAGCTGCACATTTTGGGGGTGGAGGGTTGCTACGGAAAAAGACTTCATCTGAACAAGAGGAGGAGGAACACAAGCCGAAATCCCGGAAGGAGTTGATTGAGGATCTTATTGCAAAATCCAAGAAGGAGAAGGTATACTGTGCCCAAAGTCTTTGTTTTGGGGGTATTTATACCATAGGGACAGAAAGACTTTGGTAGCCAAGGGAAATGATAGTGCGTCAATCAACAGCACAGCTGGCAAAATAAGAGCGTAAGAATTGCTATACGAAAGACCAAGGTCCATCCAGTTCGACTTCCACCATCCTGGCAGTCACTTGCACATGTCCTGCACCAAACTTTATATTGTATCCAGATATAACGATAAGAACATAAAAGAATCGTTCACTGTATTTGAATTTTCAATTATTTTGCTTTTGTATCCAGTCTTAAGATGCAAAGCGCATTTGGTCCTAAAGCTTGTTTTTGATAATGGATTTGTTTTGATGTGGTCAACAGCACGAGCGTCAGACGCAGAGGGAGGAGGCACTGGTGCTCACTCAGAAACTGGACAAAGAGTGGAAAGAAGTACATTCTCTCCTGGCTTGCAAAACTCCCAACGCCGGACCTAAGAAAGCAGAGCCACAGCAGCCCAAGGTGAGAGATTGCAGGGATGTTGGCTTGACAGACTGATCTGTCACAATATTCTGAAACAAAATGGATCCAGTTTTGGGATTGTATGTGATGGCCATTTTCTGCTGGGACTGATCCAGATGCAAACTAAATCTTTCTGTGAGTAGTCCAGTGCAAATAATTTGAAATATATTCAACCCAACAACTCTGGAAACCTATGCCAGGTGCTTAGTTGTTTTGTTTCAAAAGATCTATTACTGAAGATTCAAGTTTTTGCCCACAAAATATACAGTCAATTCACTTTAGAGTGTATTCCGTGAAGCGCTTTGAGACATTTCAATAAGGTGATATAAGGTGCTATATCAAATGCAAGGATTATTATTATTTATTATTATAAAATGGGATGGAGCAGGGAACAGTGGGGTGGGTGTTGTGGAAGGATGAGATCGGAAGGGCCAAAGAACCTTCTACATCCAGACCAATCTTGAGATCTTGTGAACTATAATGACAATAATGCTAATTTAAGAATTATTTATCAATACTGTTAAGGTGAGGGTAAAGTGCTGTTTGTTTGGAGAGAGGGGAAATGTGGAAGTTTTTTACAGGATGTAGATGTTGCATTGGTTTGGAATTGTAGATTATTCCTTAGGTGTAAGGATGTACTACTATAGTAGTACATTTTCAATTGCAATGCAATTTGCAGTTATATAGGGCCTTTCATGTTGAACTCACAACTTTCTGACTCAGAGGAGTAAGAGCTACCAATTGAGACAGGCTGACAGGATGTGTATGTTTAGGTGCTTTTAGAAGTTGTGTTAGAGAGTGAAGTGAAATTGAAAACAAATCAATCAACAGTAAAATTGTGCTTTTCACAAACATTTTCTTGAATAAAAAAAATCTTGTCCTTTAGGTTGACGATTATGATATTCTGGTCCGAGAACTGGGCTTTGAGATGAAGGCACAGGCCTCCGATCGACTGAAGTCTACAGAAGAGCTGGCAAAGGAGGAGAGTGAGCGTCTGGAGAAACTTGAGGTACAGAATCTCACTGAATTCCTCTGGTTGTGAGTAAGAATAATTGCAGTCTTCACAATTGCCATTCGACTGAGTCTATTTGCAACAGCAGGTGTCAGACGCCATCCGTTACATTTCATTGTTGGCCTTTCGGTCACTGCCACTGATTTATGGTTGTTTCGAAGCATTACTGAAGTAAGTTCAATAAGTGTGTGTGTGTGTGTGTATATATATATATATATACACACACACACACACACACAGCAGTGGGAACTCTGAAACATGGGGATATGATTTGTCCATTAGTGGGCATTTATGATATTTTGACTTTGAATTTCAGGCAGAAAGATTGCGCCGAATGCGGGGAGAGTTTGAAAATCGGGGCAAGAAAAGGCCGAAGCACATGTCTGCGGATGATTTGCACGATGGCTTCATTCTGGACAAAGATGACAAGCTTCATCTTACTTACAAGGTATGGGTTAATGGCTGTTAAATCTGGACTATCTTCTCCAGTAGGTAAAGTGGAGACTGAGACTTTAGTACAAAAGGGTTTATATATTATTATTATATACTCTACCTGTGTTGCTTGATTATCATAAAATAAATACCTATTCCTCTCCTGATGGCCTAGTGCATAAAGGCATTACCTGCTTTGGCACGAGGACATACTGACTAGATTGTTGGAGGTTCAAATCCCAGTCTGTGTTCATATTAGCCAGGGCAACATTAAGGACATTAGTCCAGTGCCTCTGAGTTAGGGAGGGGATAATCAGACTGGCCTTCTACTTCTCATCACCATCCAGACCTCTACTGTAGTTTGCATGGATTTTGGGTGATTTAAAAGGATACAGCAATGAACTTGAACCTCTAATGCATTTTTCACTCATTCCTGTTTCAGAATCTATGTAAATAAAATGTATTTCAACGATGCCACTGTGGGCTGTAACTGCTGGGTTGCACTAGATGTGGGTGATCTCATGCTTGATACTGTACTACAATAACCTTCATAGCGCCCTTCACATGTGGCAGCGCCTTGGAGCACTTAACTATAGTGTAGGGGGGAGGTTTTTCCTACTGGCTATTGATATCGCCCGACTCCACTGGCTCCCTATCCTTCAGAGGATCCAGTTCAAGATCCTGGTCCTCGCATACAAAGCCCTCCATGGCCTCGCCCCACCCTACCTCTGTGACCTCCTAACTCTCTACCAACCCGCCCGTTCCCTCTGCTCAGCCGGCTCCGGCCTACTCCACGTCCCCCGACCCACCCGCACCACCATTGGCGGGAGAGCCTTCAGCCACTCTGCCCCCAACATCTGGAATTCCATCCCCCAGTCACTCCGCCTCGCCCCCTCCTTAGCCTCCTTCAAGTCCCGCCTCAAGACCCTCCTCTTCGACCAAGCCATCAGCCACCCCCCTTATCCTCCCTTACCCTCCCTGACCCCAGCTCAGGTCTGAAAGGCTGTACACTGTCCAGCACCTTGGGACGTCCTCCCGACATTAAAGGCGCTATACAAGTGTAATCTTGTTGTTTTTGTTGATTATACGGAGGAATCGATTAGCAGCTGAGCAATGAGAGGATGCCCTTTTTGCTGCATTGCAACACATTTCCTACTACATGTTCATAATCTGTTTTTTTCTCCAGAGATTTGTTGCAAACTGTATTGATTCAAATCTTAAAAAAAATTGTGGTAGAACCTGATGTCTTGATTATGTGATTAAATGAAAATGGATTTGTGGTTGTTACAATGGGACATTGTGTGGCCAATATTACATTTGAGCCGGTGGAAGAAGTTTTGACTTGTGCTTTTGCTTTGTTAACAGGATGAGGAAGAAGAGGAAGGGGGAGAGGAAGATGGGGAGGAGGAAGAAAGTAACAATGCGATGGATAGTGAAAATGAAGAGGAAGATGAAGATGAAGATAGTGGTGACGAAGAGGAGGAAGAGGACAGTCATTCAGATCTGGAGTCTGATAATGAAAAGGAAGAAGATGATGGGGATGATGATGATGGCGATGATGATAATGAGGGTGATTCAAATGATAAAAAGAGACCTGCTAAACCTATATCAACTAAAGAAAAAGTACAGGTTGAAGAAGAAAAGCAAGCGATGATAACAGCGGCCAAATCTGAGCTCCCTTTCACTTTTCCTGGTAAGTCGTTGACTCCTGAGGGGAGGCCAGCGTGATCTCATGCTTGATACTCTAGCCCTGGGGTCTGATAGACAAATCAAGAACCTTTTCTCATTGCGAGTGTCATTAAGTGGAAGTGCAGCTATAATACTGGTTTCAGGAAAATAGAAACGGAACACAAAGAATCCTAAGCCAATATTAAAAATTGTAATTTTATTGGCTACGTATTTAAGATGTGCCCTTTGATTTGTAACACTTTTGTTTTTTGCAGTCCCTGAATCCTTATCCCAACTGAAATCTTTGCTAACGGGGAAGGAAACAGAAAATCAGTGTTTGATAGTGGAGCGCATTCAGAAATGCAACCACCCAAGCCTTGCTGAAGGAAACAAACTCAAATTAGAGGTAAGCTTGACTTTAGGGATCTTATGTGCTTATAAAGTTGGGTGTTAATCCCAGTTTGTATACTTCTGTATTTTGGACACCCCGTGGCAAAATTGATCACCAATTCATTATAAAATATATTTTTTAAAAAGTGGCGTTTTTTTNACAGGTATGGGTATTGAAAATAAGAGCAATGAGTTAAGATTGTACAATATTTAAGACTGTGTTTTCAGTCCTAGATTTGTGAACTACAATATAGTTCGGACATCACAGCTATGTGGGGTTAGTGGTTATTACACTGCCTCGCAAACGAGAGGATCTGGGTTCGATTCCCGGATGGAGTGAAACCATAGACAAATTTCCTTACTCCATATGCCTCTGTTTACTTAACAGTAAGTAGGAACCCGATTGTTAGTTGATTGGTGGATTACTTTCTGGGGATAATAATCCCTCCAAAAAAAAAAAATAATAATAATAAAACAAATGTAATTGTAATTTGGTCACTCAATTCATGACTGTTTGTGGGACACTGTTAGCTGCCACATTCTGCCCACAAAATATACAGTCAATTCACTTTACAGTATATTCTGTGCAGGACTTTGAGACCTCTTAAAGACTTTGACATTCTGTTGCTAAAGATGTCACCTTGGAGCCAGCTCAGCTCCAAGGAGACCACACTTACCCTCCCACCATGACAACAGGGGGATAATGGACATAACACTGTAAAGACGCAGGCGTGGCAGACCAATTACCTCCTTTAAGACAAACATTTTTTGATGAGATATCTACTTCTTCAGATTATCCTCCCATTCAAAAAAAAAAGCACTTTTTAATCACCCGTGTTTCTACTTTATTATTAAGTTTGTGTGAAATGTAAACTTCCGATGATCATGGAAACGTGGTCAAATTGCCAGAATCCAGCTTTCAATGTGTAAAATTGAAAATAATAATAATCCTTGCATATAGCGTCTTATCACGTCGTCTGAAGACGTCTAAAAGCAAGAAACTAAGGCTTGAATACAAGTGAAAGATTTTCACAAAATGTTCAGTATCCTCATGTCATCTGTTATCAGAAACTCTTTGGGTTCCTGTGGGAATATGTTGGGGAGCTGGCAACCAGGAGGCCACCAGATTTGAAGACTATTGACAAGATGGTACCGTGAGTATCACAAAAACTTCAGACTCTTAATAGAAATAAGAAGGAAAAATAATATGGTAAATATTCCTTGCATTTGATTTAGCGCCTTATCATGTCGTCGAGACTTCTCGAAGTGCTTCACATGATATACCTCAAAGTGGAATGACTGTTTAGTTGTGGACGAAACGTGGCAACCAGTTGCATACAGCAATGTCCCACAAACAGCTATGGAGTGAGTGACCAATTTGGGGAATTTGTTGGGTCAGGACACTGGGAGAAACTCCCTTCTCTTTTCGACTAGTGTCATGGGATCATTAACCTGAGCACCTGAGCAGGCAACTCCGACAAAGAAACACCCCAACAATGCATTGGAATATCATCTTAGACGATGCGATTCCAAGTCCCAACTTGGGACTTGAACCCACAACCTTCTGATTCATAGGCAAGAGTGCTACCGTCGTACCTATACCATAGATTATTCCCACTGCTTGGTAAATTGGTAACGCAACAGCATCTTGCATTTATATCGCTCCCTTCATGTAGGATAATGTCTCTGAGTGCTTCACAGTGACGTGGTCAGACACTGAGCGGGGTGAGGGTGGAAGTGACAAAAGGCACAGGATAGTTATATAAAATTGAAAATACTGTAAGCCTTGTGCTTGATGTTTGTGTCAAATTCATCCACAAAATACACTCGGTCAAACTACTTTATAACACATCCTGTGAAGCGCTTTGAGACACCGCGACGAAATGAAAAGACACTATCAAACGCGAGGATGTTTTATTAAAATTGAAAAGAGTTTATCGCTCGTGAAGGATTTCCATAAATGTCCAATATCCTCAATATGTCATCTGCTGTCAAACATTTTGGCTTCTTGTAGGAATAAGTGGCTTTTTGAGACAGAGACTGTAACAACATTGAACAAGGAATTGGATAGAAATTTGAAGAGGACTAGTCAAAAAGGAAATAGAGAATTTGAGTAGTTCTAGTGGAAGAGCTATCATCAGTTTAAGCTCGATGGGTCAAAAGGTTCCCTTTTCTGCTGTAATTTATGCTGTAATCGCTGGGAGACCTTGACCCGCTTGAAGGATGCTATATAAATGCTAGTTTTTGTAATTCAGTTGATTGGAAAATATATTAAATACTGAACTTTTTTGTTTTTTCAATGAATGAATTTATTGGTTTACTTAAAAATTATTAGTTTTTTAGCAGTTCATCCACAGTAACGTTTTGTAACTTTGCACATCGCATACCTTTGGTGTCTGAAGTAATCAGAGCTGTTAAATGACAGGTCATTGTCTGCCAAATAATAAGCTCAGAATCTAAACTGATATTTCAGGACTGACCTGACCCCACCCCCCTCCCCACTCACACACAAGTATACAAATTTTAGGCAAGTTTCCTTACTCCACACGTCTTTGTTTTTCTAGCAGGAAGTAGGAACCCAAACCCGGTTGTTAGCCGATTGGCGGATCACTTTTCGGTGGTAATAATCCAAAAAATCAAACTCAATTCACGACTGTTTGTGTGGACACTGCTGTGCGCAATTGGCTGCTGAGTTTCACCTACAAAGTACAGTCAATCTGTGTTACAGTATATTCTGTGAAGTGTTTTGAGATATCTCAATGGTGTGATAAAGCGCTATATCAAATGCAGGGATTATTATTATTGAAGTTAAGTAATAGTTCAGAAATGTTGTTTTCAAAATGGTACAGATGTGACTATAATGGTAAAATGCAGCACAAGTGGTCAAGTTGCTAAAGGAGCAATTATGATTGTCTCAATTTAATAATCCTTGCATTTGATAAAGCGCCATATATCGTTATACATCTCAAAGTGCTTCACAGAATATATTGTAAAGTGGATTGACTTAAAGTATTAAAATAAAAAATAGAGTCAAAAGTTACATCTGAGTTTGCTTGACACGTGGGCTTGGGAAGAAGAGTTACCCATGAACTGATGTACTAGTAAAATTATTGAGGAGAACAATCCGTAGTGTACATTTAGTATGGTTTTGTTCCTGCCTTTTTGTTTTCCACAGACAGTTGTATGAATTGTCCCAGATGTTTCCTGAAGTTGCATGTGGTTGCGTACAATCAAGTCTTCAGCAAAGTATGCAGGAATTGGACAGTCAGCTGGAGGCCAACGGTCGTGCTCCTTTTCCTGGACTAGACAAGGTAAATCATCCATTAATCAGCAAAAGGAGGTTAGGTTTCCACAAAGGAACTGAAAGAGTTGAGTGCGGGAGTTTATCAGACAGTGTTGGTGTCGTGAGGCTGGTGTACCCAGGCTGGCTCTCACAAGACCAAATGTGCTGTCACTAGGCTATTGGCAATATAAAAAGAGAAGGATCAGAAGTGACCGATGGGCAGACTGGTAGGAAAGTGTAAATGGGGAAAGTAAGGACAGTGCCCGTGTGGAAGAGTAACAAATTAACTTTGCTGTGAGCAATTGGCTGTCGTGTTTTGCACGCAAAATACACAATCGATTCACTTTACAGTATATCCTGTGAAGCATTTTGAGACATCTCAACACATGATAAGGTGCTATATCACATGCAAAGATTATTATTACTACTAACTTGAACTGAACATTTGTGGACTTCTAGATAAAAGCTGCAGAAAACTTCATTAATGTGCTCAGCACTCATATTAATATCATTAATATTTTAGTAGTTAATTTCTCATTTGTGTGCAATAATAGATACTGGAGAGCAAAGAGATCATTTTTATGTTTTCTCTGTCCCCACCACCCAAATCCTATTTCCTAACTCAGGTCTCTGACAACAATAACTTGCATTTATATAGCGCCCCTCACGCACGGTCACGTCTCAGGGAGCTTTAACTGACAATGCTGTTTCCCACAAAAATAAAATTGAATGGCCATGATCCTCTGGTCTGCACATTGATTCAGTAATAATAATAAAATAATCATAATCCATCCTTAAAGACATGCTGTAGTATCTTTCACTTCGGGAGGATGTCTCAAAGTGCTTCACAGGATTTACTGTAAACAGTAGTGACTAATTTGTAGGTGAATGCAGCAGCCAATTTGCACACGCCAGTGTCACACTAACAGCCATGAAGTGTATGACCAACTTTATTTGGGGGATTGTTGCCCAGGAAACAGGGAGAAACTCCCTTCACTATTTGAATAGTGCCGTGGGATCTTTATTGTCCACCTGAACATGCAGGTGGGACCTCGATTTAATGTCTTATCCAAGATGACACCTCCAACAATGCATCGCTCCCCCAGCACTGACCTGGAGGAGAAGGAAGATTCTCTGCCTTGGAAATCCAGGTCTTCACTGTGACTATATTAATAATATAGAATTTGTTTCCTTTTTCAGCTAATCTACTTGAAAATTGCATCATCTTTGTTTCCGACCTCTGATTTCCGACATTCAGTGGTTACTCCAGCAATGGTCTACATGAGTCATATGGTTATCCGGGTAAGTGAAGATAGAGTTGGTATTTTTGCAGTTCCTCATTTTGGTATAAGTGCTGTTAGACCTTTGGGTGATTGCACTAAACCCACATACTGTAGCTTATATGTTGTCTTAATATCTTAATGTTTACCTTGTGAAACCACCCGGCTTACATTACACTAGGGGCAATTTGATGCCCAGAAATAATAGTTAAAAATAATAATCCTTGCATTTGATATAGCGTTTTTCACGTCAGGAGGACGTCCCAAAGCGCTTCACAGAACACACTGTAAAGTGAATTGACTGTATATTTGTGGGCGAAATTGTGTAGTTGTGTCTTTATTGGAGACCATATTAAAGCATTTATTAAAACTTGTGGGTTTTTCCCCCTCTCGGAAATCAGTGCTCTGTTACCTCGCTACGAGACATTGCTGCTGGACTGTTCACCTGCTGCGTCTTCCTCGAGTACGTTTCTCTCTCGAAACGTTTTATTCCTGAAGTCGTGAATTTCCTGCTGGGAATTCTCCACATGGCCGTTCCTAACAAAGGCGAAATTCTGGGTACGTTTTTTGCTTTCTATGAGCGGAGAGTTAACACAAAAAAGCTTGGAGTAATTTAGTTGAATCTGAATTTGCTGAATTATAATAATAATAATAATGATCCTTGTATTTTGTGTAAAGTTGGTCTCAAAGTGTTAGACACGGAATTGCTGTCGAGTATAATATGATCTTAATTTTGAATTCCACAGTTTCTGTGTAGCATGGAGAATTGGGTATATTATTGGAGTTGTATAGATGGAGAGTTACAGGTGCCTACAGTTATGTGATAAACAGCAGCTGAAAAGTCTCACTCTTGGAGGTTCCAAATTTGCAAGATCGGCTTTGATTTTTTTAAATGCTATTTTTTTTTAAAAGTACTCTCCGTTCAAACTTGAATAGCATTTAAAGAATATTGTGCAGCTTTGCCTATCACTCCTTTTAACAGAGGTTTTTATTGATACAATTCATCTCTTATTGAAAATGCCACAATGTTCGAATATATCCCTGTACACGAGGTGGCACTTTTGTATGTGCCTGTGTTTGCTTCATTGTCCCTCTGGTTGGATTTTGATAAAACACTCAAGGTCAACTATGCTCATCTGGTTAATGTGTATTTCTGTAGGATACACACTGGTACCTCCTTTTAAACCTGGTGGGAAATTCTCTGACTTACTTGTGGTGAAAGATAAAAAGGCTGCAGAATCGTGGGAAAGGAAGCCGCTGCCGATATCTATGATTCAGGGTGTGGAACTGAAAGACGAGCCACAAGTGACACATTTCAGGTCAGTAGGAAATGATCAATGCCGTGCTTACCATCGGATGGATCTGTAGAGTTTAATGGAGCTTATCTGGCAAGTTTCCACAGTCATGCAGAGGAGCAGCTGTCCTATCTCACAGAATTATGAATGGCTAGAGAAAATGATGAGAGTTCATGTCCAAATATAACATTTTGATTGTGTCGCTGCAACATAATGATAATAATAATCCTTGCATTTGATAGAGCGCTTTTTCGTGTCTTCTCGACGTCTCAAAGTGCTTCACAGAATAGACTGTAAAGTGAATTGACCGTATATTTGTGAGCGAACGCGGCAGCCAATTGCGCACAGCAATGTCCCACAAACAGTCGTGGATTGAAAGTGACCAATTTATTATTTTTGTGTTGGAGGGATTATTATTAGGCGTGTGGAGTAAGGAAACTTGCCCAAGGTTTCGCCCTGCCTGGAATTGAACCCAGGTGTTTTGCTTGCAAGGCGAGTGCTCTAACCACTGAGCTACAGGACTCTATAATCCTTGCATTTGATGTAGTGCCTTATCACGTCGTTGAGACGTCTCAAAGTGCTTCACAGAATACACTGCAAACTGAATTGACTATTTTGTGGGCAAAACAGTAGAAGAGCTAAGTCGTTTATAGCTGAACCTTGGGAATAAATTATAACCTTGTATGCAATCTAATTCGTTTTAAAAAAAAAAGTGAGATTTTCATTTAAAGACTTGTTAGGAAGCAGCACAGAAGGATTGGCTGTAGTGCTGTAATAGCAGAATATTTCAGCGCCATAGGATGTGTGTGAGCGTGTGTGGTATGTGTGACAATCTTGTGTGACAATGACCCAATCTTGGGTATAGTCTTCTTTATGATTCTGAGTCTAGAGTTCTGAGCTTTGTGTCCACCAATTCCACTGGCAGCAAGTGGCACAGATAAAGAAATGCATATTAAAATGTTTGTCTTTGATAAACACCTTCGATAAATACAATAATCCTTACATTCGATATAACGCCTTTCTCTTTGGGACAATGTCTCATTTCGCAGTATTTCACAGGATATATTAAATGGTGGTGACTGTGGACCTTCTGGACATTTTAATAAAAATTACCTTATAATAAATAGCACACAGAAGTGTTGGAATTCAGTAACCATCACACTGAAATAACCACACCATGCGGATTCTTTTTCAGTAGACGCTGATCTCTTGCTCGGTTTCATGAAGCTTATATTCTAGCTTTGCTGTTGTGGTTTGTAGAGTTATCCAAACTCTTGAATCCGTTCCAGCCTTTAAACAGACAAATGCATCTGTTCTTTATGTAACAGGGAAGTGAACAGTTTTGTCCGTTCCATCCAACTTCCTGTAAGTTACAATGCGGTTTAACCCCCAAGGGCTGCATATTTTTACACTGCCATAAAGAAATGATTTGTCATTTCTTCACTTCTTCTGGTTCACATTATTGTGCGGGCAGTGACCCGGGCTGTTGTGTTTATTTGTGAAACCAGTGTTGTGTTAGTTTGGGATTTGCGAAAGTTCTGAAACATTTCCAGACTGGTACAGTCAAAACTGAGCTTTAAGGTTGAGAATACTCAGAGGTCACAACTATTTGATTTCAGCCAATTTGCCCCCACTCTCTGGAATTCCATCCCGAGTCCCTCCGACTCACTCCCTCCATTTCTTTCAAGGTCCATCTCAAGACCTTTGTCTTTAACTGCATCTTCATTCACCTTTTCTTTCCCCAACTCCCTTGGCTCCCACCCCCAGCTCAGGTGCCAAGCCTGGACTGTCAAACACTCTAGGACGTCCTCCTGATATCAAAGGCACTATATAAATTAAAATTTGTATTGTATTATCCTGTGCCATTAATTTTCAGTCAGCAATAATGGTTGCGACTTTCTGGGTCTCAAGTAATATAAGTTGATGTGAGCAGTGAGTCATTGAGTTAATATGGCTTTTAATTTCCACAACTGATTATAAATACCGAACTGATAGATGCTGAAATTCACATGCTGTCACTAGATGAAAATAAAATCTGTTCTTGCGAGACTGTGGATTGATTGCAGGTGGGGGTCTGAGCCCACATTACAGTTCTCCACTATCATCAGAAATGACACCAGGCAGAGACCGATTTGACTCCCTACAATACGACGTTCCCAGGGCTGCATCCTGAAATATAATAGCTCAGCTAGCCTTGACTCTGTCTCTTTTCCACATACACACACATAATTGTGTGCGCAAATACACACACGCAATGCCCAGTTCCTCCATAACACAGTAAAGGCTAAATTCATATACTGTACCAGCTACCTCAGTTGGTTTGTAAAATAAGTTAAATATCCCTTGAGGGGATAGTCTTTTACAGATTAATCTTTTGGGAATTAAAGCCATACACTTTCTCCTGAAGTATCCCTTAGAACTGGTCCAGGGCTAGTACAAAGCAAATCATTTTTATAGTATTTTGGAACATTGAAATATCTGTTCCTCTTTAACAAAAAAAATAAACTAGTGGAAACTCCAGTAAAACTAAGAGTGTAACGCTAATCAAACTAGAGATATTTAAAATTGGTGACAACTAATTCAGCCCAAACGGAATAGCGTTGCATTTAAGGATGAGCTGTTCTGACAACCTTAACTTTTAACTTCTCCCAACCCCATGATCTCTGTATGAAACCGTGAAAGAGCCCTTCAAAGGGTTGAGCTCTGTTGCTTTAACCCTTTGAATGCCAAAGCATAATACAACAGCTTTCCATCATGTAACAGTATCTGAAAACACTTTCTGTGAATTTCTACACTGATTAAATGGGAGGAATTTCCAGAACTATATCACAACCTTGTCTCATCCCTACCTCTGTGACATCCTATTGCCCTACCAACCTGGCCACTCCCCTCGCTCAGTGATCACCAGGCTGCTTTATGTCCCCCACCCGATCCACCCCACATCAATGTGGGAACTTTCAGCCATCACCCTCTGAAACTCCATTCCTGAATCCCTCCAAGTCAGCCCCTCTTGTCCCACTTCTTTGATCCATCCTACCCCGCCCACACGCCTCTTCAGCTCCTCTTGGCTCAGTTGCCCAGCCAGCTGTGTAAAGCTCTTTGAGATGTCCTCCTGATGTGAAAGGTGCCAAATTAATGTAAATTTTACTGTATTTGATACTTCATTTGTGGTAAAGTAAACGTCGCATAAGTCATATCAGTTCTGACCATACATTTAATATGACTTATGCAAAGTATGAGTTATATCAAACTTGCATACATTATAAACTCTTGTTTGGCATTTGGGCAGATGTACAGCTTTATACAGATTTATACAGATCAGACTTATGTGAGTTTTATTGTATAAAGCAAACTTCAAAGTGAAAGAAATTGCCACTTGTTACAGTGATTCATTATTACAATCTCTCACTTCTTGCCTGCGGTCCACTGTCAAGCGCATTGAGATGTTATTTTGAAGAGAATGGTGCTGTCCTAACGAAAAGTAAGTTATTCTAACTGGTGATTTTCTTTGAATCCTGCCACAGGTTGTCCTTCGTAGCACAATGTTTGGATTTGTGTAAACGGTGCGCCTCCTTGTACAAATCACTGTCTACCTTCCACCAAATAATTCACCCGGTCAAAACTCTTCTGACTAAATATCTTTGTGTCAACGATTACCCAACACAGCTTCAGGTAGGAAGCTACGGCACTTTCCTTTCATTCCTCAGTGAGCTTTGCTGCCTAGGTTTCTCAAGGTTATTTGAAAAAACTATAGTTAGTTTTCTTTTTGCTCAGCCAGGTGTCTCGACACAAATGAAAACCCATCACCACGCTTAACAGTATCCAAACCAGGCTAAGTTTCACATATGCCACCTACAACTTGGAAAGTTCCCTGTGTCTGGAATGGAATGTGCACTCCCTGGAGGGATGTACCCTGCTTACCTAGATCCTGAGAGTCTTAGACCCGAGCTTGGGAAGAGTTAAGACTTTGGGACCTCAGTGTGCGTTAGGAGTACTGCTGAAGCTTGCTATTGAGAGCATTGTCTGGCCAGCTTCCCACAGCCCGTTAAGGGCTTTGGCTTGTGGGGCCCCTCCAATTCCTGCCGATTAGCCAGGCTGGCTGATCTGTCATCAGCAGTGCCCTGGAACCACCTGGTTTATGAACTGGACTACCGAGACTTCTTAAGAGAATTGACTCAATTACCAACCAAGCAATTCACTATCGAGCCAACTCAAACCCTGCTTACTTCTTGTTCCCCTCCCCAGTAGGAAAGAGTACAGTGAACTTGTTGTATTCAATGTTGATAAGATGCTTTATGAGATGATTACTATTGTGATGGGTAGCTGAGAAATTCTGACCCAAGCTGAATAATTTCTTCCCTTCATTTCATCTCTTAGTGTGAATTAACTTGGCTGGTCTGGCCCTCACTTTAGACTGTAAGGGTGGTGTGGTGGGATGATGCTTCATTTGACAAAGACCTTCAAGGATGAACAAATTCTTGATTTCTTTCCAGATGAATGAAATACTGTGCTGGGGTGCTAACACAGGCTATTAAAATCTCCTCATTTCTGATTTTTTNCTTTAGGACCTGTACCATGAAGTCCTGAAGGAAATAGAAAGTCAACCAAAATCCTATCAGCCCCTTGAGTTTGAAAGGAAGAAACTAGTGCCATTAAAACTTTTCACACCGAAAATAGTGGAAGTGTAAGTAGAGCACACTCAACGCATCACTTAATGGGTAGTCACAGGAGAATCGCACAAAAAGATCATTAAAGAATTACCCTTGTGAATAGGTAGCACTAATTGTGCACTCTGAACAGGAATGCTTAAGGTAACCAGGGATTGAAACTAAGTATTTTCTTCAGCATACGGTATTGCAATGATTCTTGTATCTAATTATGACTATCTGCAAGCATTTTGTGCTGGGGGAAAAAAAAGTAAGCTTTTTTTTACAGTTTCAACTCCCTTGTGTATACAATAAAACTCACATAAGTCATATCATTCAGGACCATAACATTGAATATGACTTGCATGGAGTCCGAGTTGCAGGCAAACTGCATAAATCATGTTAAATATGATTTAATCAATAATCTAGACTGCATGTGTAATTCAAGACTAAATTTCCTGCGATTCAATGTGTCTTGACCCGTTGTCGGATGTGTACTTACCTGAAAGTATTGGAATCGCATTGAATTTTGGGAAATGCAGTTCTTTGCATGCGGCGATGGATCAAGACAACATTTCCCACGATTTAATACAGCTGGTAAGTGTGGGAGTAATGGAGGAGAGGGAAGCAGCATCCTGAGTTAGGAGGTAATTAACACGAGTTGTGCAAAGAAATCTAAATGGTTTTAATAGGAAACTGAAAGGGACTCGGGTGAATGTACAACTTGGGCGATTATATGATTTTTGAAGGTAAGACTTGTGAGAGTTTCACTGTAGTTCCATTGTATCCATCACCTCTCCAGTACCTCAACCACATAGCCATTCTTAATGTGTGAGCTGAGGTGGTGAGAGTCAGCAGGGTGTGTGACAGAGGGGAAGGAGCTAGGAGGCTTGGAATAGATAAGAAAAATGTCTTGATGCCTCAACTGGAAAGCCTAATAAGTTGTAATGCTAACGTGGGCATTAGGAGGATGAGAAACAATTGAGAGCCTTCAAATTTCAGGTGTAATCAAAACCTGTGCTTCCAGGACAGACTATGGGCGGAAACAAGGTGGCTCCAAACTAGAGCGAGAGCGAATGAAGCTTATCCATAAACACAAGCGAGAATTCAAAGGAGCTGTTCGAGAAATCCGCAAAGACTCACAATTCCTGGCCAGACATCAACTTTCCGACATCATGGAAAGGTAAGCAGTCAGTGATGTATATGACAACACAATGTGCATACATTGAGGGTAATTAACTGATTGAACCCTTTGGGTAAAAGGTCACTTCTTCCTTCCAACCCCATTCTCCATTTAGATTCATTATTAACATTACTGTAGTTGACTGGATTTGCCTCCCATTGCAAGATGCATTACGTTATTACTATTTAAGGACTTGTTTTAAAACAAAGTTACTACTAATAATAATAATCCTGGCATTTGATGTAGCGCCTTATCATGTCTTTGAGACGTCTCAAAGAGCTTCACAGAATATACTGTAAAGTGGATTGACTGAATACTTTGTGAGTGAAACGCGGCAGCCAATTGCGCACAGGAGTATCCCACAAACAGTTGTAGATTGAAGTGACCAATTTTTTTTTGAGGGATTATTATCCCCGGAGTGTGATCTACCAATCGACTTAATAACCTGTTGCTTATGTCTCATTGTTTGTGAGATTGCATTTTACTTCCTGATCTGAACAGGATTTAGATTATATTGTAGCATAAAATTCCTGAATACCAATTGAACTACAGAATTTTTTTTAACTCAGTGCTCAGAGAATGCTATCCTGTGTTAAGGGCCCTATATAAATGCAAGTTGTTGTAATGTTGAAACAGTGATCAAACCTGTCTCACAGGATTGGAGTGTACTAAGATTTATTCGCTGGCAGGAGGATCTAAATTGCAACATAATGCTGTATGTAATTGTAACGCGAAAGATACTGGGAAGTGATTTCAAAACTAATCTAATTTTCACATGTGCTTGATGGTCTTAAATCATTTGTAATGTGTACTCAGTTGGTTTCAGATTTAATCAGAACCCTTTTTTTTAGATCATTCATTTGCAATCCCGCCTGGATATTTGTTATCCCCATTTTAATAGAAGTGACAAAGATCTGTTTTTGTGGACAACCTGATAAGTCACTCTAGAGCTCTAGACTGCCAAAATTTGAAGGCCTAAATTAATCTGAGACTTGACTCAACCATTCACACACATACAAAGACTTCCTTTAAGAGAATAAGTACATTAGTTTCACTTAACTGAGATGCAAGAGGGAAGAAATATCTAGTCGAACAATCTCTTCCCACATTTCCCAGCTGAATTTCCTTTCAGATAATTCCAGCAATACCATTGTCTCAAAGTTCATCACGCTCTCTTTACACTGTCCACCTAAAGGTTTAAGACCGCTTTGTGGCAGCTATGTTTTTAACCCTATCTCCTAATTATGGCTATGGTGCAGCTCGCCATTTTAATGAAACATTTAGCACATCAACGGTAGAGTCAAGTGGTGACTAAATGCTTTTACTGCCCTGTTTGGTCACATTCTTGGTTTACTTTGTTTCAGGGATGCGGAGAGGAAGAGGAAGGTGAAATCCTTGTTCCAAAATCTGGCCACGCAGGAGGGTGAATGGAAGGCCATGAAGAGACAGAAGCGGAAAACTTAATAACTTTGTCTTTTGATCAAAGAGAGTGGAGAAGTGCTGTCTGAGCGGGGGCCAGGGAAGCTTTTGGAAGGAGAACGCAGGACTCGAATTTTGAGCAGTGATGATGCTTTCCTGAAGTGTCTTTCCAAAGAATTGAGGAAGATTAACTTGTGGGATACATTTTCCTTATACAACTTTCTGTAATGGAATATTGTAAATGGACTCAGAAAAAGTGTTAAGTAAACAGTTTTTTAAACTACGCTGGTCCTTTCCAACCCTGATCTTAATTGGAACTTCGTTATGACAGGTTAGGTTCTAATGTTTCAGCAAATGTTGAATAGGATTCCAGTTGTTATTAGTCTTTACTCTTGACTAGTGCATAATGATGTTCTGGTAGCTATGAACCGTCCAGTATATCGCTGAGCCATAGAAATTAGAAAGTCATGGGTTGAATTCGCAAGCGAGAAACCTGAGTTCAATTCCCAACAGGGCAAAACCATGGGCAAATTTCCTTACTCTGCACACCTGATGACAATCCCTCTAGAAAGGAAAATAATAATAAATTGGTTACTTCAATCCACAACTGTTTGTGGGACACTGCTGTGTGCAATTGGCTGCCGCATTTCGCTCACAAATATACAGTAAATTCACTTTACTGTATATTGTGTGAAGCACTTTGAGACATCTAGAAGACGTGAAAAGCACTATATCAAATGCAAGGATTATTATTATTATTGAATTCCAGGTCTGTGCTAAATTAGTTGATCTTAGACATAAAGAATATTGTCCTTTGTGCCCCTAGGTTATGAAGGGTGAAAATCATAGAGCAGTGTGACTGTGGATGTCAGATGAGAACTGGGTAGTAAAGACCAGAAAGTTGCAGTTTCAAGTCTCAATCCATACTGAGTCAGCTAATGTCAACGGGGCTGGAGTTGGGAGACTATATTTGTCCCTAGGTTAAGGAGGCGAAATAGTCCATGGTTCTCAGTCTTGCTTGCTATCTGGAGATGGATTATTGCTTGAAGACCACGTGTCGACATAATATCATTTCGTTCGTCCTCACAGTACTCCTTTCGTATTGGTTGAGTGATCTCTGCCTCTGAGAGGGCAATGTGATACCGGTTGGAAACAGATGGGGGCAATTTGGCTTGGGAGGCTGTATCTGAATCTTCCCATGTAGCCCACCAGGATTGATTTGTCCATTGAGTAATGCCAATCCCCAATACTTGAGTTTATTTCCTTAAAGAGCATCTGCTAAATTTGGGATGTGGCCGTCCCAAAGTCTTTTAACTCCCACCCTCCCACCCTCGCTCGCCTCCACTGGCTCCCCATCCCCCAGAGGATTGATTTCAAGATCCTCATCCTCACCTACAAGGCCATTCACGGCCTTGCTCCCTCCTACCTCTCCAACCTACTATCCCCTACCTACCTGCCCGTACCCTCCGTTCCTCTGGCTCCGGTCTGCTCCACGTCCCCCGCCCCAACCACCCTACCATCGGTGGTCGGGCCTTCAGCCTCTCAGCCCCCAGGCTCTGGAACTCCATCCCCCAGTGCCTTCGCTTTGCTTCCTCCCTTTCCTCCTTCAAGGCCGGTCTCAAAACCTTTCTCTTTGACCGAGCCTTCAGCTCCCCTCTCGACTCTCTTCCCCCTCCTCGCTCCCTCCCTTCCCTCCCCTCACCCTGACCATTTCCCCCTCCTCGCTCCCTCCCTTCCCTCCCCTCACCCTGACCATTTCCCCCCTGCTCGGGTCATGACCCAACTGTGCAGCGCCTTGGGACGTCCTCCTGACGTGAAAGGCGCTTTATAAATGGAATCTTGTTGTTGTTGTTGTTAACTGCTTTGCTGGTCAACAGTGATGTATGCTTTAGTTGAACAGCATCTGGATTTTGCTGTGGGGCTTGAAATCCAAACCTAAAGTAAGTGGGGCCTCCCCAAGGTTTAACTGAAAAGGAAGCCACTCAGGTCTTCAGTAATTCAAGGCATTTTTGTTGGGTCTAGTTTGTCAATGAGACTATCATATATAAGTAACTTTTACACCACTGTACTAAATTTCCTGGCTGCTATTTGCATCATTATGACATATCATTGGGCATCCGTGGCTATCTTCAGTGAATACAACATTAATGTGCAATCTAATTAGCACTTTTGACTTATCACAGGGAAGAGGTTTTAAAGACCATGCAAAGTGGGTTGAAGTTTTTCCATTTAACCTCAGCATCCGATGACACTGATTGCAACCATATTGGTCTGGCTTTTTTATCAACTGCTGCATAAGTGACTTCTATCTACTGCACTGCAATGACCTCTTAGCTTCAGGCATTTCTCTCGCGTGTGCTGCTTTGAACAGCTCAGCTCTCGAGATTTGGATGTTTGTCTGAAACTGACTGATTCATTAATATTACTGTATAGAGTAGAGATACCCTGATTAGTTTACAATATTAGAATAAGAATATGTGAGTGCATGTGAAATCTAAGAAGATTTAAAATTGACAGAGAGGAGGGAAATAACTGGTGGAAGCATGGTTTACACATTAGTTTTTCCCCTTAGGGACTTGGCTTCAAATTTAGCCCAGACTGACTGGATGAAAATATCCTCAGTCTGTTGGGTTGTAATGCAAACTGGGTAGTCGGTCTCAATTCAGTTACTGTGGCTCTTCATCTTGAAAACTGATCCTGAATTAGCAATCTCATTTGAGAGAAGTAAGAAGGGCTGGGACGAAGCAATGGGAGTTTTAATTCTTCAGTCATGTGTGATAGACCTGGGTGGAGTGAGAATACTGTTGTCTGTTATTGGCTGCCCCAAATGGGAAATGTTCACTAATAATAATCCTTGCATTTGATTCAACGCCTTATAACATAATTGAAACAACTCAAAGTGCTTCACAGAATATACTGTAAAGTCGATTGACTGTATTTTGTGGGTGAAGCGTGGCAGCCAATTGAGTACAACAGGATCCCACAGACAGTCTTGGATTGAGTGACCATTTTTTTTTGAGGGATCTGTGTCTCACTTTGATGAGCCTAAAATGGAACACAGGTGGACAAAGATGACTTTTTCTATTATAATTGATCTTGGAATTAATAACCACTTGTTCTGTAGCTTGCACTGGATGTTTTATATACAAAAAAACCCACTAAAATTGTGTAATAGAAACTTCCATAATCTTATTTGCTGTTACCAAAAACAATAATAAATTGGTCATTTTCAATCTACGACTGTTTGTGGGACATTGCTGTGCGCTATTAGCTGCCCCGTTCACCCACAAATATACAGTCAATTCACTTTACAGTGTGTTCTGTGAAGCGCTTTGGGACGTCCTCCCGACGTGAAAAGCGCTATATCAAATGCAAGGATTATTATTATTATATTATTATTACCCTTTGTCCAGCTGTTATTGCTACACTCCAGCTTTAGGCAAAATGGCAGTGTGTTTTAGAGCCACCTCATAACTCAGGCATTTGAACTACTTATGGGACAATGAAAAGTGTGCCCCACTTCATAGCAAACTGTCAGGATTATGAGGAATTCATTTTCATCATTTATCTAAAATTGAAGTTATTATTTCAATCAATTTATGTTTTGTGAAGTTTTTAAAAATGTGTAGTTTTCAAAGGCTCCTTGGATGGGATATGTTGGGCTTCATACCTAAATAGTTTGCTGTTAAGAGTTGGGACTGTACCCAGTTGAGTCATGTGGTGATATCTGGTGGTCTGATTTATTTGTGGAAAAATAGATTTGCAGCGCTGCAAATTCCCAAAATAACATTACAAATGACCACTGTGCAATTGTGCTGTCATGTTAAGCTTTATTAATTCAGCCACCAGTACTCCTTACTTACTGCTGTTGCGTTCATTTTTCTGATGCTCAGGCTGATACATTTTAGAACCAGACCACAGAATTTAGCACTTGTTTGTTTACTCACTGTTAAAATGTAACTTATCTAATCAAGATCACTTCAGCTCAAGTGACAGTTAATCACTGGATGGGCTATTGCTTCATTTGACGTGTGTTCTGTGATTGATTTCCTAGTTCCTGAAACTCCTCACGCAGTCACGCTGCGAGATGTGTGGGTTTCCACTTTACGTTTGACCGATTGAGTTTTCTCTCTTGTAACAGAAGAGCCATGTTCTGAAAAATAAAAGGTACCAGTCAGTCAGGGTATCTGGGGATAATAATTGTTTGTGGGACACTACTGTGTGCAATTGACCTCCACGTTTCGCCCACAAAATATACAGTCAATTCACTTTACAGTATATTCTGTGCAGTTCTTTGAGCCGTTTCAATGACGTGATAAGGCACTATATCAAATGCAAGGATTATTATATTATCAACACCAGTGGCAGATGTACAATGGTTTGAGATAGGGCTGTAATTACAGAAATGTACTTTGTTACAAGGTTTGACCTGTAACGAAACCTATGGTATAGTGCAAGAGGATGTTTCAAAGAGCTTCATAGGGGTCAACTGTAAAGTGTAATGTCTGACTTTGAGGGTGAAAGTTCCAGTTAATTTTGAGCACAGTAATGTGCCACAGAGCATGAAATGAAAGCCAATTTTATTTGGTGGACTGTTGGCCAGGACACTTTTCGAATAGTGGTATGGGATGTTTAACATCCACTTGAACAGGTAGGCGGGACCTTGGTTAAATTTTTCGATAGCTCCAACAGCAGCACACCCCAGTACTGGGATGATTGACAGCCTAGATTTTGAGTTCTAAATCCCAACATGGGGCTTGAACCTACAACCTTCTGTCTCAGAAGCGAGAGAGCTACCAACTGAGCCAGGCTGGCAACTCCTGTGTGTATAGTTTGATGCTGTTTGTTGTTGTTTAGTTTGGAGTTCCATGAGCTGCATATGGCAATGCAAACCTATAAAATTGAAGGTATTTCTGAAAGACTAGCCTTTTTCTCATCCCTCTACACAACTGTGCCAACTGTGTTCCCTCACTTTCTCTTCTGCTTGCCTCATTCCCCATGCCTCCTGAGCCCACTTTGCTAGCCTCTCCTATCACCACAGAGCCAGCAAGTTCATGCTCTCAACTATTCCAAACTATTGAAAGGAGCACTCATTTCTCTGGTTGGCCCAAGGTGAAATAATCCATTAATCACCTGAAACACAGAGGAGGAAAGTTAGTAGCTCTATTACCAAAAGAACAGACTCAGTCCCAATGGCAAGATATTGGACACCAGAAACAGATCCTCCCTAAAACCCAAAGGTAATCAATCAAAAACATTCCCAAATCCTCATCCATCTTCATTAAACTATTGAACTCCGGCCTCCTTGCCTTCATTGAGCACATTCCCTTTCCAGCATGGAATTTGTTACTTTCTCAGTTAATTCTTTGCATTCAGTGCTTTCTTCAGCAGTAATCTCTTTCAGAAATTAGTTTTCCTTTAGATAGATTGAATGTACCAGGTACTTCCATATGTTTTATATGAAAAGGGCTGCTCAATGTCCCACAGTTAGCAAGTGGAGGAAAATTAAACTGATTGAGTCTCATTCACTGTTGCCCTCCCAACCCCCCCCTCCAGATGGGTGAAATAACAATAACTTGCATTTATATAGACAATGAACAAGGGAGGAAGGGAGGTGACTATAGCCGCAACCAAAGCGTTTTCAGATGAGATTCAAAGTTAGATAAAGAGGGTGGATGAAAATCATTAGACTTTACAGTCACCGTAATAAACAGCATTTTGTAGCCCAGAGGTGTTTTTTAGGTGGGAGAAGTCAAACTAGTATTTCATACTCTGTGTCAAAGCTTTACCCCATTATATTGCTCTATCAAAGTGAAAACCCATAACTTCATTCATACATGGTTCCAATTCACCACCAAAGGTAACAAAGAACATATACAGCACATCTATAATAATCCATGCATTTTGTATAGTAGCTTATCAAATTGCCAAGACTTCTCAAATAATAATAATAATCCTAGCATTTGATATAGTGCCTTAACATGTCTTTGAGACGCTTCAAAGCACTTCATAGAATATACTGTGAAGTGAATTGACTGAATATTTTGTGGGCAAAACCCGGCAGCCAATTGTGTACGGGGCGTCCCACAAACAGTCGTGGATTGAGGTGACTAATTTATTATTATTTCAAGGAATTATTATCCCCAGAAAATAATAATCTTTGCATTTGATATAACGTCTTTGAAATGTCTCAAAGGGCTTTACAGGATTTTACTGTAAAGTGTAGTGACTGTATTTATAGGCAAACACGGCAGCCAATTTGCGCATAGCCATGTTCCACAAACAGCCAAAAAAAGGATAATCAATTTTATTCACTTCTATTATTTTTGAATATTTTGTTAAGTGCTGGTATCATCCATTAGGTGTTGTTAAATACATGGAGCTGTGTTTCAAAGAAATGTGCATCAAAGTGGATTACATTTTAAATGATCTCCAACTAGTCCCCAAGACTTGCGTGGTCCAGATTAACTGATGAAATCTACGTAGGGGACACCTTTCTTGGGAAGTCAAACGCAAGAATTAACTGAGTAATGCACTATTCCAGGCCACTACTGATGACAGCACAGCCAGCCTGGCACATCGGCAGGGCTTGGAAGGGCAGACCAGTCACTGGGGATGGAATCATCCCACTCAGCTCCTGTTAATCCTGCAAGTCAAAGCCCTAATGGGTAGGGTGCTCCAAGCTGGAAAGCAGCAGGAAAGTTTGCAAGACAGCGATAATCAATGGCAAGCTATACTCTTTTAGCTGGTTAGATTTCAGCAGTACCCCAACACACACTCTGAGGTCCCCAAGCCTTGGCTCTTGCCAACCTGCGCCTTATACAATCTGGAATTAGGTAAACAGGATGTCTCTCTCCAGGGAGAGAGTGCGATTCCATTCCAACAATCTATCTCTGGAATCTCCACGTGTAGGTGGGATGCTTGGAAATCTCAGCTTGGTTTGGATACTCTTAAGCATGGTGATGGGTTGACCAAAAAAAATTAACTGAAATATTAATGAATTCCATGTTGTTGGGACAATGAATGTGCTCAATGAAGGGAAGGAGGCCAGGTGCAATAGTGTAACGAAGGTGGATGATGATTTCAGAATTTTTTTGATTGATTACCTTCGAGGTTCAGGGAGGATCTGTTTCTGGTGTTCAATATCTACCATGGGGATTGTGAATCCTCTGGAGAATGAGGAGCAAGTATAACCAGAAACATGTGCCTGCAAAGGGAAGACTGTGAACCTACCTGTAGTTGTCTCTGAAGACAGCCCCAGCCTCATCTCTTCTGCCTCCAGTAGCTTCCTATAGGTAGCGATCTCAGCGTCCAGCTTCAGTTTGACATTGAGCAGATCCTGATAATCCTGCAAGTACCGCAACATCTCGGCTTTGGTTTCTCGGAGTTGGCACTCCAGCTGGGTGATGATGCCCTGAAGGTTTGCCACCGCCTCCAGATGATTGCCCTCCATCTCCTCCAGTTTGTTCTCCAGGTACAGGTTACTATTCCTCAAGCGCTCAATTTCATCCTGCAGGGTTTGGATCTCCTGGATTTGGGTGTTGATGTCCTCCTTCAGGTCAACAATCTGGTTGTCATACTTGACGGCGTTGTGCTTCATGGCATCGTATTTGTTCTTGTACCACACCTCGGCGTCCTTGAGGTTCTTGGCGGAGATCTCTTCCATCTGCTGCCGGACGGAACGCAGGGCAGCGGCGAGGTCTGGGCGTTCCGAGGCCATCTCCACAGAGACCTTAGACTCTTTGATCTGCCTAAGCAGTTCAGCCACTTCCTCGTCATGCACTTTCTTCAGGAAGGCGATCTCCGCCAGCAGCTGCTCAATCTTTCTCTCCAGTTCGACTTTCTGCAGGGTGGCGTCGTCCACATCCTTCCGGAATTCCCTCAGGATCCTCTCGGCTTCATCTTTAAGGGTGAAAGAGAACGCTTTATTTCTTATTTTTGTACAATGTAGGATAATACCACCCTAGTCTAAATTTTACTTCTAATAATAACGCTTGTATTTGATATAGCGCCTTATTACGTTGTCGAGACTTCTCAAAGCGCTTCACAGAATATTCTGTAAAGTGAATTGACTGTATATTTTGATTTAGTATCTTATCATGGAGTCCTGTAGCGTATTGATTAGAGCATTTGTCTCGCGAGAGAGAGAACCCGGGTAGAGTGAAACCTTAGGCAAGTTTCCTTACTCCACACGCCTTTGTTTAACTAGCAGTAACTAAGGACCTGGTTGATTAGTCGATTGGCAGATTACTTTCCGGTGGTAAAAATCGCTTTAACAAAACATTCACTCAATCCACGACTGCTTGTGGTAATTGGCTGTGCGCAATTGACTGCCTTGCTTTGCCCACAAAATACACAGTCAATCCACTTTACAGTATATCCTGTGAAGCGCTTTAAGATGTCTCAACGTGATGAGGCACCATATCAAATGCAGGGATTACCATTAATAAGTACACACACACACACACTCTTTCTTCCCAATAAAAAGCCAACCCTTTACCTTTGAGCTCCAGCTCTTCCTGCCATTTCTGAGTCCAGAGTTCAACCTCCTCCTGGATGTTGCCCTTCTCTATCTCGGCCACTCCTTTCTCGTGGGTCAGGCGCTCGATCAGATCCTTCAGCTCTTTGAAGCGGGGTTGGAACTCATCCTCCAGATCTTGCACGCCCATGGCCTTGCCCTGTAGGGACTCCAGCTGCAGCCTCAACATCGAGTTCCGCTGCTCCAGGCTCCTCACCTTCTCAATGTAGCCGGCGAAGAAGCTGTTGAGCTGCTGCATCTCTTGCTTCTCGTTGGGTCGGGTTTGCAGGGGGCCGCTAGAGATCGCTGGCCCCTGGTAGCCAGCCCGCCCACGGGTATCCATGGAACGGGAGGGTGAGTGGCTATGCAGCCTCAGCCCACTCCTGCAAGCCGAGCTGGTGGACATGGTCTGCTTGGAGTAAGAGGTGCTCCTCATCTTTACTGTAGCTTCCTGCACAGCCTGATTCTGCCTTCAGATCTCTCTGTCATCCTTTTGCTTTTATGGAAATCTGGAGGAATGTGACAACATTTTTTTTCCCCTAACCCTCCCACCCCACAAAAACATCTTTCCAAATAGGAGGCATGACATCCCTTTGAGTTCACGAGTGCAGCCCAAGTGTGAAGGTTTTGACGATTTTTATTTTTGGGCTTCTCAACGATGTGTTAAATTTCTGAGCGGACACGAGACCTGCTAATTCTCTCACTTTTTCTCCATCACCTCCTCCCCTCCCTCCTCCCGGTCCACTCCCCCCACCCCCAACAACAAGCCTGACCAGTGGTTGGGAGACGCAATAAGGAAGCCTCGTCTGGAATGTGGCAACTCCCTTTGTGTGGGAATTATCATTCTGTGGTTGTTTGTGGCATATTGCTGTTGACAATTTGTCCACCAAATACACAGTCAATCCACTTTGAGACGTCACAATGACGTGATAACGTGCTATATCAAATGCAAGGTATTATTAGCTATTATTATCTGATGGAAATACTGATCCTTGCAAACTGATAACGCCTATAAAGCCTGGCAGGTGCAGTGTAAAATGTAGTGACTGTATTTATAGATCAACGCGACACAGCAAGGTCCCACACACATAGCCATGAAGTGAATGACCCAAGTTATCTGGAGGATTGTTGGCCGGCAAACCAGGTCAAACTTGGTTCTCTTCTATTAACGCCTTGGGATCTTTTACATTCAACTGTATAAAAAGACTGGACCTCGATTTAATAGTTCATTCAAAAAATAAAATGCTCGATTTCTGTATGTGTGTGTTTCACGTTTTCAGAACTTGAGCTTGCCAGGCTACAACTGAGTGCAGTTCTGGGAGATTGTTACTTTGTCATAGGTGGCAACCTTCTCGATGAGATGTTAAACCAAAGTCTCGCCTGCCTGTCAATGTGGATATTAAACAACTCATGAGATTATTAAAAANGAGAAGGGAGTTTCTCCCTGTATCCTGGCCAACAATCCAGATAACTTAATCATTCAATTCACTGCTGTTTATGGGGCTCCACTGGGCATAAATCAGGCACCACATTTGCCTACAAACCCTCAACTGTCCAACGCCTTGGGACATCCTCCCAAAATGAAAAGGGCTATATAAATGCAATGTGTTGTAGTATTATCAGCACTGACTGGAGACAAACTGGATGAAAATCTGAAAAGTTTTACATGAAAAAAAGGATTTAACCCTTAAGGAGCCACAGATGACCACACATCTGTGTGCAGTCAGATCAAATAGTAGGCAGCTCGGCTAGCAGATTGGACAACTTTTTGTACATCTGCAACTGGAGTCCTGTAGCTCAGTGGTTAGAGCACTCGCTTTGCAAGTGAGAGATGTGAGTTCAATTCCAGGCAGCACGAAACCTTGGGCAAGTTTCCTTACTCCACACGCCTAATAATAATCCCTCCAAAACCAAAAACAATAATAAATTGGTCATTTTCAATCTACGACTGTTTGTGGGACATTGCTGTGCGCAATTGGCTGCCGCGTTCGCCCACAAATATACAGTCAATTCACTTTACAGTGTGTTCTGTGAAGCGCTTTGGGACGTCCTCCCGATGTAAAAAGTGCTATATCAAATGCAAGTATTATTATTATTAACTGTGTCAATCATTAAAGTCTAGACTTTCAATTAGCTGGGATTCAGAGCCTGTCTTCAGCTAAAGAAACCATTTATTCCAAACCTTGCCCTTGTCTCCAAAACAGAAAGTGACAGGTGGTGGGAAGAGAAAGAAATACATACAAATCACAACAACGGACAAAATAGTCAGGGACAGGAAAAGGAAGCCTCAAATTAAATAAAATAGGACACAGGGAATAGGTAAGACAGGAGAATCGAAGGCAGAAGGGAAATAACAGGTCAAATATAAGGAAACTGTTTTACAATTTTTATTCTAAAAAATGTGACTAACATTTTTTGTTTTTTTTACAGTTACAATTGCGGTAATGGTGTTTGGGTACTTTATTACTGTAAGAGTAACTCTGTCAGCATCAGAGTGAATGGAAAGTATAGCAATCTGGTCAGACCAGGGAGGCAGGATCACATACTTTGCACTGTATATGTTGCCCACTTTAGGTGACAACAATCCTTTACATCTGATATAGCAACTTCTCACATTGTCAAGCCATCAAAAGCGCTTCATATGATTTTACCATGAAGTCTAGAGAGGGCAAGTGTAGCGACAATTTGCACAGCAAACATACCACAAACAGCCATGAGGTGAATCATCATTTTTTATCTAGGAGAATGTTTAGGTGGGAAACTTTTTGAATACTGCAATGAGATCCTTAACGTCCACCTGAACAGGCAGATGGAATCTTGATAATATGTCTTTTCCGAAGAACAGCACCTCCATGAAATCACATTGTGGACACATCTCAAAGCACTACATAGTGCTTTGTCAATCCTACTACAGTAGAGATGATTGACTATGTGTTTTGTGGGTGAATGTGGCAGCAGGTGGTACAAACAGCCATGGAGTGAGTGAGCAATTTTATTTGGGAGATTGTTGGCCAGGACACTGGGAGAAACTCACTTCTCTTTTCGAATCATATCATGGGATATTTAACATCTACCTGAACTGGCAGACAGGACTTTGGTTTAATGTCTCATCTGAAGGACAGGACCTTATAGCATGGAATCAGGCATTTTGGGACCTTTTGTGTATATATATTACATATTTTATGTTATTGTACAGATATATTTGTAAATATGTGGCTTGGCATTAAGCTCTGTCACTGTTAAATGCTCCGAGACTCTATCCATGTGAAGGGCGCTATATAAACATTAGCTATTGTTGTTATCCATTTAGTCCCATTCTCCTACATTTCCACCCAAGACATTTTACATTTTTCATTTTGAAAAATACATATAATTTGGGTTTAAAAGTAATCATGGATTCTACTTCAAGCAAAATAGAGCATTCCATCCAAATAACCATCTGTGTGGAAAATTGGTACTGGTATTAAATGATGCCCTTTAGTTATCTGCTCAGTGATCCATGAAAATTGTTTTTCCCCAATTTACCTTATCAAAACCCCTCCTCATTTTGAACACGTCTATCAGGTGTTTAAACGTTCAACCTTCTCAAACCTCAACTGCACAGAAAGGGTTGTTACAATCTGGTGACAACATGGTCACTGTGCAAGAACAAATAGAAAATCCACACACATTGAAATCCGCTTTGACTGGTGCATCAGGGCTGGGAGTTTTGTCCGATTTACCTGGCGTCCGGTAACCAAAATTCTTTCCTTTCTCTTCTATTCCTGCCATCTTCTCCACTGAGCACCTCTTTCCTCCCATTGCCATTCCCACTGGATGGGAAGAGGACCAATTAGAGGTGGGTCCAGGATGTGTCAATCACCTCGCAGTCGCCGTTAACTGGTCACCTCCCCATCCACCGGATGCAGTCACTGCCCTCTCCACCCCCTCCCCCACCACCCCACTCCCCCAGAGCCGCTTGTGAATGGTTGGAGTCCGCTGTCAATCAATCATGAATTAACTCTTCCCATCACCAGCACGGAGTCGCTCGAGTGCTGAGCGGAGCTGCTCAAGACACAGAGTGAGCAGACGCAGATTAACCGGATTTTCATCCAAGTTAACAGGCATATCTAGAACAATAAATATGTAGGAATGCAAGTAAGAATACAAATGAATCGGGGTCGGGCGTTTCATTCGACTTATCTGGCATCCGGGGTTAACCAGCATCCGGCAAAAGCAGCTTCCACTGCACTTTGTGTAGAGTGTGTTGGTCAACAAGAAATAGGCAGAGACTCGTGTGGGGTATAAACACCGGCATAGACTGGTTGGGCCAACTGTTTCTGTGCTGCATCGTCTATGTAAATCTACATTTATTTCATTTTTCTTTTGATTAACTGCCTTTCTTACCATCCGTTTTCAACTTCCTTTTACCCCCATGCCCCCCTCTCCCCGTCCACCCCCTCCTCCCCCCAAGCCTCCTAGCTTCCGCTTGTTCCACAGTCCATTCCCTAGTGCAGCGGTCAGGAGTCTCCAGCTCACGCTGTTGAGTAACCGGCCAGCAGGAGGCACATGAGATTTGTATAGATTTGTTTTGGTCAGCCAGGTGTCTGACACAGAAGGAAACCCATGACCACGCTTAAGATTATAAACCAACAAACAAACCAAACTCAGATTTCCAGGCCTCCCACCTACACATGGAAATCCCAGAGATAGATTGTTGGAATGGAATACGACTCTCTCCCTGGAGGGACACATCCTGTTTACCTAATTCCGGAAAGTGTTAGGTGCAGGATGGCGAGAGCCAAGGCTTGGGGACCTCAGAGTGTGCATTGGGGTAACTGCTGAAAAGTTATATAAATTTACATTGTACAGCGTGGAAACAGGCCATTGTGGCCAGCTAGTCTGTGCCAGAGTTTATACTTTATACTTTACATGAGTTTCCACCCACTCCTCCCACTCCTTCCTCCTATACCTTTCTGTTCAAAAAATCTTCCACAAAATCTAGTTAAATGGATCTATACATGGTCTGATTCAACCACTGCTTCGGCAGCGAGTTCAACAATCTCACTGCCCTCTGCCTGAAGTAATTCCTCCTAATCTTTTTAACCCCACTAGTCGCCATCTTATATTTCTGTCCCTTATCTTGGTTACAAGTAGGAACAGCCCAATTTTGCTAACCTTATCAAACCCTTTTATTTTGAACTCATTTATTATTATGATTCAATCCATGACTGTTTGTGGGACACTGCTGTGAACAATTGACTGTTTTGCCCACAAAAAATACACATTCAATCCACTTTAATAATAATAATCCTTGCATTTGAGCTTGTGTCTTCTAGATGTCTCAAAGTGCTTCACAGAATAGACTGTAAAGTGAATTGACTGTATATTTGTGGGTGAAACACGGCAGCCAATTGCGCACAGCAGTGTCCCACAAACAGTCGTGGTTTGAAGTGACCAATTTATTATTGTTTTTTTTTCTTGAGGGATTATTATTAGGCGTGTAGAGTAAGGAAACTTGCCCAAGGTTTCACCCTGCCATGAATTGAACTCAGATCTCTCACTTTACAGT